CCCTTGGCCCCCACCCCTCTCCCCCAGCGCAGCAGGCGTCTGGATGATAGAATCGAAGCCCCATCTCATCACTCCGTTTACAAACAGACCGAGTAGCAAACCCTGATAGATAAGCGCGGGACGGGTCTGCATTGCCGTTCCCGGCATGAACAGTAGTGCGAGGATGTAGTGATGGATCCTCAACCTCATGCCAGGTAGTAATAACAAAATGAGCAGTCCAGCGAGGAAAGTGATGTACAATTTCAGATAGCGCGGCATCTGGCCCGAGATTCGGATGTAATGGATCTGGGTGATGACGATAGCGAGAATGGAGGTGACTATCACGGCTAGTGCCAAGGGAGCGCCGGGTTGGGCTTTTATGTCATGAGGCGTCAGTCGCTGGATTGGAATCAAAGGGGCGAAGGTATAGTTGTTCAGGGCGCCGATCAAGCAGAACCCTAGGTAGAGCACTGTTTTCTCTATCTGGGCCGTTAGATTGGTAAGGGTCGGCCGTGCGCAGTACCGGTACAGAATCCAGGCTACGAAGGATGCAGGCAGAAGGCGAGAGGCTAGTATGCTGAGGAGTTCACGGAAGTTGGAAGTGTTAGGCGGGTCAGAGACGAAGCCCACGTGCAAGGATAGGATGAAGAACGTGCTGAAGAAGAGGGTGGCTGGGGAGGTGGTGACGAGCCAAAGGAGGATCAGGAAGGTGGCGGTGATGGCGAAGAGAGGCCAGCGGGAGTCGGTGGGACATGAGGATTGGGCGCTGGAAAGGGTTTGGAAGGTATAAGTCCGAGGGAAAGAGGCGGGGAAGCCGATGCTTTGGATGCCGTTGGCGTTACTGGGTTGGAAGTTGTGATGTGTGCCTGTAAGGGTTGCGACACCACATCCACCATTTCCATTAGCGATGACTCCAGCATGGATGGCTGCTTGGCAGATAAAGCTGTCACCACGGTAGACGGGCATGGAATCTGGGTCGTTGGAGTTCGGTCCGCCAATCACAAGACCTTGGTATACAACAGATTGGTTGCCAACAAGATAAGGCTCCAGAAGTTGGACTGCTCTGCAATTGGACGGACAGCGAAATGCGAGATGTGCAGATGAGAATGGTCTGCAGCGGTTTCCATTGAGTCCGCAGCCGTTGCCATTATCCCTTCGTGTTCATCAGTGCCATTTTCAATATCCCAGCGGATCAACCAACCAAAAGCTTGCTCCACACCATATATTTGACGGCTTGCCGTATCCCTCAATGTAAGCCGAAGCTGAATTGTGCTTCAACATCAAAGACCATATCAGTAACCATACGGCGTACGAAGCTATCAACAAGCATATCCGGTGTCTTTGCTTTGGCAGGTATCTGTCCATCAATCGCAGAGGTGCTTCCTGAATCTGGGGATATAAGGGCTTGATGCGCAACTCGCGCGAAGGCTTGGGACCTTTGATCCATTCCGCTGTGGCACGTCCGGCCTTTCTCAGAGGGAGGGGAACCCATTTATATTTGAACGATTGGGCCGACTCGCGCATCCAAATGGGTATTGGAAGTCCATTGTCAGTTGTATCGGAGGCATTGCGAATGTGCAGGGTATGGTCTCGCGATTCGAGGTCGGTATCTTGGTCGGTCAGAGAAGATATGTTGCGTGTAGACTCATTTTCATCATCGCGATACTCGGGGGTCATTTCAGTCGAACCTGCTACGCAGGGTCAGTAGCATGGATGCGAACACGAGTGCGGCAACGTCTAAACTGTTCCCATAAATGGATGTGGCCCCACGATGGTTTGTTGAGACCAAGTCAAATGGAAACAGATATAACACTCCGGAGAAACGCTTTTCATCTACTAGTAGTTGTTTACCAGTGAACAAAAGGCAGGGTCCGAAGCATATTCAGGTAGAGGGATGCCAATGGAGGCTGAGCCTCAAGAAGCCTAATTAGGTAAAGACTTCGTTTCGGGGTTCGGAGACTTGAAGTGGATGGGTCGTCACGCAGTGCTTCCTACCGGCCGAAATTGGGCCGCTGTCAACCTTGCATACTTACTACGTTACATAGTAGCCCACGATGTTGACCCATGGAGCCGCTGCGGTGGAACAGGAACCACAAACACATCTGCAGCAGGACGCAGCCCAGAAACATTAGGGAACTATGGAGCTCTCAGCGTGGAAGCCACTGGGAGACATCTAACCACGTTGACGCGATGATCCTACCATGTCAACTAAGTCCTGCGTACTACCTATGTTTCAGGGTTGAAATCCAACCCCATGTGAGTTACTCGCTCTGCATTACTCGGTGGCCAAGGGCTTGCACCCCTGGCTGTCAAAACTCGATTGCCCGTTCCGGGGGTTGTTCACCCGCTCCCATAACCACCAGTAACTCTAACCTACGGAGTACAAGGCAACGAGTTTGATAGCCGGTGGGATGGATTATCAATCATTGATTCCCCAACTGCGGCTTAGAAATCGATGATGCGGTGGTGTAGTCACAACACACAACGCACAGCCTGTCTCTTTCCCTTCCTCTTCCTTCCTCCAACTTTTCTTCTTCGCGATATCCACGTTGCAGAATACAGATAGATCATAGTCAAAGAGATCTTCCGAACAATGTCGTCTGCTTTGCCCCCTCCCAAAGATCTCTCTCACCACTTCTCCCGCAATGCCAAGAATCGGCAGCCCAGCTCTATAAAGGACTTTTATAAGTACTTCACCATACCAGGCATTGGAAATCTTGCTGGTGGTATGTTGCCAACCACAATGTCTAGAACTTGGAATGCCGACAGATGACAGGCCTTCCCAACAACCATTATTTTCCATACGACACACTTGAAGCATCTGTTGCGCTACCAGATCGATGGAAACCCACGCCGAACGATCCGATAGGTCCTCCCAATGACAGTCTCAAGAAGCTCAAACTCTCCGAAGATGTCAGTGCATCACGAATATTGGTTCCTCACCAGTCTTCTGCCTCCAACATACTCCGCAAGATAGACCTGGATAGTGCATTACAGTATGGAACTGCCCAAGGCTATCCTCCCCTTTACAGCTTCGTTCGACAATTCACTCGAGAAAATCTTCATCCCAACGTCCCGTATAAGGACGGCGTCGAAGTTGTCCTGACTAACGGATCGACAGACGGCTTTTCCAAGTCAATGGAAGCATTCAGCAATATATGGGATGTCGAAAAAGACTCGATCAGAGAGAGAGAAGGCATACTATGCGAAGAGTTTGCATACATGAATGCAATCCAGGCAGCAAGACCGAGAGGTCTGAATGTTGTCCCAGTGGCTGTAGACGATGAAGGCATGTTGGCAACCGGAAAGGACGGGTTGGCGGATGTCCTCGAAAACTGGGACAAGGACACGGGAAAGCGGCCCCATCTGATGTATACGGTGACGTGGGTCCCCTTTATAACTGCAATCTGAGGCCTAGGGGCTCTGCTTACACTTAATCAGTATGGGACAAAATCCAACCTCGGGGCTGCTATCATTGGCTCGCCGCAAAGAAATCTATGCGCTTTGCCAGAAGTATGATATCATTATCATCGAGGACGATCCGTACTGGTACCTTCAATATCCCTCCGCCAATGTCATGTCTCTCAGAGCCCGAGGAACACGCGTTTCTGAGAATCACCCAACCAACACCCAACCCCAGAACTATAATGCCGGTCAGCCAAAACCTACCTCCGGCTATGCCTTTCTCGATTCCCTCGTTCCTAGTTATCTTCACGTGGACACCGACGGGCGTGTTGTTCGTCTCGACACGTTCTCCAAAACCGTTGCCCCTGGCTGCCGACTTGGGTGGATCACTGCTCAGCCGTTGTTCATCGAGAGGCTTCTGCGCATCACTGAGACTTCCACCCAACAACCATCTGGCTTTGTGCAGTCACTGATCGCAGAATTAGTCATAGGCCCACTAAAACCATCTGACGGCGGTCGTGGTGGTGGCAAGGATGGCACGGGATGGAATATGGATGGATGGGTGAGGTGGCTGGAAGGGCTACGTGGCAACTACGAAAGAAGAATGCAGAAGATGTCGTCGATTCTCGAGGATGGCAAGTATACAATTCAGACGTCAATCCGGCAGAGATCGAACCAGGACGGCGCTTTTGATTTACAGGATGAAGAATTTCAGATTGTTTCGAAGGTTCAAATGTATGATTTCACATATCCAATGGCTGGTATGTTCTTGTGGATGCACATCCAATTTCAGACACACCCTCTCTTCAGCAAAGTCGATCATCAACGACTATCAAAGGCATTATGGGTCTATCTAACCACTGAACCGTATCGTGTCCTTGTCGCTCCAGGTCTGATATTCAGCCCTACAGAGCAGCTGAGGGAAGAAAAGGCTTGGCAGTACTTCAGAATCTGCTTTGCTGCTGTCGATGATGACGTACTGGAGAAGCATACTCTTGCTACCGTGGAAGCTTTCAAGGATTTCTGGACAAAGAAGGAGAGTGATATTGACCACATCCTTAATGACGAGGATGTTAGCATCAGAGAAGCCATGGGTAGTCAAGTCGGCCAATTCTGGGGGCCATGTTGACGACTTTTGTACGAGCTCATGATCTGACCCTAAAGAATATTTCTGCTCGAACCTTTTTCTGGCGTGTGTTCACAGTCTGCAGCCGGCTACTAGCGTACTCCTTGCAATCTATTTCAAGGTCATGCTTCTCTGTATCCCCAACTTTCAGCATCTCCGTCCCTCGTAAGAAATTCTGCCATCTTCCGCAGTTACGGGCTCCCCTATCCATCCATTATAGCGAAACGAGGCAACATCAATCATGGCACCTACTGCTCTTCACTTCTATGAGAACAGGAAGCTAGGGTCTCTGTCTTTTTTGCTCCAACATTGCCGACTCAACTTAGTCGAAGGTGAGTCTGACTTCAGCCCTACTTATATCTTCCCTTGCTTCGCAATATGACTTACGGGATTGCCGACATAGCAACTATGGACCCATGTGGCCTCCTCATATCTTCCAGCCTGGTCGGCATCCTCTGATTGCAGGTATGTACTATTCATCACCACATTTTTTTCCTTTATTGATCTGACATGATCGAAGCGTCACTTAGAGAGAATTTCCCTTGACACGAGCTTTGCTTTTCTGATCTAGCTCACTTTCGGTCTGCTGTGTAAGTAGTAGTTTTGATCTCTACCTTGTTGAATGCCTGTACGATCGAGACTCCCCTCTGGTCAGACTTTGAATGTTTAGCTGACAACAGTCTCAGCGTCGAAACATCTTGCTGAACATCCCTTCAAAATGGCGAATCGTTCACCTTGCTTTCAGCTCTCGACTTCTAGAAGGATCAAGTGTGACATGCACAGGGAACCGAACCTCACATCCTGCCATTACTCTGCGGCTACAACTCATAGCCCATAGCTGCTTTGTCCCTCGAATTCGGTTCCTCCGTCAGCGACTTTTCCGGACGAATTATTTCTTCAAGAATAGTTCATTCGTATCTCACTCGAGGATTAATTTTCTCTCAACATCGGTTATCTTTCAGATCGAGGTCTTGCGGTGTCAGAGTAATCAACGCCAAATACATCGTCTCAGGAACTCTTCCGACACGTCACGTTTCCAGAAATCCACTGTCAAAGACGTCCAGATGCCGAGCTTCAGCAAAATATGAGGTTGTATGTGGGGCTGGCTATGGATTCACTCATTCAAATGAATGCTTTTGGTTCCATGGCTAGCTCCGGAGCGGGTTCCGCAGGTCAAGGGGGTTTTTTGGTATGGGGGCTGACTGTGGACTGTCTACAATCTTCCTCCCCTTGTCCATTCTCTAAAGGAAGAAAAGTCCATGGTTAGCTCTGGAGCGGGTTCCGCGGGTCAAGGGGGGTTTTTGGTATGGGGGCTGGCTATGGACTGTCTACCATTTTCCCATCTTGTCTATTCTCCAAACGAAGAAAAGTCCATGGCTAGCTCTGGAGCGGGTTCCGCGGTCGGTAGGGTTCTTGGTTATGGGGCTGGTCATGGATTCCGTCAACCCTTCGTCTCAGTTATTCTCTCTTACATCAAGCAGAGTCCATGGCTAGCTCTGGAGCGGGTTCCGCAGTAATGGGGAGTAAGGTAGCCACAGACTAGATCGAATTCTTACCTCGTTATCCACGCCATGAGGCTCTTAGCCAGCTTAGGCAAAACACAGCACATCTCATCACATAGCGAACATATATCTACGCCGCCAAGCATCATTCGGGTCTGCAATGCCGAGAAGCTTCGACTACCAGGCTTTGCTTAGGAACCAAAAGTTCAACACAGCGTCTTTCATCACACCGTCACGAAGCAGGTGTCTCCCAACTCGAAACAAAAGATGACACGCCTCTTCTCGGTCTCCATTCGATTCCTAGGGATTATCATAGCATTCTGAATTAAGGCTTTTCTTGACGCACAGTCGAAGCAAAGCGCAAGCACCATCGGATCTAATTTCTGAACCTCGTCGTCTCTCCTACTCTTATGAGATATCTTTGACCCGAAATCAAGGATTCGGGATGGAAGCGGGTGTCGCGAGGATTTTCCATCTTTGTTTTTTTGAAGCACAACTGGTGTTGAGTACCTACCTACCTGATCGTGAGCAACTGACATACCTTGAAAGGCATCACGTGAGGCTGTTGGTGATGTTGTGGCATACTTGTGCAGCGCTTGCTTATACGGATTTAGGCGGCTGTTACCACTTTCTCTACGAAGCTAGGGGGTTTCGACCTATGCGGAGCTTTCCTTCAAATCGACGGGATCAAGCACAAGGGAGAATGGTGGTGGTGGCAGGAGTTGAAGGAGGAGATGAGGTGTGATGGGGTTGGACTGCCGGGAAGGGGAGAAATAAGCAAGCTGTGGGAAGATGGACAGCGGGAGATATATGATGGAGTAAGGAGTATAAGATACGGTGTAGGATGTCGAGTCGGACGTTGCGGGAAGAAAGACGCACCATCACTCATCATGAGGCTCGTTGTTCGTGATCCCATTCCAACTCATGATTCATCCTTCATCCAATAAACTATTATAATGCATCCGCACTTAAGGGCTGGACTGTATTCATGCCGTAAACAAATCGCTAGATCCATATCAACATCACAAGTTGCAGTTCCAGTTCCAGTTCAGCTTCAATCTTGACGCCTGCTACCAGATGCTAACTTCCAAACGCCGCGTATAGTCGAATGCATGGCACATGGCTTTCGTGAAAAGCTTACAACGCCCAACAAAACAGCCCCTCCGCCTCAAGACGCATGTAGGGGTCAGAACACATCTTCTGGCCACTCAAATGACTTCCTCCCCTTCGCAGCAGTATTAGCATCAGGACTCCTGGCATAACCCATTGCAAGGAGCGATGGAGCCACTTTTGGACCAGCATCGTCGTTCAAGCCCTCTCCGTCCCCGTTACTCCTAACCGCACTCCAATTGCGCTTTCCCCCCAAAGATCCAGCTTCCCTCCAATCAGAATTCGGTTGCATGTTCTCCAACACCGTTAACACGCCCCTTCCAAGAACTTTGGGTACAGGGGGAATATCCACCTCCGTTATATGCCTTTGTGGCTGGATATCCCGGAAATTCTGCTGCGCATCCAATCTCGCTCTTAATTCGGCGTTTTCGCGTTCTAGCTCACGACGAGATTTCTTCTTGCGCAGATCAGGATTGGCGTTTGAGGTGGCGTTGAAGGTGGTTGTGGAGGTGCGCACGTCAGATGTCTGGTCAATGTTCCGGATTTGGCCTTGCAAGCTTTGAGCGTTGGTTGATATTGATGAAGGGGGGCCAGAAAACCTCTGCCTTTTACTTCCGAACTGCGCGGCGTACGCTTCGTCTGCTTTTCTCTTGCGTTCATTCAGCGTGTTGAGATCCGTGGCGTCGGATTTCTGCGCCGGCCTTTTCTTCTCTCCCTGCTCAGCAGGTGCAACCTCATGGCCAGAGCTGCTGAATAATTTCATCTTCCCAGAAAGAGCCTGGAAGTTGAAGTTGGAGATACTTCTTCTGAGACCACGGCGCTCTTTACGTTTGGTGGTGGTGGGTAGCTCGGACACTGGTTCCCGAGTCTCGTCCAGCGCTTCGCGAACCGGAGTGCAGCTGAACGTAACGTGCTTGACAGCAGGAGTTGGAGGTAGAGGTTTGTCACTCTCGGAGAGCGCTTCTCGGAACCATGAGGAAGCAATGCCAGATGATCGCTCGTTCATGCTACCTTCAATGAATTTAGAGGTACGACTGGTAGGTTTAGTGCTGGTGGAAAGCCTTGGGACATCGTTATTATCTTCATCCACATCATGTTTGTGCTCGTCCTCAGTTTCCCCTTCTGTAGTGTCTTCTTCATTTTCTTCTTCCAGCATCTCGAGCTTTCTGGGACCGCGAGAGGTCTTGGGCCGCTCATTGACATCGCTTGTTGTATTCAACGGTGCGAAGATCTGTCGAGGTGCTCGCTCCCGTGATTGTTTCCGTGGCTGTAGCATTGGACGTGCGGGATTTCGAGGAGGAGGAGATGGAAAAGGCTGTAACTTCGGCCGTGATGGAAAGATGGTACCAGCATCGTTAAACGGGACTTGTAATGGGGGTGCTTCGGGTGATCTCCGACCCCATGCTTCCCGCTCCTCAGCTAGAAAGTTAGGGGTGTCTTCTGAAGCTGGCTGAGCTGAGCGACTCCTCTTGTGAGTCAGTCGTAGAGTGCTGACATGTTCAGGTTCAGAATGTGTATGGCGATGTTTCCGAAGGCTGGGACGTGGCGACAGCTGCAGCTTCCGTACCCGGGACTGAAATTCGAGTCTAGGAGAGTTTGGTGACGATGCAGCAGGACTCTGCATATGATCTTGACACATTACGGGTGAGGATGACGCGGGAACTGGGGGGTTTGCAGCAAACAGAGCAGCCAATTCGGATCTGTTCATCTTGTAAAGAAAATGCACACGACGCTATGTACACAGCTCGCCAAAAAAAAGGCAAACAACAAACACATCCAATACCCAGTTCAGGAGAGTCCAGAGGCCAGAAAGATGGAGGCAAGATTTCAAGAATGGTTAATCTCCACAATGGCATTGTTTACTGTAAGGCCCGATTTGTGCTAGCGTTCCATGCTGGTGGGATGAATGATGATTGATTGACAGGGTGCTGGAGGCCTCCGCAGCCAACTGCCCAAGACACCAAGACATTGAGTCAGGGACTACTACTAACTTAGTTAGTAGTATCTTAATCCAGTGCTGATTATGTAAGTCATTCCCGAGACCCGGAATATCTCGGCATCGTCCGGCATCACCCGCACATGTCAGTCTCGGGGAAGCCCAAGATAGCCTAAGAAGGCCTAAGACTGCCCAAGACTTCCCAAACCATGGCAAGTGTTGATGCTGTATCACATGAAGAATTGGCATGAGATGAGATTGCCATGTCCTCAGCTCTCTTTCAGCTGCCAGGGGCCCAACTGTACAAGATGCATTGGGAGATCCACTTGTCAGTGTCAGTGTCAGTGGCACAGTTCACCTTCCCCCTTATCCTACTCCCACCGAAACTGCGGAGAGCGAAAGGACAAGGGCATGAACGTTGCCGTAGCGTCCATCTAATCCCGACAATACGACTTTGTGGACACCAGTATTCAGGTCTTGAGTTGAGGACTCTGGCTTCGTCATGAATCTCCAACGATAGAATGCGGCCACTGCAGAGGCTGAGAGTTCCAATTCGGAGAGTCGACGCTCTGCCAGCCTCTCGCCGGACGTTTGCGACGGCAGTAGATGCGCCTGCAAATGGACGAGAACGCGTCGTGATACTTGGATCTGGCTGGGCAGGTATGAGACCAGGAAACATCTCATTCCCTTCCTAATCTCTGATCGAATGAGTAGGCTATGTCCTTTCTAAGAGGCTCGATACCCGCAAATTTGCCCCGCTCGTCGTCTCTCCCAGGTCATACTTTGTCTTCACTCCCCTCTTGAACGACGCTGCTGTTGGTACCCTTGAGTTCCGAACAGCACTCGAACCAGTCCGCCGCAAGAACTCAGGCGTCAGCTTCTTACAAGGGTGGGCGGACGACGTCGATTTCGCCGAGAAGACCGTCACAGTCGAACCGAGTGCTCTAGATCCAGATGTGGGTCATGCGCTGACCGGCGAGCGGCAGGGGAACCGCTCCATACAGCCTGAAGGTCGTACCGTACCGACCTTCAAAGTCGGCTATGACAGGCTTATCATCGCTGTGGGCTGCTACAGTCAGACTTTTGGTACCAAGGGTGTCAGAGAGAATGCCATGTTCTTGAAGGATGTCGGAGATGCTCGAAAGATCAGGCGGCGGATCCTGGAGCTGTTTGAGATGGCCGTGCTACCTACCACGAGTGAAAAGGTCAAACAGGACCTGCTACACTTTGCTATCGTAGGAGGTGGCCCTACTGGCATGGAATTTGCTGCTCAACTATGGGACCTTGTCCATCAAGATCTGTGGAAGCTTTACCCTGGCCTCACTGACTATGTCAGGATATCTCTTTACGATGTGGCGCCAAAGGTCCTCCCAATGTTTGATGCCTCTCTTGCCGATTATGCTGTCAGAAACTACAAACGTCAAGGCATTGAGATCAAGACCTCCCATCACGTCGAAGAACTCAGACAAGGCTTTCCCAATCAAGTAACCGACCATCCTGAAGACAGAATGAAAGGCGGGGTCTACACTCTGCGAACCAGGGAAGAGGGAGACATTGGCGTTGGCATGTGCGTATGGAGCACGGGAAATATGATGAATCCCTTTGTCCGAAAAGCTCTAAACACAGTGCACAAATACCCGTCCAAGTCGGCCGAAATAACGACCGGCGAAACCAAGCTTGCAGATCAAAAACAATGGATCATCGAACGAGACGCCAAAAGCGGATCCATCCTTGTTGACGACCGCCTCCGAGTCCAGATCCAAACCCAATACAAGGACCGCGAAGCCTTCATGAAAGATGTCTATTGCCTCGGCGACGTGGCCCGGCTTGCTTCTGGCCCCCTTCCCGCTACCGCGCAAGTCGCCAACCAGCAAGCACTCTGGCTAGCCAAGAGACTCAACAAGGGTGATCTTGACACACAGACTTTCGGTTTCCACAATCTGGGCGTCATGACTTATATTGGCAATGCGAAGGCCCTCTTTCAAGGTGGGTATACCAATCGTGAAGGTAAAGCCAAGGGACTTAAAGGATGGCTGGCGTATTTGCTTTGGCGTGGAGCGTACTTGACCATGACGTTGAGCTGGAGGAACAAGATACTCGTGCCGATGTATTGGATGGTGAATCGTGTTTTTGGCCGGGACATTACGAGGTTTTAGATCTTTTCACGGACGGGGGGCGTTGAGCCCGTTAACCTGGGGTATGGGATTGCAAGAAGACAGCCATTTGGTGGCAGAGCATTTTAAATCAACTTCTCGCATATCTCTCTACCTCCGCCGTCCTTTATCTACCGGCCCAGATATATGTGTTATACCTGCCGTGGAGCAGCAGGCGACGACCTACAATGGCGCCCAATCCCGGGAACCATCTATCCCAGCGTGTGAGACGATCGGTGTTGAAAGAACCAGGCAGACCTCCCTCTTTCATGACCGACATCCCCTCCCCAGACGACCCAGGACATTCCAACAGAAATTTGCAAGCACCATCTCTCCTTCTTCTCTATCCCCACACTCATCCACCCCACCTCCTTAGCATCTTTCTATTTCTTTCTGAGCATCAGCACGATTCTCTCTCCCTTTTCCCCCGATTCACGCTCAAACATCTCGCTTCTAGCGGGCTAACTACACCAACCAACTCCATCGATGATCACCCTCCTATTCGAACAAACAAGACAACCACCACCGGTCCCGTCGATGGGTAGCCATCATGAGATCTTTGGGCCTGAAAAAGCCGAGGATGTATGCCAAGTACTATAAGCAAGGGAGTCCAGCATAGGCAGGGGAACTCGTTTGTGCGAAAAGAAAAGGAAAAAGAAAAAGAAGCAAAGCACACCCCCAAAGCGGGCATGGCAATATTCATTATTCTACGCCGCCTGCCTGCCGGCCCACCCACGCGCTAGGAACTCGGCCCTTACGACTTACGAGCATCAACCATACGAAGCTGTGGACAGATCGGCGGTATCGATCGACCCGTTCCTTACCTCGTCTCATTGTTCTTTGCCCACCGCATTCACGGCGAGTGAGTGGGTGTGTCAGGCGAGGAATCGATGGACGATGGATGGCACAAGGTAGGGATTGAGGAGATCATGCGCAGGCCAGTCAGCAAGCGGCTCTTGCGGCGACATTCAGAAGCACAATTGAGTGGTGATTACTTGGGTCCTATCCGAACCATGTTCATTTCATACTCTATCAGCGGATCCATCAGATAGCACCACACCAAGTCCCGTCCTAGACTAACTAGCCATCAGGGCTTTCAAGTTTCATGCTCCAACTCAATCAAGCGTCTAGCAACTCAAACTCGCGAACCAAGCCGCCCACGCCCTGCACCTCGCTCTCATAATGTGCAGCCAGCTCCTCCACAAACGCCCTCGGCACATTGACCCTCCACCTCTTCTCCTCCGCACCGGCCTCGTCCCCGACCAGCGCCCTTGTTCCTACCCCTCCGCCACTCCCAGCACCAGCACCGCCTTCAGCAGCAGGAACGATCAATCTCAGCCTCTCCAGCTCGGCAATCTCTCTCCCCACCCGATCAGTCACACTCCTCTTCCCGTGCACACCGCGCGGATGTATAGCCCGGAAGAGAGCGACCAAGCGCTCCAAGGTGAAAGGGCGGGCGAGGTTGAGGTTCATTTCCAACCCGGCCCTTCCTGCTCCCGATCTCGCTCGCTTCTTCGGTGTACCGGCTCCCGACGCGCCTTCTCCTGCTGTACCGGGCCCCTCCACACCCGACTTGTGTTTCGAGGGTGATTGGAACAGTTTTCTCCGGTGATAGCTCTTCTTGACTCTGGCGGAGCGGGAGGAGGATGATAAGCGCGAGAAGAGGAGGATGTCGAGTTTGGGAGGCGTGTGGGAGGCGAGGTAGGCGGCGCTTAGGAGGATGGTGGGGAAGAGCGCGAGAAGCGGAGCATTAGATGGCGGAGATTGTATCGTTGGGAGAGGGTTTGGCCTAGGTAGCGCAGTAGATGATGGGATATTAAGTGCGTTATTCTTTGACTCTTCCTGCTTGCGCTGTAGCGCGTCGAACGTGGTAACATTTACGTTCGGTAGCAGCCGGGCTGCCAGAGTCTCCTCACCCGCAGCCTGGAAGAGTGACCTCTGCCTGACGAGCAGTTTCGGGAAATCCCACTGCGCGTTCTTGCCTTTGCCCGGTGGTCGCTCGCCGCTGAGGTAGGGCCAGATGAAGCGTGGCCAGAGGGTTGAGCATGTCTGCTCGAAGTGCGATTGATATAGCGAAGTGGGTGCAACGAGTGATTCGTACACGGTGGTTGCGAATAAGGCGTACCATTTTTGAAGAGTGGGGTGGTCTTGGTTAGCCTCCAGATAGGCTTGGGAAGCGAGTGGAGGCGGCGAGCGGACGACGAGAGATATGGCTTCGGCTCGAGCGTAAGGTGGGAAGTGGAGGTAGGGGATGCCGGCCTTCTGGAGGTGGAGCGGTCGTGGTGTAGTGACAACAAAGATGAGACAGAGCTTGGGCACCTAGTAACCGAACATCAGCACTTCGCTTCGAGCCGATGGCCTTGAGCATGTACAATTTCAGTCAGCCGCGCAAGAGCGGGTAGAGTGTTGGGGCTCAGGCCTCTCTGATGATCAATTCCTTCCAGCACAACGACCAGCTTGTCATCTCTGCCCTGTAGTAGCCTCTGTAAACTCACACAGAGCGCATTCACCGACTCTGTTCGCCTTTCATATGCGTCCTCGGCGCCCTTATCCCCTCCATGGTATACAGCATCGATGCATGCAGTGTGTATTTTGGACAGCAGGTGGCGTAGTGAGAGGCATTCTCGGCTTCTGACAACAGCATGGTTGATCTTGCGGGCGGATAAAACCGCACAGACAGTATGAAGCCGTCCGGTGCCTTGTAAGCCGTAGACAACAAGATTTCGGGGTGAGGGATAGAGGTCCTACAGTCCAGTGAGCTATTAGACCACACTGTACCAATTACCTACACTGTACAAGGCTGTAAGCTGTCGCAATTGAGCCGACCGACACGGGCAGGTGACTTCTAGCGATGATAGTATCTCAGAGGGAAGTGCGATACCCATTCTAGGTGTTTCATGACCCATTCATGCCATTACTACGTACTCACCTACCGCTACTAAGTTAGATGGTGCCAGTGGGACATCTCAACGCGCCAAGCATTTACTGTACTCGTGGACGCGTATCGCGTAACGTGGTTGCATTCAGCTGGGGTGCAAACATTTGAAGTATTTCATGCACGTACGAAAAGACAAAGACTTTGGTGTACAATATGCTTGCATTCTAGGCTAAAGTATGGTACATCTATGATGCCATCAGCCGCAAAGTCAACGCTCGCATCGATGATCAGGACGAGCCAGGTCCGACTCGATGGAGACGATGGCTTGGGGGACCGTCTTGTCGCAAGAACTTCGCTCCACTAGCAAGCTCGACATACGAGTACAAGATGCATCATCATGTGGTTTTGGACTCGCAAGAAGGGGTGAAATGCAGAGGAAAGGAAGTAGTGAACCAAGCAGACAGCCCAATAGGATGCTGCCTTTGATCCGTCCCAGAGAAAACACTGCCAAGCCACAGCTAGTTGCCTATCGTATCAAAGCCTTCGTCTTGTGCAGTTTGGAATGTTGAGGAGCAATTCGTGCTGCGCCGGAAAATATGCCTGAGCAGTTTGGGTATCGTTTTGTTGATCAGATTGTGGTGAGCAAGTGCCCATCTGGGAATGGCTGTTGCTCGGAAGAAAATGTGTGCAAGGGTGAAATTTGCATGCAAGGAAATAATATCGACGGGTGAAGCAAAGGCATCGACCGCGGAAGACTTCGTCGTTACGGACCATAGCATCGTGAGTCATCATGTCGTATCATGGTGGTCAGTCAGATGTAGCCGGGACGAGGCTGGCCACTGCCGTAGGAAGTGTATGGAGTTTCTCCAGCTCGAGCTGAGTCGCCGAAAACGCCGTTCATACCGTCCATGCCGTTGAGACCAGCGTAGCTACCAGCGACGAAGTTGTTCTCCATGCCATCCGGAAAGCCTTGGTTCATGAAACGAGAGGTATTGTTGTTGCCCTGGAACAGTCCATGCTGACCGTAGACCTGAAACTGTCGTCTACCCACAGCATCGTTGGTGTTGCTTTTCGCACGCGCAAACGAGGTAGCAGCCGAGGGTTCGTTTGGCGTCATCTGCCCACTTGACGTACCAGTCAGGCGACCTTGACCATCCGCTCCCATGATCTTGCTAGCGATGCGACGACCATGTGGTGTTTGTTTGATAGCCGGGAGAATGGGACGAATGGTGTCGATCATCCTCATCTTGGTCTCGGGGTCCGCATAGTCCATGGCGGTCTGCACAACGTAGTTGGCAAATGAATCTCGCAACATCCTCTCAATCTCATTCGCGTGCAGCATCTCTTCAATCATCATGCGCTTGCTGTCGACATCAGCGGTGCGGAGACATTTCTCAATGACATTGGAGCTGAACTTTTGCTTCGAGAGAGATGGAATATTACCTGCGAAGCTGAGGCAGAGTGGCTTGGTGAACATGGGTTCGTCAAGATCAAGAATGTATTGTACAACGTAGTTACCGAATGGATCCTGAACGAGGGAAAATGCATTGGAGGTGATTGCTGAGATGAGGCGGGAGCGTTGTTCACCTTTGGCGTGATCAATGCAGCGTTGCAAGACACAGCAGCCATGACGATGAGTACCAACGATGACACAGTGGCGTCCGACAGCGTCGAAGATGAACTGAGAATTCTCGGGGCCCAGTTTGTTGAGGCACTTCTGGATAACATGGTTGCCGTTCAGGTCTTGCACAAGTTCGACAACGCGGTCCTTGAGAGCAAAGACAATAATCTCGATCTGCTCAGTGGTGCTGACATACTCCACCATCTTTTGAAGGGCACGAGTTCCATGTTGGTTGAGTGCAATAGTAACCATGGCTGGTGCTGCCTGACCAATCAATGCCGTACGCTGATCATCCTCGGAATACTCGAGCAATTTCTGGCAAAGATAGTTACCGAAAGGATCTAGATACATTAGCAGAGGCCAAGGTGAATGACTGAACACGCGTACCTGTCATCAGCTCAACCACGTAAGGGCAGGTCTCCATGAAAATCATCATGGTGTTTGCGAGGTTCTTCTCTTCCAGTTTCTTCTGCAAGTAGCGGCACCCATGCTGATCTTTGCACAACTCGTACAACCTACCACGGAAGTTCTCAAGCGGCATGTTGTCGTATCTTGCAGCGTCACTGCCTCCCTGGGGACGACGCTGATGAACGACTCGAGTCTGATTGTCCTGAAGACGACCATAGCCGCTGTAGGTAGGATAACCATTGTAACCACCTGGCACAGTCTGCAACTGATTGGCGGATGGGGTGGAGGTCAGATCATAGGTCTGCATGCCGTACCCATAAGTACTAGCACCCGCGGTAGCGCCATAAGGTACAACGGAAGTTGACATCGCGTTGGAACCGGCCGTGGAAGTCGTCTGCAACCCGAATGGTGCCGCGCTTGCCTGAAGCTGTGATTGCATGTTCTGACCTTTGTCCTCCTTTTTCGTGTCGGCATTGCTCGTTATAAATGGAAGATCTCGGCTTTGACGCTTGCTGGTTACTCCGGTTGGAATGCGTCCCATATTGGCATTGTGGTTGTAGAGTTGCTGATCCGCATAGGCCTTGGAAGGCGTGACGTTGGTTGTTATTGCCGAAGAGTTCCGTAGCGTTGGCACATCATTCGTAGAATAAGATGACTGCAAGGACATAGGACGACCAGCTGAAGGAGTGGTGGAGTTCATGCCGGCATAATCATATCTGCCGGATTCACCAGCACCGAAGGTCATTCCACTCGAATGACGTTGTGGTTTCTGAGAGGTCGAAGCCGCTTGAGACATGCCAAGATCGAGGGTTTGCTCATTAGCAGGGCTGTTGAGAGCTGGACGAAAGATATTAAGACCGGTTTGAGGCATACTTGCATGATTTGGACGAGGTCGAGTGAATGTAGCCCAAGACTCGGGATCGGGAGATCGGGAGTTGGCAAGATCGAGCGCAGCAGAATTTGCAGACAGCTGTCGGAAAAAAAGGTTAACATGAGGTTCCATGAGGGTAATAAAGACAACTTACAATGCCAGAAGTACGATCGCTTCGAAGAGTAGGAAAATTGTCGTCGTTGGGAGTCATTTGCAGGAAACTAGTTGCATTTGGAGAGACAAGAGCACCTTGACTGCCCGCCGACATATGCTGATCATCATTGTCATCAAAGAGAAAGCTCGTAGTATTGAGAGGACCAAGCCCGGAGTTGGTGGGGATGCTGGAACGCTGCTGTGACTTTGTACCGTTGACGGGCATGGAGTAGCGACTGCTACGACGAGGAGTTAGATACATGATGCCGTCAAATAAGAATGAAAAACATGTAGGTGAACGGCGGCTGGGAGGTAGAAGGAGGTGGAGGCAAGGGAAGTATGCAAGGCAAAGTAAGGTACGGCAGGGAAGCTAAGTAAGGTGATCGAAGGAGGTTAAATAGGAAGTGCCAAGGCAGAAGAAAGATCGACGCAGGTAGTGAAGTCGAGATTGACAAAGGTCAGGCACATGTCGATAGAGTTGAATGGTGATTGATGGACAATAGGAGCAGAATAGGTGACTTACGCGGCCGTAGACCGAAAGCCTAAGAGCTCTTCAGGTAGGTAGCCCTCGTCCTCGGAATTGCGTCTAGATCCAGGCATTGATTTGGCTGGTGGTTTCTGGGGCAGGTTACGTGCACTAGCCATGCCAGAAGGTGAAGCAAGCTGCGAGCTAGACTGTGAGAATCGATTGTTCAGACCCGGTGGAGAAGTGATGCTGTTGATGGAAAAGCGATTTGGTCGAGAGAAAGATGACGGGAATCCACTATCTGAATAGTCAGGTGGAGTTGTAGGCTCACTGACTGGGCCACCGGTTAACTTGATTCCGCTGAACCCTCTGGAGAGTTGGTCCAAGTCAGAAGTGTTGTTACTCTGCTGCAGACGTTGCTCCTGGAGGTCAAGAAGTTTCATCTGAGCCTCGAATTTGCGTTTCTGCTCCCGAACTTGCTCTATCTGCTGACGCTTCTTGTCGAACTACATGAAAATTAGCATCAGCGCAGAGACTGAAAGTGAGTTGCATTGAATTTTGAAAAAAATCAAGGGTTGACGTGTGCGGCCTTTGTGGATTGTTTAGGCTCAGGAAACACCGTGAGTTGCGGTGACAACAGCCCATGCAGTCTAGGCCGGTAAAGTAGGGATCCCATTACTGAAGACCACAAGAAGACGGAAAATTCCGCTTTTAGAATAAATGGGATGAAGCGAGCGCCACGCACCGAAGCTGTGAAATGCGGTTTCACCATCTGTGAGTTTTGTCCACCCAAACTCGACAAGGACGACATCTTGCTTGAATCCGTTGTGAAGCGGCGTTGGAGGCTTCCTCTTACATCGCTTGACGTCGAAGTCGAAGGCTGAAAGGGAGAAAAGAACGAATTCTGGCCTCGTGGAGGAGAGGCATATCCAGAGAAGGGCACCTCGTCATTGGGACTTTTAGGATTGGGGAAGCGCAGCTCCCCCATGCGTTCGCTGAGTCCATTCGTGAACGCCATCATGGGTTCTCTGAGCAAGAAAAGTCAGTAAGAAATCATCATGTCAAGAAGAGATGTGTTGGATATGTGCATGCAGATCGCTTTGGTGGGGCTACCAGCATGGTGAGCACGGGACACATGGAAGCCTGGTGGCCGTTGCCCATGCTCCAGGATGCCCGTTCGAGTTGATGAGAGGAGAGAGCATACCTGTTCAGCAAGCAGTCATAGACTCCGCTGCAGATCGGCTGCGGTAGATGTCCCGATCTCCGGTCTGGCGCAATGCAACTGGGCTGGAAATTGTCCCTAAAGGGTCAAAGTGTACAAAGAGAAGATCACGCAAGAAGATGCAGAACAAGTCTAGATGTCTGAAGATGTGACAAGAAGCTATACACAGAGATCGAAGTGTGCAAATCCAAAGAAAACGACATAGTGGTTTACAAGAATCGTGTTTGGACTGCTGTACAGTGAAGGAGGAGGTTGCAGGAGAGCCAAACGTTGCTGGAGGGTGGAGCTAACCCCAAGTGCCAAGTCAGTCCAGCATTTGACAGAGCCGGCAGCAAGACTACCGCCAAAGCCCACTTTCTCTGTCTGACTTATGCACAAAGGAAGACGCAATGATCCAATGGCAAGATGTTGTTGCAAACTCGACGTGATCGGGAGGGTGTGGGGGAGCTCTTGCCCCTACACAGTACTGGGGCGGTGAGATGGCCAAAGGGGGTTGGATGATGCTCTAGTCCAAAGGCAGGTCTACGGGGATCCCTAGTTGAAGATTTTCTTCTTTCAAGGGTAGATCTGGCCTGAATCTGTTCATACATATTCGGATCTGGTAGGCAGTTTCAATACAAGTGGATGGTAGTGCCTCCTTAAGCTCAAAGGGCCCTTGCCAGCCGCGGGAAGATGGGGCAAGGAAGCAGATACCCGTGCACCGATGGATTTTGGACCCCAATACTCCGTATTTGTAAATTGATAAGTTAATGCTTCACGAACGGTTGAGTCACTCCAGCCTAGCCCCTAGCCTAATTCGCCCTGACCTACGTAGTAAGCGGCCTCTAATTATCGCAGTTACTAGTGTAGACCTAAGCAGCACTAGTGTGCCTAAGAACCCCCGCTTTCATCTCGCTTGGCTCAATTCTCGGCATAATTCTCGGCATAATTCTTGGCAGTAATTTTTTGTTCGTGTTCCTAGAAAGCAATATCTATCCAGGTGAAGCGGAATAGAGACTTCTTGATGAGCGTACCACTGGACATGTTTATGAGGAAATGGAGTCTAAGCTGACAGGCAATGCCCCAAGATAATGCAATGGGTAGGCGCTAGTCGGAGGCACGTCATCTCTGGAAGGATCCTACTTTACAAGTGGCGCCATGCCTCCGAGAAAGAGGCAAGATGGCCCTATTGAAGTGCAGAAGCAGCCAAAGCAAGCTGCTACAGTAAGATAAAGCCTGTTATGTTTGCGCACATCCGGTTCTAACCCTCCTAGAAATTCCCAGTCACGAAAGGGAAGACGATACAATCAATGCACACAGAAGTAGCGGGCAAGGCAGAAACATCGAAGATCAAGACAGCACCTCCGGACGTACACACCAAGTCAGAGGATAGCAGAAAAAGATCTACTGAACATCATCAATCCGATGGTTTTGGAGCCCTTCTAGAACCCTTCTACTATGACAAATCTCTCACTGCCCCAATCGATTGTGCCAAGGACAAATGGAATCTCTTGCCTGCCTTCCTCAAGGTCAAGGGTCTGGTGAAGCAACATATCGATTCCTTTAATCATTTCGTAGATGTTGAGTTGCAGAAGATCATCGATGCTGATCCGTGGATTATGAGCGATGTCGATCCTTCCTTTTACATCAAATATCAGAAGATCTATGTCGGCAGACCATGCCGGATTGACGAAGCTCAATACCAGGACGATAAAAGCTTCAAAGACGACTCTTCTGTGACACCGAATGAATGCCGCCTCCGGGACATGACTTATGCGGCACCCATATTGGTTGACTTTATCTACACCAAAGGCAGAAATGTCTATAAGCGCAAAGGGCTCTCTATAGGCCGGATGCCCATCATGCTGCGTAGCTCGAAATGTGTTCTTGCCAACAGAAGCGAAATTGAAATGTGCGCTATGGATGAATGCCCTCTGGATCCAGGTGGGTACTTTATTGTTAACGGAACGGAAAAAGTTATTCTTGTACAAGAACAACTCAGTAAGAACCGGGTCATTGTGGAAGCGGATACTCGAAAAGGCTTGATTTCAGCTTCTGTGACAAGTTCAACTCACGAACGAAAATCTAAGAGCTACGTCGTCCTTAAGAAAGATCGACTCTACGTGAAGCACAATATCTTGAATGAGGACGTTCCAATAGCCGTCTTGCTCAAGGCGATGGGGGTCACATCTGACCATGAGATGTTATTGCTTGTGGCGGGTGCGGGTAGTGCTCTTCAGGATGACTTTGCCATCAACTTCGAGGAGACGATTAGTCTAGGCATCTACACACAACAGCAAGCCTTAGAGTACATTGGAGCTCGTATCAAGATCACTAGGAAGCCTACCGCTTTTGGCATGTCCAGACGTAACCACGTACAGGAAGCTTTGGAGGCGGTCGGCTCGGTGATCATCGCTCATGTACCCATCGAGAACCTCAACTTTCGGCCCAAGGCACTCTATGTGGCACACATGGCGAGACGTGTCCTGATGGCAAAACACAACCCTAACCTTATTGATGATCGAGATTACGTCGGTAACAAAAGGCTCGAATTAGCCGGACAGCTGCTATCCTTGCTCTTTGAGGATTTGTTCAAGAAATACAATTATGACATCAAGCTCAATGTTGACAAGGTGCTGCGGAAAAATGCCCGGACGGAGCTCTTCGATGCGGCGCCTATCATGTCTGGTCATGCCAATCATATTACCCAGGGGATGAATCGAGCCATCGCAACTGGCAATTGGAACCTCAAGCGCTTTAGGATGGATCGAGCAGGTGTCACCCATGTCCTTAGTCGTCTAAGCTACATAGCAGCTCTGGGAATGATGACAAGAGTTACGAGTCAATTTGAGAAGACCAGGAAGATTAGCGGGCCGAGGGCTCTACAGCCATCTTCATTTGGCATGTTATGTCCAGCCGATACCCCAGAGGGAGAATCGTGTGGTTTGGTCAAAAATCTCGCTTTGTTGACTCACATCACGACGGACGATGAAGAAGGTCCTGTTCGCCAACTCGTCTTCATGTTGGGTGCTGAAGACGTTCTTACCGTGGGTGGAGGACAGCTCTACCAGAAGGGGTCATATGTCATCTTCACCAACGGGACACCAATAGCGGTAACACGGCATCCTAAGCAGTTTCTTTTGGCCTTCCGTCGACTTAGACGATCTGGACGGGTCTCAGAATTCGTCAGTATTTTCATCAACCATCATCACTCTGCTGTATATATCGCCACAGATGAGGGACGAATATGCCGTCCGCTTATTGTCGTGGAAAATGGACACTCGAAGTGCACCAAGCGATACCTGAAATCCCTTCGCCGAGGGACAATGGACTTCGATGACTTTCTCGCTCGAGGTATTGTGGAGTATGTGGATGTGAATGAGGAGAACGACTCGAATATTGCAATGTACGAGTCTGATATCAATTCAACAACTACTCATCTTGAGATCGAACCTTTCACAATTCTAGGCGCTGTGGCTGGTCTGATACCGTATCCACACCATAATCAGTCTCCCCGAAACACCTATCAATGTGCTATGGGTAAGCAAGCCATTGGTGCAATCGCAAACAACCAATTTCACCGTATAGACACGCTCTTGTATCTCATGGTCTATCCACAAAAGCCATTGGTCAAGACCCGCACCATCGAGCTCATCAAATATGACAAGCTTCCCGCTGGTCAGAATGCTGTGGTTGCTGTCATGTCATACTCCGGCTATGACATTGAAGATGCCCTTGTGCTGAACAAAGCCTCGGTTGATCGTGGCTTTGGCAGGTGTCAGGTTCTGCGAAAATATATGACACAACTCAAGATCTATGCGAACAATTCCAAAGATATGATTCAAGGCGTGGAAAGGCAGAACGACGCACCAATCAAGAAGCATGCCGCTCTAGATGAAGATGGAATTGTCCATGTGGGGGATAAACTTTCTGTAGGCGAAGTTTGGGTCAACAAAGCAGTTCCCGAAAACCCGAACGCCAACCGACTTGAAAATGGCTCTGATCCCGGTTCTCACCTTTTCGTGCCACAACCCCAACTCTACCGCCTACCAGATCCGAGCTATGTTGACAAGGTCATGATCTCGGAAACAGAAAATGGTAATCAGCTCATTAAATGTCAGACCAGGCAAACAAGAGCACCCGAGGTTGGCGACAAGTTCTCCAGTAGACATGGGCAAAAGGGAGTTGTCGGCATAATCGCCGAGCAGGCTGACATGCCTTTCACTGATGAAGGGATTGTCCCGGATGTCATCATGAACCCCCATGGCTTTCCATCCCGCATGACAGTTGGCAAGATGCTGGAACTAGTATCGGGCAAGGCGGGAGTACTGAATGGCAATTTTGAGTACGGTACTGCGTTCGGCGGCTCAAGGCTTGAAGACATGTCCGCTGCCTTGGTTGATCACGGCTTCAACTACAGCGGCAAGGACTACATGACTTCTGGTATCACAGGAGAACCGATGCCAGCATATGTCTTCACTGGACCTATCTACTATCAGAAACTTAAGCATATGGTACAAGACAAGATGCACTCTCGAGCTCGTGGACCTCGCGCCATTCTAACACGTCAGCCCACCGAAGGTCGATCCCGAGATGGAGGCCTACGGCTCGGTGAGATGGAACGAGATTGTCTGATTGCGTATGGTGCCAGTCAACTCCTCCTCGAGCGTCTCATGTTGAGCAGTGACAAACATGAGGTGGACATCTGCGAGGAATGTGGCTTTATGGGTTACAGCGGTTGGTGTCAACGATGCAAGAGCAGCGGGGCTATTGTCAGGATGGTCATTCCCTATGCTGCCAAACTCCTTGTGCAAGAGCTCTTCAGCATGAATATTATGACCAGGTTGAGACTGGAGGATGAATTTCCGGCAGCGAAAAGTGGAATGCGGTGATGGTGTTGAATTGTGGGATGCCGAAGGGTGTTGAAGAGCGGAAGACATGGCGACGGCGTTCCTCATCGCATTTAGAGGAGTCAGTGCATGCATCATACCACAGAATAATATTTGAGCAGATGAGCAGATGACTTGTGTACCTACGTGATCAAATAGCATTTGACTGAGCTGCCGAGGACCTGGAAGCATTCTAGTACCAATTGCCCTACACGGAGCAGGGCTGTTTTTGGGAACGAGATACGAAAGATGCCGCATCTCGGGCCGTAGATGCGGATCAGACTAACTTATCGATGCGAGCTTATCAAAAATGGTTTAGACGAAAGACAAAAGCCTTCCGTCAAACTTGGACTACGTAAAAGCACCCCAACGGATTCCCAAAGTCAACGCCATCATACCAGCGAATCACCCACAGACCACAGTTTATTTCTTCTTCCCATGACATCCAGCAGCCTTGCTTCACATGCAAAGCATCTGATCCTCGTCCCAGTCCCGACCCTCGGTGTCATTATCTTTCCTCTTTGCGAGCACGGTTCACCCATCCACAAGACGCAGCCATCGAGTGCGGCATGACCTTCTCTCCTCCAGCAGTTTCGGTTTTGGTGCCCTGCCTGATCAAAAAGATTCACAAGCCTCAGAGAACCTAGAAATTGCTTGCAACCTTGCGCAATGCCGAGGAGGCGGTGAGTGCCTGACGTTGTCCACATAGAGCGCTGAGCGGGAACGCGCCTGGCAAAGAGTAATCGATTAGATCTTCTCCTACGTCTTCTGTTTGATCCGCTAGGGAGATCTCGGCTGTGCACTGTGGCGAGGCTATCACTTTCAGCAGCTGTAGCTGATTAAGATGCATACTGGGGGGTTAGCAGTTTACGTACTAACTAGGACGGTACCAGGCATAATTAACGTCACTTGCGCGCTAGTAACAGTTTACCACAACGCTTCCTTTTCACCCCCCAATGTTATGACCTCGTTGTCGCTATTATGCGCCGATTTGTTAACTCTACGCGTTATTGTACTGAGTTTATCTCATTCTACGCCAACAGTCTATCTTCTAGAGCTACTTGAGTCAATGCCAGCAAGGTGCCACAGGTGCCAGGCAGAGAATACACTAGTCCTAATCGAGCAATTCTGTGACGTTATATCTTCATGTTACAAGCTAATACTAGCGTATAAATGGCATCAATAAACCTCCTACCGTAGTAGTAGACGAGATGTAGAACGAGAAGCAGATTCGTCTAAGACATACAGGATGAGTGCAGAGTACGGTGTAGAATGTACATGATCAGTCACAGCCTGGATTGGCCGATGAAAACACAGTAACCTGCTTGTAGGACCCCGTGGACCGGTCTTTTTCCGAAGCTGAGAACGTGGAGCTGGGTGGAATTGTCAGGCGAAAAGAGTTGAGGAGCCCACCTGCGACTTCCCTAACCAAGCTAACTAGAGCGCAGTTTAGAGCACTCTTACTACGTAAATGTGCGACTAGTACCACGTATGTAGTACGTAGCAATCAGCTAGCGCATGTCAACCATCTTAACCAGGAATTAAAGTTTGGTGCCTTGCCTTTATGGCCCCTTCATTTTTTTCTCCTGCTGCTTTTTGTTCCCACCAAAAAGCTCACCTTGCAGGCGTCAACACTCAAGCATATTTTTGTGGGTCTTTGAGGACTACAAAACGCCCTCTACCTTTCCTCAGCCTCTTTGAGTTTTCTCCTCTTCAATTGGCCTAAAAATCACTTTCAATAACGTGCCAATTGTACAGCAAGGATCACAGTCCTCAACACAACTGCTCCTCACCAAAATCAACCATACTCAAACAAGCCACCAAAACGACCCTCTAAACTTCTAATATCTCCGTAGTCGGATATCGACCCAGCACCACAGACAAAACGAGTGCCCCATTCCCTCAAGGAGCTCACGTTTCCCAACCATGTCCACCACAGCACCATCGCCAGGAGCGGTCCTGCACCGAGTTCCCGCCTCGACAACGTCCAGCAGTGTTGCTTCTTCGGCCAACATCTCGCCATCAGACACTCCTAAGGCTTCTGGCTCGTCCACATCGCTCTCCTCTCTTGCTTCGGAAGAAGTCGGAACCTCCAGCAAACTCGTCGACACCCTTGGCAATCCCTTCTCCATACCGGACTATACTATCGGTGATATCCACAAAGCTATTCCAAAGCATTGCTTTGAGCGATCAGGACTTCGAGGACTTGGCTATGTTGCTCGGGATATCGTCTCGCTGGGGGTGACCTTCTATCTCACCAACAAGTTCGTCACACCTGAATATGTCCCTTCAACAGCAGCAAGAGCAGGCCTCTGGGCACTGTACACCTTCGTGCAGGGTCTGTTCGCAACTGGCTTGTGGGTTCTTGCTCATGAGTGTGGCCATCAATCGTTCTCGCCCAGCAAGACACTCAATGATACTGTTGGCTGGATCTGCCACTCCGCTCTTCTGGTTCCCTACTTCTCGTGGAAGATCTCCCATGGTAAGCACCACAAAGCAACCGGTAACATGGAGCGAGACATGGTTTTTGTGCCGAAGGCGAAGGAGGTTTATGCGTCGAGGTATGGTTACATGCTCCATGAGTTATCCGAGCTGGCTGAGGAGACACCGATTGCCACGGCCTTTCATCTCTTCTATCAACAACTAGGCGGCTGGCCCGCTTATCTCATTACCAATGTCACTGGCCACAATCACCACGAGCGACAGAGTGAGGGCCGTGGCAAAGGCAAGGCCAATGGCTTTGGAGGAGGTGTCAACCACTTCAACATGTCTAGCCCGTTGTATGAATCCAAGGATGCGAAATTGATTTTGCTGTCGGATCTCGGTGTCCTTTTGGCTGGCAGCATCATCTTTGCGCTTAGCCAGAAATTCGGCTGGACGAATATGCTCGTTTGGTATTTTCTTCCATACCTCTGGGTCAACCACTGGCTTGGTAAGCAACACCGTTACATGTTTGACGAGTTTTGGAATTGACCCCTATCAGTTGCCATCACTCTCCTTCAACACACCGATCCTACCCTACCTCATTACACACCAACAGCTTGGACCTACACTCGAGGTGCTGCTGCAACAATCGATCGGGAATTTGGATTCATCGGTCGAACCCTCTTTCACGGCATCATTGAGACCCATGTCCTTCACCACTATGTTAGCACGATCCCGTTTTACCACGCTGATGAAGCAACCGAGGCGATCAAGGCCGTTATGGGGCAGCACTATCGGAGCGATACAAGGGGTGGCAGCCTCGGCTTCGTGAAGAGCATATGGACAACTATACGTACTTGTCAGTGGGTGGAGCCCAACGAAGGTGCACAAGGCGAGGAAGCAGGTGTGTTGTTCTTCCGGAACCGCAATGGCGTGGGAATTCCACCAGCAAAGACATCCGCTACGACACAATAGATGTCAACGCCTGAAGTTGTATCTTCATCCTATGATATCAGCTATGATATGGCATGTTACAAACGATGAGTCTTCCGGGAGGCAGGAAGTGGAGTGTCTGGTTTGGGCGTTAGTTGACCTGGCGGAGCCTATATTACAGAGCTCTCTGTTTTTTCCCTTTTCCTACACTCGTTCTCCCTGCATACAAACTGCTATCGAAAGAATAGTCTTCCTTGACTATGATAGACAGCTAGCGTGATTATGTGATAGGCAGATAGACAGCGGTATCGAATCGATAGGAAGTTATGACAGAAAGTTTACAGAAAACGGCTCGTTTATGTGAAGTTGGGAAGCCGGGATGCTGGCCGAAATCGCGCAGAGGGTCAGGTTCACCACACCGGAGGACTTTCGGACCAAAACCCCAATCTTCCTCCTTCTAGGCCATATACTTTCATGCCATACTTTCATCACATCGAGAGTTGCATTCTTACCACGTATGCTGATACTCGTACCACTTCAGCTCTCTAAGGAAAATGGTTCGTTCACCATACAATTCGCGTCGCAGCTATGCATATTTGAAGTCCCTGAACCTTTGCCTAATGAATATCCCTCCAACCATGAAATCTGTCCCACCAACCAACAAGCCACCCCGAGGTTGTACCGGTTGGCGATAACTCGTTGGATTTAATGCTGCATGAGATGCAAATCATGCTGCTCTCCAGTGCTCTTTTGGGACTATGGTCTCGTCTATGAGGTAGCAGGGCTACTGCTTTGTCTTGAAGAAACGAGACACGTGGGAAATATCTCAGGTGTGCAGAGCATAGCATGTTGAGTACGAAAGATCTCCTTATTCAAACCGCCGCCACTACTTAGCCATTTGTATGTTTACATATCTTGGCACACGAGAGCTGCTTTTCACTTTTATCACTTATCATCCTACAAATCTTGAGTCTGACCCCTCAGCCGGGTGTTGTCAATACTTTGATCCATCCGGATAGGGGTCCTCACTCTGCCCATCGGTTTTGAGTCCTGTTGTCAGTTGTCCTAGCAGCGGTCTCAGGTCCTTCCAATCGCCAGCTCTTTCGGAGTCCCATGCATCAAGCACCGCTTAACGTCAGAACAGCCTACATTTTGCTGGCAAAACCAGCTGCGGCACGTTGCGCTTTCAATACATGCTTCCTGGGCCCCGCTGGAAACGTATATTACCTTAAGCGAAGGTTTTCGTCTTCAGCACCCAAAACCCATTTCAGAATGTCTTGGTATCAACGAAAAGACTGGATAAAAGTTCCATACGGAATACTCTAGGGGCTCTGCTGTTTCTGGGAGCCGGCCTCACGGCTGCCTTGCACTATGGCTTTATCAAGTTTGAGAGGAAGGTAGAGCGTCATCAGGATCCTGGCCCGGGCAACTATCATGACACTACTGCTCCTCTTATTACCGAACAAATAGCTCTCAGACTAGAATTGAACCATTATCTGAAACAAGAAATTTTCTACCTGGACAAAGAACCCGGACGAGCCAATCAATGCTCTGGAAACGGCCTTGCAGTTTATAGACCAGCATCCTGACTGTGCCGCTCCAAAGGGACCTGCTTATTGTGATGGCAGAACGAGTGCAGGTTGGGCAAATGGACGGCAGTAAAATTGATATGATCGAACCAGAGGAAAGGAAAATTGTTTTCCACATACTGTTTGGAGGCTATCAGAACCCCATCCAACTCTCCATATGCAGGATAGTTCACTGGGAATTGTTGTCGTGGCCGACGAGCTCATAGATGAGTTCCTGTCCAAGCTGGGAGGCGGAATATGGTCCTTCCTTTGAGAGAGCTTCTATACGACGACGCCCGGCCTCTATCGAAATCGACCACCCCTTCATCTATGGCTACCTCAATATGCTTCCCAATCGCATCGCAATCAACACCAAGCTGACATATTCCCCTGAGCTCGCCTTGAAATGTATGTGTAACATCACTGAACTGGAGCAGTCCTTCGAAGCAAAGAAAGAGCTTTCGCTGGGTGGGCAAATTTTCAGCTTGCGACGCATTGCAAATCTGATCCTAGATTTGCCAGCGAATCTGCACCACAAGGTTTTCTTTCCACCGATGAACATCCTCAGCATCTTAGTGAGGCTGAACGAGTGCAGAAAAGGGTCCTGAAGGTTGCTGCCACTGTTAACCCACTCAAACGAGACGAGGCATGTGATGAAACATGCGCCTTGGGTCTGATCTCAATGGCTAAGATTGCTTGGCGCAGCAGAAGGTGGAAAGGCTTCAGAAGGAAGATGAGAGGGAAAGTCGCTGACGTGGGACAGGCGTGGATGGTTCAATATATTCTCTTCAGCTTACGGCGATAATTTTTGATCGTGATCAGCCACTGTCTCCTTAAGCAGGAAGACTTGCCATCCATTGACTGAAAGCTGTGATACTGGGAAAGTCTACATTGTGGAAAGAACCGCCTTGATCACACCTAATGAGCTAACCTCTGGTTTGCTGCTATTTTATGGCGGAATGCTTCTACAAAGTTACCACCTATGCAAAGAATAAGACTTAAGCTGTTCATGGAGACGTAAGATAGCAACCGTCAAGAAATGGGATGATTGAAATTTCGAGTATCTAGAGGTCGGGCTCAAGAGCAAGCACGAGAGTGAGCACAAGAGCAAGAGACGGGAGACAAGACTTGAATGCAGATGAAACAATGACTTAGGCCGCGACGGCCTTCCTAATATTCGACCCCGGGCATTGCAATGGCTGACATGGCAGCGTCCATATCTCGATCCCCGAGGAAATCGAAATGGGGTGCAACACAGCCCTTTCACGATCTATGTTAGCAGGTAGCATTCCATAAATCAAGCGTGGACAGGGACCCCATGGCCTTTGCATGTACTTTACATATTGAGCGCTCGAGGTAGAGAGATTCGCATGACGTGCAACGCACGGCAGAGCTCCAATCCTCGATCATCTTCATCTTCCGTACCTCAGTCGACCATCGCCTCCACCACGTCCTATTGACTGTATCGAATCACCTGTCCGGATACGCCGTGGCGCCATCACCATCCTGCCTTTATCGACATACTGCAGCCTAAGATCATGACGATTTCCGGAAACAGGAGCGAAATTTCTCATCATGAAATCTAGGACTCTGGAGGCTCCGTTCGGAAAGAGGCTTTCCGCTTCCAAGCGGTCCGCAAGATCTTCTAATTCGTCTGTCTGCTCACGAGATCGCGCCTTAACTCGGCTTAACTCAGCCTCGAAACGTATAATCTTGTCCTGGGCCTTTGCGCTGTCTTGCCTCCGAATTGCCTCAACTTGCAGCAGCAGCTCTTTCTCTTTCTGCTGGCAGTCTTGTCTCAGCAAATGCATTTCATCTTGGACTTCTTTCAGTTTTGTCTGTAGAGCAGCAACATTCGGAGTCGTGTTCAGATTTCTCTCCCTTTCCATCTCCTCAACTCCAATTATATATTCTGGACCCTTCTCGGCTTCGAGTTGTCTCAGATTGATACGCATATCTCTGGAATCTTGATCGACTTTCTCGAGAGCAGTCTCCGCGTCATTACGCTGTAGCAGTAACTCGTTCTCAGTTTGAAGATCGCCCTCTTGATGTGCATCATCGATGGCTATCTGCAATTGTCGTACTTCCCATTCAAACATCTCTTTGATCCTAGCGGAAGTGTCTTGCAGCAATTTGCCAGCTTCTGTCTGATCCAGTGTGAGTTTATCATTGACAAGCTCTCGCTGAATGTTGAGAACCACTTTGTGCCGAAGACTAAGAAACCATTGAAATAGTTCTTCGGCCGACACCCTCTGTTCAAAATGCCGAAAGGTGCGACTTCCCCGTTAGTCCATTGCTCCCCAGAACTTAACGTTACCTCGCAACTCAGCCTCACGCTCCTCGCTCACGGCCTGTGCTTCAGTGCCGCCAAGTCCTTGCCACTTGCGGGAAGCACTGTGGGCCACAGAGCTTTTGAAACACTTCGAGATTTTGACAGCTGAGCCTGGCCTTCGAGAGTCTGTGATCCGATGTACGTAGACGAGCCCTGTGACGCGAATCTTCTGGACACACAGCTTTGTCAAAAAGGCTACGATTTCCTTCAAGATCTCCGTGTCACATCGATTCGTGTCGTCAAAACCGGGAGTGTCAATCAAGAAAGTCTGCCTTCCAGCACTCGTGCCAGGCTAACGGATCTTATTACGTAGGCCACAAGACATTGTCATCGCTGTCATGGGCGTTACAGGATCAGGAAAAAGCACATTCATCTCCCATTTCAGCGAGGATATGCCTGTCATAGGCAGAACTTGGTCTCGTGTAAGCAAGAAACACTGGAACAGTACTGGGCGTACTGACTTCCAAAGGTACCAGCGAAGTTGGAATCTTCCGGTGTTCTGCGAACGGCATTGGCACCTTCTACCTGGTAGACTCTCCGGGGTTTGATCACACACACAAGTCCGATACAGACATCTTGATGGAGCTCTCGGCATGGATGAACCAGGCCTATGAATCCAAAATACTCCTCACAGGTATCATATGTTTGCACAGAATTATGGACCCCAGACTTGGCGGTAAGGCGCTGCAAAACCTCAAGATGTTCAAAAGCCTCTGCGGAGATGAAGCACTGTCTAAAGTCGTACTCGCCACCACTTTTTGGGGCAATGTTAACTCCTCCACTGGAATGGTTCGTGAAAAGGAATTCGAGAAGAGCGAATACTGGGGCAAGATGATCCAGAAAGGCAGTAAGGTCTTGCGACAAGATGATGGTCGAGCGTCAGCCAGATTGATCATTGAGTACTTGGTGAAGAAGCGGACTCCAGCAAGTGCTGGCGTGGCGCTGGATATTCAAATACAAATGGTTGATGAGGGAAAGTCGCTGGACCAGACAGGCGCGGGACAGGAGATGAATGCCCAGATATTAGCCATGAGAAAGGAGTACGAAAACAAGATAGCCACTCTTCGGGCCGATCTGAGGGTCGCAATTGAGAGGAAGGACAAGAAGTGGAAGGCCCAAATTGAGGATGAAAGGCGTAGAACGAAGACGAAGCTCGAAAACGCGGAAAAGGACAGAATGAAGTTGCAAGCCGATAACGAAGAGCTCAAGAAACGCATCAGCGACAGACGAAGATCGTTCGACCGTGACTTCCTCGACACAGAGCGGCGGATGCAAGGTCTCGCATACGAGCTGCAAATCATGCGGGAACGTAACGAAGCAGCTGAAAAACAGCAGGAACTCAGATATCAGGTTCAAGCCAAGCAGGACAAGCTCGAGATGCTGCAATGGAAGATCAGACAGGCACAGACATGCGTTCTGATGTGAATAGGAGTGGCTGTTTCTGTGGCAGGGAGCTTGTAATAAAAAGCCGCCTGTTGTCGAATCATTTTCATTTCCGATCTTTCTGCTCTATATAGGAAGGGGGAGATAGATCTCATTCTGCTGGTTACACATTAAGTCTGGCTTGAGGTGCATTGTGTTTAGCGACATGATGAAGGCGTATAAAGGCATGGCAGTACTCATACATGATGCAAATCAGTGAGACTCGTTGAGATCAGGCATTACCTACTACCTGAGAGACAGCTGGAATGCTCTCTGAACATACTATGTATGCATGGACACTAACTACAGTTCTCTGTTGAAGTTCAACAACTTCAACTTGAAGGTCAAAGGCTGGTCTTGGCGCGTTTAGACACCCTGGCCGTTCATTGCGCCGAAATCACAGAAATCCGCAATCAATTCCGCACGTCGCCAAAACTACCTCATTCTATTTGAAATGGCGCTGGACGTCTACCGTCGTACTACGCTGTTTTTCCACTTTGTCATGTGCTATGTCGAAGCCAATTGACGCGGCAGAAGGTTGGCAGATATCTGAGATAGACATTGAATAGTGCTGATCGAGACTCAGTCGCGAAGCACAACACAAAGGAGTCGTGCTGGGTCAGTATAAAGCTGGAAATGTCCTATGGTATAAGATGCTAATTCATGTAGGTCATACTCTATGGTTCGGTTTGGGACGTGACAGACTTCCTGCCTAGTCATCCTGGCGGCAGCAACATTGTCCTAAAGCTCGCCGGAAAAGATGCTACTGAAGAATATGATCCAATTCACCCACCGGGGACGTTGGAGGAGAGCCTCTCTGAGGAAGCTCGGCTTGGACCAATTGACCCTAAGACTCTGCCAGAACCAGTCCAATCAGCCAAAGACGTGGGACCCGAGCCTAATTCAGTAGCCTCAGTACCCATGTCCTCCCTCCTCAACCTCGACGAAATCGAAGCAGCTGCAACGAAGAAGCTCAGCAGAAAAGGATGGGCATACTACTACTCCGCTGCTGACGATCTTCACTCCAAACACCTCAACAATTCAATTTACCGGTCCATCCTCCTTCGACCCCGCATTTTCATGGATTGCTCCAAATGTGACACAAGCACCACATTCCTTGGGCACAATCTCCGGATCCCTATCTTCGTATCGCCTGCTGCAATGGCTAGATTAGCCCATCCAGACGGCGAATGGGGCATTGCACAAGCATGCAAGAAGTTCGGCGCAATGCAAATGATCAGCAACAATGCCAGCATGACGCCAGAGCAGATCGTAAAGAATGCTCCGCCAGACCAAATATTCGGATGGCAACTGTACGTCCAGATCGATAAAAGGAAAAGCGAGGACATGTTGGCAAGGATAAACGAACTTGACGCGATCAAATTCGTCTGTCTGACCCTGGATGCACCTACTCCAGGGAAGAGAGAGGAAGACGAGCGGGCGAAGAACATCGTGGACAAGGACAATTCTTCAATTCTCAAAGACGCAGGCGGACATGAGTTGAAAGGTGGAGGTGGGATTGGACAATCACTGTTTTTCGGTATGGATCCAACTCTGACCTGGTCTAAGACGTTGCCATGGTTGGCGGAACATACGCACAAACCAATCATACTGAAGGGCCTGCAGACACATGAGGACGCTTATCTGGCCAGTCAACATGCGCCGCGGGTCAAAGGGATCATCTTGTCGAATCATGGTGGAAGAGCGGCGGATACTGCGCCCCCATCCGTTCACACCTTGCTGGAGATCCGGAAGTATTGTCCCGAGGTATTTGACAAGCTGGATGTGGTTGTTGATGGTGGCATCAAGCGTGGCACAGACGTTGTGAAAGCCCTGTGTCTCGGGGCGAAGGCGGTAGGGATTGGACGAGCGGCACTTTTCGGACTGGGTGCTGGTGGGATTGAGGGCGTTGAAAGAGTATTGGAAATTCTCCGGGATGAAACCATGACGGCGATGAGGTTGCTGGGTGCGGAGAAGGTGGGAGAGCTGGGCTTGAGGCATGTCAATACCAGGGTGGCGGAGAGGGATATCTATGATGGACCTGGTGGTATGGACGGATTACAGGGGGCAGTAAAAGGTCTGTTGATCAAGGCAAAGCTGTAGACCCGGAGTTGGATACTTGTTTGCTGCATCTTGCGGTCACACATTGTACTGCGCTGATTTGAGCATCGAACTGAGATGATTACGATGCGCTTGATAACTAAACACCATTTCCGACGTCAGTTGTCTGGGGGTTATGACAATTGGAATTTAACATGGCACACCATGGCAGATGGCAGAATTGGGATTATATCTATCTATTACATGTCACATCAGAGGGTGCAGATGATTGTAGGTGAAGATAGGTTCCTCTGCCTAGCTTACTGTAGTGTACAGTCACTCTCCTTAGATCGCAACCTAATTGAGTAAGCAATCGATTCGAGTTAATAGGCGATAATCAGAAACCTTAGTTAAGTAAGGTCCCCTTCGAGCGCCCCGCAAGCTGCTTTTGGGTTTCGCAACACTGAATAAACAACTTCTTCCAGCAGAGCCATCTGTGTGGAGATAGGGTGTCTCTTCTTTAAAATTGCTACTCGAGTGCTACCGCTGTTGCATCTCCTTTAATTGAACTCAGCATGTTCACCGTAAGTCAAGCCTCTCATTCAATCTTCATCTCCTCGGCTATCGTAGAACTAATCGGCTTCTCTCCCCACAACAAGACACGCCACCCGCAAGACATCTACACCTACCCACGTCCCGACCCACGAACGGGGCGACTCCACCGCGCGCGGTCCGCCCTCCTCACCGATCCCGAACTCGTCGAGCTCCGCGCCGCCCAACGCACCTTTGAAGGCGCCTACATCCGCACCTCGCTCTCACAGTTCAGCTTCGCTTTGGTGGTCTTGAAGATCTTCACTGCGGAGTTCTATAGTATCGGAGCCTTGTTTGCAGTTTATGGGGCGGGTGTGTTGGCGGTGGGTGGTTATCGGAGGAGGGAGGGGAACAGACAGTTTTTTGTGGTTATCAAGGAGGAGAGGAAGAGGGGGCCCGATGATGGTGTTGGGGTGTTGGGAGAGCAGCAAGAAGAGCATGAAGGAGAGGTTGGCACTTTGCAGACCGAGAAGCGGTTTCGGACCAGTGGGAACGTGGTTGTGGTGCTGACGATTCTGAGTGTTATGGCGTATGCGACGTTGTTAGTGCTGACGCTGAGGCTGGGAGACACGGAGTGATTGGGTTGTGAAGGGTGGTCAAGGAAGCGGACGCCTCCGATCTCGACAAGACGGATGTTGGAGTTGGCATACCTATGGGTGGGATCTGTCTAGTTCTGGACCAGGGCAAGAGTTGCTGCGCAGGTTGGCAGACAGGGTGCCAGGAGTGGATGGAACGAGATCTGCAAGGCCTCAAATGTTCAGCACTATACCGCCATGACCGTTCAGCACAGCAGGGCAGAGTAGCCGGCCGCTGCTGCCACTATGCTCTGTTCAACTACAACACGAGCGACGATCCCAAAATCTGCCAAACATCTTCTCCCAATTCTGGCACCTGACGATCATGTCTACCGGCTGCATATCAGACAAAATAGCCCTTCTGAAGGTGACTCATCTGAATGCATCCGAATATGCGCATAGGAGAGCTTTGAAGTGGGTTGTGAGGTAGCGATGTGGGGCTGTGAGGACCGGGTGGACTGGAAGGAGTATGAGAATTTTGGCCTACCTTTGAATCTCAAGGCCATTGATAGCGTTACTCGTGGATAGAAAGAGGCGTCACCATCCTACTGACTGCATCTAGTTGTTGATGGAAAGGAGACCTATCTAACGGCATAGTCGAAGGTGTTGGACCAAGGGGATGTTCGGTCCTCTAGATATCATACACCTCTAAGAACTCCGTCTAGTTCACACCTCGTACTACATGCATAATCTCTCGGCCCAAGTATTCTGTCTTCAAATTGTTGTAGCTTATTGATCTTTTGATAGCGGCCGCAATCGCTCGACCTACGTACATCTGAATACATCGCCCGCTCGTAGACTGCTCAAACAAACTTTTTATGAAGATTGCTTCAGTGTCCTTGTCATCTGTCGTTTCTGAAGAAGTTTCTCTTTCAGGAAAGCCATACTGGTAAGTACATAGATATGGATGCTCTACTGATTGCAGACAGTGCGGGCGCATAGAGTGCGGGGCATATAGTGCGGCCGCTACTACAGGGCATAGAGTGCGGCCGCTACTACGGGGCATATAGTGCGGCCGCACACTACGCCGCAAATGGTGCTGCCGCACACTAATGCCGCATAGCGCGCGGTCAGCAGCTGGCGCTTCACGCGCGACTTGATCAAGCTCCACCACTACATCTCTGATGTCTCTGATGTAATCGCTCGATGCGTCAATACACTCTTATGTTGAAGGGCTATCATATCAGTCGTTTTTCGCTCGGATACCGAACCTCCAGTGGAAGATCAAAGATGGCGGCATACCGCGCGCCGCTCGGTTGCGCGTGAGTCACTTAGCGGCCGACGTGCAGTGTGCGGTAATCACTGAATCTGCGGTTTGCTCTTTCGCCTCCATTTCTTTTGCGGTTCATTCGCTCTACTGAGTCTGATGTTCGCTTGGTGCAACTCTCTCATATCCAACGATGACCGCCTCAACCCGACTCTTGCTAAAGAAGCTGTGGTCTGAGCGGAATACTAGCGGCCGGCGCGCGGCGCGCACGCTATGCGATGAGTAAAGTGTATCCTGTTGAGTTTTACTTGACCAACTGCGTTTCGATCCAAGTTCCTTATCGAGGATCATGTTCGCTTGAGAGCGCACTATCATCTCTGGTAGAATTTATTCCTACCTGACTTATTAAGCGGGAGTTGTGGTTATCGCTATGCACCGCCAGCCGACCGCAGCACAGCGCGCGCTATGCGGCCGCTGCCAAATGTGGGTTCGAGTGCATTGCCCAATTCTTCTCAGAACCCATTTGCAAAAGATCTTGCCCAGTCGCCATGAGCAGTACTACGATGTCTAACAACTTTATCTCTATGAGTTAGTCTCATGACAAATTTAAGGTAGGTGCTGCAAAACACTGCTGTTGGACCAAAAGGACCGCGGCCCTCAGAGGACCGTTTACTAGCTTTTGTTTGACAACTGCCAATTTGCCTGCGCGCGGTATGCGGCCATGCGCTACCATTTCAGGCCGGGTTCTATATTTTCGTCTCAAGGAGAATGACAATTTTACAAGAAAGTTCCCTTGTACATCTTCGCTCCAGCAAGACTCCTTGTCGTTGATGTACTATGGTGAAAGTTCTCAACCGCATACCGCTGCGGCGGCGCGGCGGCCGGCTTGCGGTGAGGCGCTGAGCGGCCGCGCGCACTAATACGATTCCGCAATTTATGCGGTCCTCTTTCTTTCTGCCAATGAAAGTCCGACTCCGTTAGGGGCAGGCTCCGTCGATGTGCTGTGAGAAGTACTACTACGTTCTACCAGAGTTTCATTCGATTCTGTCCTATCTCACCAAGAAGTCGTGTGGGTGCCGCAAACCGCGCGGCCGCCCGGTAGGCGACACTGTTGATCGGTCGCCGCGCTGTATGCAGTGGCTGGAGCCTACGCGCTTCAACTCTTTCCCACCAATCGTACTTTGATTCCGTCGGTGATCAGTCCGTTGGAGCTGTCTCTCTCGAAGTAATGCATGAAATCAGTTTCCGCTTGAGGCTTGATTCAAAGGACTGCTAGTTAGCTCATGTCGCTGCTCTATCATTGTCGCTTGTGCCACGCATGCCACCCTAAACGTCCACTTACTGATAGTATTGACTCTACCATCGTTGGCCTTACCTTGGAAGATGCTGTTATCCCTTTGACCTTTGTCATGATTAGGGTTGAGCTGATGGAATGCAAGGCTGCCGGGCAATCACCACGGCCGCAGCATTGGGAGTACCGAAATCAATCTCCATCACTACACCTTTGATGCTGGCGGCGATGGGCTCATTCGCAGCGTCATAGTTAACACTCCAGTCTTTGAACTCGTCGCCTTGATGCAGCTTAGGCTCCTTGAACATCGCGCTTTCAAACATTTCGCGCAGCACAGACACCGCCTCGATGAACAGACAGCCAATGACCTGACTCGAGCATCACGCCTCCTCTATCGTCGACTCTATTATGATTTGATGCGGCCTGAAAACTAGTACATACTGCTGGTTTTATCTTCGGGCAACCCATGCCAGTTACCTACTAAGTACCGAGGAAGCATCGCTGCATAACCGCCGATCCCACAGTTTCCCTTCAATCAAGCTCCGACAAGATTGGCTCTTATCTTATCAGACCAGGCTTGAACAGGATCACAGTCTCGTACACCTGTGTCTAGCTCCGACTCCACTACACGAAATACTGGCTCACTAGGAATCCGCCGTCGCAGTATCGCCGGTCTTATTGCTCTCCTCAATCATCAGTCCAATATTGTCGGCATCGATATAACTCCATGCGCCTTGCATCACCTCTAGGTTCTATCATATTCCCAGCCCTGTTACAACGCCAATTGCTGAGACCATAGCCCACCGATTCTTATCCCGCTGCGTTACCGCTGATGTGACCGGCCTCTGGCACAACTGTGGTAGGACTTATTGGGGGCTTATTCGGTTCGCCCTTCTGATTGCTATGGCTCATATAAATTACGCCCCGCTTCGGCTCGATCTTGCACCATGGTAGCTTACCGGCTATTCGCCGCTTTGATCGCTTACTTGCATTTCAGCTCCGACTTCACCGACCTTGATATCATTTATATCGCGTGAGAAACATCATTTTCGCTTATGGTGTAGTCGTTGTTTGAACGCCCTTTCTAGAGCAGTAGCTCATCGTGCAGTTGCCGCTCTCCTTTCTACCCCTACACGTATAGCCATAACGCATAGTCGCCGCCGCAGAAGCTACCGTCCCGTCCAAGTTGACACACCTGCTGCCTCGCATCTCATCGGTCTTGAAATCGTTTGAATTGTCTCTTCGGCAGCTACACAGTGCTATGTTGTGGTGAGTGTGCGATAAAGTTTCATAGTCTGGTGGCCTGGCCTGGTTCCTGACAAGCGGCAGCACACAACATGCGCTTCACCCGCACTTCACCAATCCCACTTTCGCTTCGCCGGTGTTGATTAAGTTTCAGCCGCCTCATTTAGACCTAGATCTAGCGGGTTTATTGATTATTATCTGATCTCTTCTGGTCTTTGCAGTTGAGCCTTCACCGTAGACTTAGCGACGCCCGCAAGCGCCTGAATTTCACCAAGGTCTAGACTCGTCACACAGGTGCTTATGGTACTGCTGGCCTACCGCATATTCTACAGCAGTAGAGAGTATGCGGCGTAGTAGGGGGCCCTTCTGCTTACTCTGTAAGATGATGTGCTAGTGTATGGACATTCGTATCTGAACAATCTATGCTCAAACCATTGTCCATCACGTCTTCCGTACTATTACCTATATAGGCAAATGGCAACTTTCTCCCCTCATTTCAAGATTTTTCTTGCCGGATGGAGGCAGCCTTGCGGAAATACCAACTACCTGAGATTTGGGTAGATGAGATTATAGAGGTCAATTCATACTAGACAGCTCAGTCCACGCCGTCACGTGTGTGCCCTATACGGTTGATATATGATAATTTAGCCGAGTAAAGGAAGAGAAACTCGATTCCATACCAAACAAGCCTTAATCGGCGACGATGTAACGTCTAGCAACCCCTCTTGCTCTACGACAAAGGAAAATCGATGTGGTTTTTGGGGAATTTTGATCAATACAAGAATCGCGCGCCAGATTCTGACTCCTCAAAAGCCAATTATGACCGACGTCCCCCTTGCAGCACTCTGTTTTCTTCACATAACTATCTCCACCCATGCGGGCCCATGTGTTCTTCCCTCACACAGGCATTTCGTGGTGGTTCATACTGGATGGACGCGCGTCAGATGGGTAACCCCACCACGGCCGCGAGAAATTCCTCGAGTGGAGAAAGCTCCCCTCTCTAGATCGGGATGTGTTAGCGTTCCGTGAAGGAGTGGGACACCACAGCAGCCAAGACGGTTGCAGAAGAGTCGTACTGACCCGTTGATTGACCCGAGAACCGTCTCCTCAACGCGCATCTCTTGAGGCACCGAAGACTTCGAGTCGACACGTTCGAGCGCATTGAGCCGTACGTCTGGGTTTTCCCGAGATCTGCCCCTGGAGCGGTGGTGCGGCAAACTGAGTAGAGCAGTCATACGCGCAAACTTGGACTTGTGATGCCGAACCACTGCGGGGATGTATGGCACCGAGGCACAAATGACACCCAAACAGACTTCCACGACTCTGCGAACGACGATGTGAGTATGTGGGAAATAAGATGCAGATAGAGAACTTACACTAGCCCAAGTACTGGGGACGTGTTCCAGGGGTGGTCCGGACCGCTATCCAAAATACGATAATAGAGTCCTAGGATACTGGAGACGATGGCTCTGGGGTCTACTTAGTATCCTCGTGAAGGTGAAGATATCGAAATGCATGGAGAGGACAGATGGAACAAGGGGCAACGTTACATTGTGCCTGCCATAAAGATGGCGCAGATCCCGAGCTTTTTCCGGATCGGTAGTTGCAATTTCAGAATGGGTGGGAAAGGCAAAAAGAAGATATAGAGATCAGATGCAATGCCGAAGCCACTCTGAGCATAGTACATAGGTGCCATTGGCTGACACTGCGCCGAAAACACTTTCGCTGACCATGTTGTGCCAAGCCGTCGCACGCATGCAATGCCAATGTAGATTGTGATAGCAACGTAGAAAAGAAAATTGACGACAATTCCTAAATATATGGCGAATCTTGTTGTACGGTTGCACGAAAAGATGCGTAAATAGAGGAGAAAGAGAGTTAGCTTGGCAAAAAATAGAGTCGGACCATAGGGGATTAGAATGACCGCCACCGTGATCTGGCTTTAGTTAACAAGCTGTTTTACAAGAGGGTGTCATATCTTACCCTCATGTATTGATCTGTGAACTCTGTCGCCCGCACGTTCCATCCATGCGGCCCATAGATATCCATACCTATCTACCTGTCATTTCATGCTTATCTCATGGAACGAGCAAATATACACTAGATCACAGCTGCCGCATAAGAGGTTGCCCCAACCTTTCCATGATTTATTTTCCTGCGATCGCAGCCTTGAAAACATTTGGCTCACAGCGGCAAGAACAGAAGACACTGTCGGTACGCATTAACAGTGGTTCTTCTACTGTCGAGGAGATATTTACCGTCATCCCATCCGAAAGAGCGCATTACCCACACTTTGGAATAGACCCTCAAGAGAAACAGGGGCCACATAAGTGCAAGACATGCCGAGCATAGCGCGATGATGGTTGGGCCCCGACTTTCGGGGGTTTCAAAGTTCGACTGCTGTCCGAGGGGTGGAGGCATGAAAGGAAGGTCCTGGATTGGAGGATGTATAGACATTATTGCGATAAGAGGAAAGTTAAACAGGATGATTTGAAAGCAGTGTAGAGTCTTTGAAGTCGAGCGTGTCCAAAGTCGTCTCCAAAGCTAGCCATGATATAGTTATCATTTATGGTTTCATGGACTCTGGCTTGCGTGTACCGCCCCTTTGCAAATTGTATCAACTACTGCTGTGTTCCCCGGGTGGCCATCATGAGCTCTTCGATGTTGGTATAGTAGACCTAGGATTAAAGAAAACACAGCTGCAACTGATGCGGGTTCCTCCAATAAGTGGTCAACGATTTCGCCAGAACACTGGGCACGGCAGACCGACAACAGCTCGTGCATGATAGCCTTGCTGGGTGTGCTAAGAGGGAAGCAAATGCTTCTAGGTTGCGACATTATGACAATGATGCCTTGAGCCTCTTGTTCACTGGGCCAGTGCAAAGGGAGCTGGATAGCCTTGCCATTCTCGCCCCAAAGCTCAGACAAGCCAGCAAGGAAGGCATCTAGGTTTGCCAGTAGAATGCCGGTTGTTAGAAGTATGCCATGAAGCAGTGCAGATTAGATTAGTAAGCAAGAGAAAGTAGATGGAATGGATTGATTGACTTGCTATCTCAACTCCTGAGGAGTAGGATGACCGCTATATATACGCATAGAAGAGGCAAGCTATAGAATCACCTAGAAGGAGATCATAAACCAGCGTTGCAATGCTAACTGCAGCATTTTGTGAGTGTATGCGTTTCTGAGTAATAGCGCGTGGCGAACAGTTGCGGTGGTCGGAGAACTCCGTCTTCCGCTGACACCGGTCTCACAGTAGTGCTGCAGAGAATGAACATGATATCAGATAGGAAAGATGTGCTCTTTTAGCGTTGGTTTGATTGTACGACGATGCAAGTCTGACTTGATTTGAGCTTTCATGGCAAGGCTGATGTTGCAAACACACTTCAGTAAGTAACGGCACCGTACCTGGAATACAACACCACATCAAGTACAGTCCCGGAACTCGTGACTGCAGAGAAAGTTTTTAGAAATTTGCCACCTTTCCTACATATAATTTGTTTCTGTGTGAATAGACCAGTGAGAATGATGCTTGGAATTTCATCTCAATCCAAACTTTGAAGTGACCCCGGAGCATTAGGGGCGGATCTTGGCAGCACGGGATTGTGCAGGTATGCTCGTTATATAAGGTTTATGTGAACCATGGTAAAGTGACCTGTTGGCTATGCAACACAGGGATTTTCCCGCTTCTCACCTACGATCGCCGGGCTCCTTGAGAAAATCATCGTATATTCTCCGATTGCCTCAACATCTCTATTTCAGGCTTACAAGGTTCGATCCTAAAAACCACTGTTCGACACCTCATCATTAATGACTTACAGAGGGCATCAGCACAATCAGGTGACAGCAACGTCCAGATACGCTAAAGATCTTTGTCGCTATATTCCGACTGGAAGGACCAAAACTGACTCATACTTATTGAGAAGAAGCTCACCTAAGTCGTCCCAGTCAAGTTACGATGCGGCTCTGTTTCATCCCAAAAGAACGGGAATACGTGAGATATGTTGTTGTCGCAGTCTAGCTGCGGCACGGAACCTGTGGCATGGAACCTGCGGCATAGATTATGCTGTGCGGCATACTCACTCAACATGGATCTCATTCCTCCCAGCCATAGTGGTTGCAGACATGATGGACTTTATCGGCATGACAAGGCTCCTTCGAAATCATGAACGTTACGGTTCGACCTGTCATGGTTCCCTTGTTCTAGCACTTTTCACTTGAATAGCAATTCGTGCCTTCGCAATCGGCCTCAACGAGTCACTGGTTACTACCGCCATACTCGTCCGACTTTTGCAGGAAGTTTTACCTGCCTTTCGACAAGGCGACGATCACGCTTCCTCCCTGTACGGGACTTTCTTCGCCATCTGTGACATGGCTGTCTTTGCGCAATTGGATTCTCAGTATCGACCCTGCTCTACAACTAAGAGAACCACCGGATCTGCCATTCAGGGTTGCTGGCGCGGAGACTTCGATTTCCCCAATTCCATGTCCAATTACAATGTTACACTACAGTCATAGGTGAGTTGTTGGCTGCTGGTTCTCTTTGCCGGAGATCCCAATTGGTCTCTGGCTACAGGCCAAGCAGCCAGCTCTTCAAAGGATACCAAAGGCACGGTCACAAAAGATAGGTAAGTGAGACAGTGGTCGCTGCTGAGTAAACTTTGGGATGGTGGGACAGAGCGTACTTTGGAAGTTCTTATGACCCATTCGGATTGACGGTAGCCGGGCAAAAACTGTACATCATCACATCTCCAGAAGATATGACAGACATCTACAGAGATAGCAAGACTCTCACATTTGATGAATACGTTCAAGACGCATTGGCGTCAGCGAGAAGAGTATTTCGAAACTATGAAAGAGCTTAGCCGATCACGGGGTATCTAGTTCTCTACACAGGCCCTAAACCACGCTGCAGGAGACTTGTATAGAGAATAGCTACCTCCCGGCCATCATCTAGATAATTTATGGGGGGCGAGCTCTTGGTCTGATCGTCTCATCTGTGCAACGAAACATGCTGCCCTGATGCCCTGACCCCAATGGCAAGGACAAACAGTGTCTCTCTTTCCGGAAATTCGTGAAACCCGTTTGAAAATGTGGCTGATGCTTTTTTCGCTTCGCCATCTACTGGGACTTGAGCTGGAACTCTTACAACACTTTGTAATTCTAGATGGTGAGAGCTGGAAGCTCAACTACAAGTATCCGCGCTACATGTCGAGGAACATGTATGACGCGAAAGATAAACTGCTAGCAGCTATTAACACTTACTTTCGGCTGCCAACGGATGATAAAATGGAGGCGGTGTGGTTGAGTCGAAGACTGGAGGACGAACTAAAAAGGCAATATCGCTATGAACGACCTCGGAGCAATGATCACATCACCTTTATGGGTGTAAAGTCAATCCGAACTGTTCCTGTTCTGACGTTCTACATTTCGAAACCTGCTTGAGCTGGTCAGCATAACGAGACACTGATCCTTACAGCATACGGAGCAGCGGGTCCTAGAAGCTCTGCTTTTGGTATATATGGCGTACCTCCTCTATAATTCTTCAATTTCTTCACTATCGAAGTTCAAGTCGACATATTTAATTACGAGATTCTTGCGGGCCTGGAGACAAGACTGGAGGAATGTCCCCACTCGATGGCATTCAATCATGAAGTCCTCCGCCTAACCGCAGTTTCAACTTCACTCTGCATGAGTGAATCCGACATGGCTCTCAGGAACGTCACTTCGCAGGCAGGCGGGTGGCAAAGTCTTACTACCCTTCCGCCAGCTGCATTTTGGAGAGACAGTCTTCGCGCGACCAGTGTGTCCATTTGAATCAAATCGAGTCAGATAACACAAATCAAATCAAAACTCCGAAATCTGACAAATTAAAATATTCAGTGTTATTTTTGATGAAAGGAGAAAAAGTCTTGGCGGACTCCTATTTGTGAGGTGAAAATCCTCCACAGTCCTTCGAACAAAAACGATTGCTTACTAACATTTGACTCTACCTGATAAATAAGTCAAATCTAATAAAATCAACCTCTGGGATGAGATCAGCAAATCAAATGGGGGTTGGATACACCGTGGGCGACGATACCCATCTCTTTTTGAGCTAGAACCCTCTCTCCGAGACAGAAACTCTGAGCAAATGTCCAAGTTTCCGCCCCGCTCGGGAGTGGAACTACTTCCTGTCCCGACCAATATGTGGCAAGATGAGAAGTGCTTGCTTGCTCGCATCGCAATTGGCAGAGCATCGGCTCGATATCGAAAACCGAGTCTCGCGCTCATGATACCGATGGCAAGGTTAGAATATTCAAGTCACAACCAGCAGGCGCGGCATTGCTGAGAATCCTCTTTGGTGAAGGCCTTTGGTGAAAGTGGAATCTGCAGAGCTGCTCGCCTTCTATTGGTGGCGTGTACGAAGGGATAGGAGAAGAGGTTTAACGGAGAGAATCGCTCGTGTTGGAATGTAAAATGGCCCTTGGCTCAATTGTACCTCGGCAAATCTTTTCTAGCAGACGGGACTGGTCACTGATAGTAATAGGAGGTATGGAATGGCCGTTCTCTGTATTCGTTCGTCATTTGCTCGATACGCTGCCTTTAGAGATCCCTATCCTAGAAGATCTTTTGAGGTCTTGAAATGCTAGAACAGCTGTGTTATCTTAGCTCTGGCAGGGTGGATGCTCAGCGAAAGTTGAATCCCTTGACGGACGATCCTTGGTTGCGTCAAAGAGTGGTGATGGTGGAGGTGGTGGTGGACGGCTGTGGGCGAACGGTTTTTTGTCCGGTTTGAAAGACCACTTCCATTCAATGCGACGGACGATGGGTTTGATCCACAAGTCAGAAGACGTTTTCATTGTTTTACTTCTCCCCTTATTGTAGCTTTAACTTCATGCCTATCCGGCAGCTATCTACATCCTATCCGCCACTGGACTAATTCGAGGACTAACTCGAAGACCGATTCGGCAAGAACAGACTTCCTAGCCCAGCTGACCTGCTCTACCTACAGATCCACCACTGGAGCCTGCTGGACGACAAAGCGGTTTTCATCCGCCTTCTGCCCTGCCACATTCACCGTATGCTCCGTTGCCAGCTTGGCCCAGAAGTCGCAAATCTCAGCTGTGTCCTGGTCGTCGGTGGTGAGGTACCAAGACTTGCGATTCATCGACAGAACATCCGAGATGGTATCGCCGAACACGGCAGCGGGCCAATCCAGCTTGGTGCTGTCGACTTTGTACTTATTGGGATTTCCTGAAACGGCATGCGAGATGATGTAGTTCTGATAAGCCTTGGCGAAGGCCGGGAACATGGCGTCGATGATACGCATCTCGGCAGCATCGACGTGGTCGTAGAGGGCAAATTCCTTGGAGAATTCGGAGAAGGCGACACCGGGCTTCCAGAACAAGGGGATGAGGTCGGAGGTGTGGACGGCGATGCCGAACTCTTCGGCGAAGCGGTACGACATCAAGTAGACGGGTTTTGAGATGGCGTTGTAGACGTCTAAAAGCTGGCGGCAGTTGCAGGTGAAGGAGAAGTCGCGGACGGCGATGGCGGCGCGCTTGTAGGGGTCGGTGATGCCGGAGTACTGCGAAGTAATGTCCTGTCGGGCGGACTCCATGCTCGGTCCTGGGAATGTAATCTCCAGGAACTGTTGGAATCCGGCTTCGTCTTTAACGTAGTCTGGGGCCATGCCGATGCTTTCGTCCTGAACATGGGAGACTATAAGAGAATCGACGTAAGGATTCGCGAAACCTGGAGGCTGTCAGTGTGATCCAACAGAATGATCATCGGGGAAAATACCTTGTGAAAATGTGACTATGGGGAGCTCCTTGATCAGTTTACCGTCAACGGCAGCGACGGTGTATTTCTTCCCGGTACATTTCGTTATGTCGTAGAGCTCTCGGTTGGCCTTTGCCAAGTCTTCCGCGGGCTTCTGTTGCAAGCAGGTAAGATCCGAGCATTCTGCCAACTTGGTGAAGTTGTTGTACGTAGCTTCCAGCACCCCGTCTGCGGAGTTATCCCACTGCCATTGATAGCTCGGACTCTGAAGAAATACTCTCTTGAACAGGGGATCAGAAGGTCCCGGTGTCTGGGACCAGTCGGCAACGAGATGGTGTAGGACGGAGCCGGCACCTGCAGACTCGGCCCAGACACTGACGCTGTTCTTGTCACCACCCAACAAGTGGATATACTGCTGGACGAACTGGAGAACTAATCGTTGATCATATAGTCCGGCATTTGGCACCGCGTTGTGTTGCGTAGCGTGGTGCTCCATGGTTTTACCCGCAAGCCAGCCAAAAGCTCCCAGCCTGTAATTACCTACCACATAGATGGCCTTCTGGTTGATTGACTTGGCCGCAGCCATAAACCCGTCGCCGCTGTAGAGAAGATGGTCTGGGAGGCCCCAGTATGCGTCTTGATCTTTTGTGCCAAACATGAATCCACCTCCATAAAACCAAACAATGACAGGGATATCTGGTACCCCAGGCTTGAAGCCATCGGGTACGTAAATGTCTAGAAATAGGCAATCCTCGCCCTCGGTAACTGGACTGACCGATCTCCCAAGAAGAGGTGCCGGTGATGATTTTGGAGACGTCTGCGCGGCTCCTTCGCAATGATTGTTGAATGTATCTACCTGAAAACAGGTATGGCCTTCCTCGTGCCGGATTTGCATAGGATTGCGAACGGGGTCTGGGAAGCTTGGAAGATTGAAGCGGCCGGGCCCCGTGGGCGATTTGCCAAACCGCACGTTCTGGAAGACATGGTACTGCAGGGCGTTAAATCAGACGTGCAAGGGCTATAGACGACATACACCAGCCTCGGTATTAGAAGTGGTTGCTTCATACGATCCCCAAGGCAGTTGAATCCTTGGCTTGGAATACGCCTGGGCCTGGGCCTGAGCGGCCAAGAGCAGTAATGTGATACTAGCAATGGAGGAGATCATTGTAGAGTCCTAAGAAATGAAAAGTGGGCGTCGGAGCAGACCTTGGTCTTCTCGGACGGCTCTTGGCTATAAATACTCGATCTGATGGCATGTTCTGCGTAATATGGCTTAGTTTCTCCATGCGTCTCCTTAGCATTCTTGCAAGATGATGTTGAGTGATCGCCCCACACAAACACAATGCTTCACCTTCACTTCAGCTGCGTAGTGACTGACGTAAATGACGGTACTCGACGTCAGGTACGGTAAATTACACCGATCTAGTAACTTAGATTAGAACGTAGGATCAGCCTTATTTTCTCTATATCTTTGGAGTCTTGGGTTAAGAGATATCAACCGATCTAATACACAGTAAACTTATCTTCAAATATAGGCCGAAATCTGGACCAGTCGCAGGAAACTAAACAGTGCTCGTCCAAGCTCCGGTATTCATCTTCAAGCTGTGAAGCAATGCTTGGTGGCTAAGAGATCTTAGTTGGAGTTTATGGTCCGAACAAGGATTGCCTGACAATTGGCTTTGTTTGAACCACCCTGCAATACCGGAATCAAGAGCCCCGCAATGTCAAGATACGCCACAGTCGACTAAGCAGCATGCGGATAGCTAAGTAAGCTCCACTGCAAGCATCTGTGCCTTCAGCTGTGTGCAGTTACAACCAACGGTCTGGTTGTTGGCGGTATGATCGGCTGCCTGACAGGTCTTGCAGATCCGTAGACTACTACCAAAAAAGAGCTCTGTGCTGCTAGATATGAGGGGTAAGTGCAACCATCAATTTTGCATGTCCCATTTGGCGCAGTCGAGATATCACAGGGGCACTAGGACCTACAGCCTGATGTAAAGCGAAAGGAGCGAATCGGCAATCAACTGAGGGCGAAGTGGACAGGGTACGCTGCGCCCGAGCTCGGAACAGATTCCCGCTTTTACTAACTTCTGCCTGATACCGTAGTAGGGGTCGAACTGGGGTCCGGCGGTTGGGTTTTAGTGACCCTTGCAAGCACACCCTGTATTGAGATAGACGCTGCGGAGCGGAGCACAGCTTCCCATCATGAACCGTGCGACTCATGCCCAGGACCTAGATTCGCTTAGCATCGATAATCAGCCTCGGGTTCTTCTTTTTTGATAGCCGCTCCATGGATGCTTGCAGATGTTCGGAAAGAAGGGGAAAGATCACCAGAGGGGTTCGACACACTTCTCGAACGTATGCAGTAATCAGGATCATGCAAGGTCGAATAGGACGAATTAAAGAGAGGAGAACAACCATAAAGAGGGTAAAGAGTCGATAGTCTCCAGAAAGAAGACTCTGGCGCATGATGAGACAAAAGTGCAAACAACGCACCAAAGCTTGCAACTTAGAATACTGTCAGAGCTCGTCAGGTTGTGGCATCCTGCAGAATCTCCACCTAGAACGTAGGAAGGACTGACGTTCCACCAAAGATCGCTGTTGCTTCTATCTCCCAGCCCGTAGGTGAGGAGATGTGGGTGTGACAGCTGATCAATGGTCGTTGAAGTGCGGAGCAATTCCAAACTCATCGTGCATCCTGCCTATCCCAGTGGATGCACGTTTGAAACCCCAAGTCTTAGGTCGACAAATTCGATTCGGATAGGCCACACCACTTCAAGATTGATGCGGCAGCTTTAGTTCATGGTATATCGAAAGCCCTGAGGGATAAGCTAGCGGTTCGAGTCTTCCCAGCTCCACAACCTTTTTGCCGCCATAGAGTGGTGTTGGCTGGCGGTCGAGAGCAGATACGGGGGGATATCGGTACCGAAAGGGCCCTGAGCATTGAGCATTCCACTGAACGCACATGCAAGTGCTTTGGTTCTCTGTGTATTAGTAGCTATGTGGCACCAGCTAGCGTAAAGGTCTTACACCTGCACCATCTTTTGCACCTATGAAGTGATGTTTATCAACGGTCCAGAGAGGGGCGGATATCGGTACCGAGAGACCAGCTAGTGTTTGGCAAATGGCGGAGGGTGGTATGCAAAGAAGCAGCTGGCCGATGGAGTTGCATAGTGGTGGTGTGGCGCCATGGTTGCGGTCGTTGTGGTCGTTGTGGTGCGTTATGGTTGTATGGGACCTTAGAATATCCTTGGTGGTATTGGTTGACGAAGTGATGCGAGGAGGACCGAAGGGAGACGAAGGGAGTCGTGCAACCCCAATGCCCAATTGAGCATACTAATGCCAAGGATTACGTACAGCGGCTAACCGGCTAACCGTGCGGGAGGGTCAGAAGGGGTTAGCTTCCCGGGGGTGTTCTTGGCATGGATCACCCTCTGCGCTCCGCGGTATCTTCGTCACGATGCAGACACCCTCCTTTCCTTTGCTCCAATCCTCCAATCTTCCGGAAGGTTGCACACTGGCCTAGCAAAGTCTCCGCGTCATCTTCTCTCAGGTAGGTATCGGTTATGCTTCGGCCTAAGTCATGCACCATGACGGCGGGCAACGTAGGCTTAGCCTTCGTGAGAGCTCGAACATCAGCCAGGGCGTCCATGCTCTCTATAAAGCAGACAGGAATCCCTCGCATATAGCCATTCTCTCAGTCATCCTTCTCTTTCAAAGTCCAGACTACCCTGATTGATCCGTCATGGGTGGTTCACGCTATCCCATCGTGGGCATCCAAGCAGGTCGCGGAAAGAATGGCGAGGTCCCTGTCAAAATGGAGGTGGACGATTGGTGGGCGTCCAAGGATCCTATGATTCGCAACCAGCACACCCTGCTCTTTACAGCCTTGACCAAATTATATGAGGCATCGCCACACGATAAGCTATCTTTCTATCAGATAGCCGGTAACGAACCCTCCCACTGAGCTGAGCGAGAGCTGGCGTGTTGATGATGACGACGCAGGAATTCACAATCAACCAATTGTTCCCTGGGATGATACACCATTTGAGAACAAGAACTACTGCATGCACAGCCAGCCCAATTTTCCAACCTGGCATAGGCCTTATAACCTTCTTCTGGAGGTATGTAGCACGACCGCCTTGCGGAGACGTACTGCTGGGCAATGACCAACACATAATAGCAACGGCTTTACGAAGTCATGATCAACGATGTCATCCCACAGTTCCCCAAATCGGACCAAGCGGACCTTAAGAATGCTGCAGATGTCTGGCGCTTTCCCTACTGGGACTTTGCCACCAAGAAGGCAGATGCCTCGGGCGTGCGCAACTACAATGTACCGAAGCTGATCAGAGAGAAAGAAGTCGAAGTTCGAGTTCCTGGAGGTACAGCGCGAATTCCGAATCCATTCTACCAATTTACCATGCCCGATGGATTGACCTTGGGTGATGAGAAATTGGGAGCGAACGCTGTGACAAGAGAGCCGGTAAGTGCCCCTTGACTGATTGTTCCAACTGCCATCCAGACCACGCCTAAGTGTCCGTAGTACACCCGTACCAGAGGAACAAGTCGTCATCCATATGTTGAGGGAGCCAAGGAAGACGAGGCGTACTTGAATGAGGAGCACGCCCGCGGGATCCAAAACAATGATGGCGTTAAGGAAAAACTTCAAGAGTGGAAGTGGGAAGGCGGAGGGAGTGTTACAGGGAGTCTGCGGGACTGGTGCTACCGTGTTCTAATGGTCACGCCTTTCGAGGTATTTGCAGACGACAAAGCGGACCCAGGGGAGTCAGACACCGGAAGATATTCCTCCCTCGAGGACCTTCATAACGTCTTGCACGATTGGGGAGGTGGTAAATTCGGCCACATGGGTGCACCAGCTGTAGGCGCGTTCGACCCATTCTTCTGGCTGCTTCACAAGTGAGTTAATCATGTGCTTCAAGTTCTTTGACGAACGTCCGTGCTGATATTGAGCAGCAATGTCGATCGCTTGCTTGAACTGTGGATCGGCCTCCACCCGAAGGAAGCGAGAGACTGGGTTGAGAATGATAGCGATGCCGTAACCCCCCTGATTCCCTTCCGGAAAGACAACGGTGAAAACTACCACACGGCGCAGAGTGTTTGGCACGCGGAGGACTTTGGCTACACTTATCCAGAAACCCAAAGATGGAGAGCCAAGTACCAGACTGATGGGAAATTTGACGAGAACAAACTAGCGACAGACCTAGCCCAGCTCATGAACAAGAAATACAACTCCGCCGCTGCTGCGCAAAGAAAAGCTTTTCTCACTACGACACGAGACGCGCCCTCAGACAAGACAATAACGAGCGGGATAGCAGCTGCCCTCGACCAAGCGCCCAAAATCAGCGCCCTGATCAAGGGCATAGGAGGCCTTGCCACTTCGATTTCCGCCATACCAGATGGGAAAATTGAGGAGGAGATTCTTCCAGATATTATCGAGGCTAAAGACTACGTGGCTAATGTTATATATGAAAAGTAACGCTGAACATTTGCTCCCCTGAAGACCAAGTTACTGACAGCCGGCAGGTACGCACTGGACGGGCACCCTTTCACTATCCGATTCTTCATCGGAAAGGTCCCGGAAGGTGGGTTCAATGCAATCTCGCAGGCTCTGACACAGGTTGGGGAAATCTACAACTTCGCCGACCCAGTGGAGTTTGACAAACCCAATTGCGAGAATTGCGCCAAGCAGGCGCGTGAGCGTGTGAAAATCACGGGCCAGGTTCCTCTAACCAATGCCCTGCTTACTCGATACAAGCAGCAAATTCCTCATGAAACAGACTCGGGAGAGAAGACGGTCCTGCAAGGCATGGACCCGGAGCATGTTGTGCCCTTTTTGAAGGAACACTTCCACTGGCGTGTCAACGATGTCAGTTTTTTGCCCCCAACCCCAAGACCTGCCTAAATTTTCCTTGCAACTCTTATGTACTCCTTTCCCCCTTCACTCCACAAGAGTGCTGACAGTTTGTAGAACCAGGGCCACATGGTCGACGAATCTCGCATCACAGGCATGAAGGTTTCGGTTGCAGTAGGCACAGCCTACCATCACAGCGATTTCACCAAGTTGTCCGAATTCACAGCCTACAAGATACTCTACGATATTACGGAAAACAATTCATCGGGAACTGGTGCAGCGCCCCAGGATCGTCTTTTCTCACGCGATGCTATATTCCGCCTCGCATCTGTTCTTACATAGTGTGCTACATGCACAATGCAGTTCGTAGCCAGAAATATCTAGGAAAAATTAGCTTAGTATGCAATATGTCACTCATTCAAAAACTATCCAGGCTGGTTCAATGGCTGTGCCCCAAATTCCCAGCTTGATAAATCGTGCTAGCATTGGAGAAGCATGCGAATATTGTATAAGGGGATTTCGACCGGCAAGCCCGGTCTTGTGCTTGGACGCCGTGAATCCTGGTTGTATTGAATTCTCGAAGTATCGATTATCCGCAAGAGAGTTCTATATCTTCCCACCCGGTCCTGGACCTGGCTGGATCTGGGTTCGCACGCACACACGCGGATGCTCGAGAATACCTCCCCGTTGCCAGTCAGCTCTACCAGGAATCCATATTGGGGTTGGACCACTATGGGTCTTTCTTCACCTCGTAGCATGTACCGCCGACTCGATCTTCTTCAAGAATGAATTTCAGCATCCCAGGTTGTTAGTTTATAAGTAAGTTAGGGCAGTCGTGTCCCAAAAAGTCGTCAGACTAGAGGTGGGCCACGTAGGGTCGAAGGCCCTGCTTAGGCGACCTTAGCACCTAAAATTCGCCCGGAATCCGGGTGGCCATCGCCTACGCTCCTCGCCTATGTAGGCCGTCTCACATTCTAAGGATCCTACGCCGGCGCTTTTAAGCATGGGTGTGTCTGTACTGCTAGCCCATGCTTTCTGAGTTAGCGAGTAAGTAGTACTAGTATATCCTATCCCATGCGCCGGCAATTAAAAGTGCCTTTTTAGCGTGCCAAGCATTTTGAGTCTTGGCATGTCTCTTTTCGACTTTTTGATGAATCTCACCATTGAGATCGATTTCTAACATGGATTTACGCAGATCGAAACGCATACCAAAGCCCAAAACTATCTGGGAGGCAAAAGGAGCTCCTAGTGCAGCTAGCGATCCAAAAGTTACGAAGAATACTGCTCGAACAGAGCAACGAACAGCGCTCAAACCCATCGCCGCGGGGCCGCTTCCAAAAGCGCTTGAAATAGACGAAAATCAACTTCCTGAGCTCCCTAATTATGAACCACCCCTTATTCTATAATTTTAACAGTCTAAATCGCTAGCTACAGGTCTCTCACAGCTTGATACGTTTCAACGACTTCTTACGCCAGCTATTATTGATAGAATCGTTGAATCAACGAATAGCTACGCAGAAAAGGCTCGAAATACGGATTTCGACGAAGAAGAAGATGCTGAATGTCTTTCTAGACTCTAGAAACTAGTCAATTCAACTGATATCTAGTGATACATCAGTTGTTTGCTTTATATAGGATATCATAGGCTATCCAAACATGAAGAACATTAGAGCGAGTCAGGTTATCTAGGCGCATTCTTGGGTCTAAAAAGATATGAGCAAATTCATTAATATTTTACGCTTCAAGAGCGTACGACTGCTCCTTGTGAGGATCACGAGACCTTTGCGTGATAAGTAAAGCCAATTAGTACTATTATTAAGCAAAATTGCAAGGATAATTAGCAACCAAGCTCTTATCTAGCTGTGGATGAGGCAATGCTTGCTTATAGAGGTCGCAGCTCTTATAAAGTCAAGCTGCTAAATAAGCCAATTAAGGAGGGCTATAAGGTTTGGGTACTTGGCAACGCTAGATACTGTGATGGATGGAGTATCTCCTCTGCTATGGCGCAGGAAATACACGGGACCAGCCACGCACTCGGACGGCAGCGCCGATGGCGTATCCACAACGGCACGCGGAACTCTTGCCGTCAAGCTACTATGCCGCCGATAGAGGCATCCGTACGGCACGTGGCTCCCCGTACGAGTACCATGGAACAGGAGATTGATACGACCCCTTTAGGGAAGTACAATCTCCTCCAGAGGGAAGCTACCGCTTCTGGCCCTGCAGATACTCCGTCGGATCCTCTGCGCAGGTTAACTAGTAGCACCCCTTGTGTTCGATGGAGGAGTATATAGAGTAGAGCGCTGGCCGCAATGTAGATAGACTCCTCAGCTTACGTTTTAGCAATCTATGGACTATTGACTTGTTCTAGTTTCAAGCCATTGCAGATACGTGTATAACTAGCTATAGCATAGCCGCCTTAATAGACTTGAAGCTATCCCTTAAGAGGGTATAGAAGTTGATTAAGTTATTAAAAAGGAGCTTACAGAGCTTAATATAATACATCTTATACTAACGTTTGCCCTTATTATTTGTCTTATATAGCATTTACATCAAATGCATCTAATATGCGTTTTTTGCTTCTTTTTGGATAATCTGTTTTTAAATATTAATGTTATGTAAGCACTCCTTGCTTTACATATTTACTATATTAATATTACTTGCAAAAACGTTTAAGGAGTCCTTATATAGATCTTGAAATTAAAAGAGTATAACTATAGCCTTATTTAGAATTCTATACTTACAAAAGTTATTAATAATATACTTGTTTTTTTATAACAGGATAATAATGCTATAATAGGCTATATAATTGCTTATCCTCTTAAAAATAATATAGTTTTATAACTTTGTAAAAGGCTCTTTCTTATATTAACTAATACTTAAATTATACGCCTTGTTTTTAGTAACCTGCTCTTTAAACAACTTTATATCCTTTATATTATTAATAACTATAACTATTATATAAATAGCGTTAATTAAAGTAATTAATTATAAAAGAATTTCATAGCTTATTAATTATATAAATGTTGTGTTTAGCGCCCTTTGTGATATTATATTTTAGATATCTATGCAGTTAATAGTTACCTAATTTAGAAGAAGAGTACTACGAATACTTCTGAAAGAGGCGTTGTGACAGATACTTCCAAAAGAGGATAACGCCCCTTTCAGAAAGCGCTCATTGACGCTCTACTCAAAACACCCTATTCAGAGCCTACTAGGAGTAGGAGAGAGTACAAGCTCCCTCTACCAAATCGAGATACGCAGGACCATCGTTGGCAAGCATTTCTGAAGCGGGGACTCTGTATATAGTGTCGAAAGGTTGCTCAGGAGTCAAAATCGAAGAATATTGATACAAGGAGGCCGATTTTGGCCGAAATCGTCAATTCTAATGCCCCTTCGCGTCGAATGAGGCCATACGGAGGCTGTATAGCATGTAACGTACATCTCTGTCTCCAAGGAGCCTGCTTTAAGCAGTATCATAGTCAATAATAACCCAATAACTGCTTGCTGTTGCTTTCTACTCAATTTTGGTAGTGCCAAGATATTTTGGCGCTAAAAAGGCACTTTTAATTGCCGGCGCATGGGATAGGACTTACTGGGGGTAGGGCTCCGAAAATGACGCGGTATTGGTCCTTAGTGATTTAACAGACCTTTTTAATATTCTGAGGATCGTCAGGAGGCTCAAATGACTATAATTTAGCTATAATTTAGCTATTATTTAGCTATTATTTAGCTATTATTTAGCTATTATTTCTCTAAAATGACGTCTGAAATAGCATAATTTTATGTAAACTAGATCATACTTATCACGGTTAGACTGATGCGAACTCATATCTCCATCCGCACTCCCGATTTTCGATCTGGCATTTTTTCGCACCGACGGCCTTTTCTCAGAGCAACTTTCTCAAGATCTTTCCACTCGGACTCTTGGGGATGGAGTCGACAAAGCATACGCCTCCATCGAGATGCTTGTATCCCACTAGCAGGGTTGCGATGTATGCCTTGACTGCTTCTTCCGAGAGCGATTGGCAATCTCGGACGACAAATGCCTTCGGTGCTTCAGAATTGTTGTGCTTGACTCCGATGACGGCAGCGTCGATGATGTGTGGGTGGGTCCGGAGAACCCCTTCGAGCTCGGCCGGTGCCACTTGCCAGCCGCGCACTGCAAACAGGTCAACCAACCATTCACGGAGCAAGACTGAAGGGTGTTTTACCCTTGATGAGATCCTGGCGAACGCTCTTAGTATCTATACGGAAGAACTAGAGTAGATGGGGGCTGGGGTGGCTTACCTTTTGCCTGTCGACAATGAATATCCGGCCTAGCTTATCAACTGTCCCAACGTCACCTGTTTTGAGCCAGCCGTCTATGAATGAATCTGCACTGGCTTTGGGGTTTCCAAGGTATCCACTCATAAGCCGTGGCCCACGCACGCATATCTCTCCTCTTTTGCCTGGTTCTCGAACGAATACGCCGTGCTCGTTGATCAACCTACATCACCATCAGCCATGACCACAGGAATGGCCACCCACAGGAATGGCCACCCACAGAACACACTTAGCCTCTACGTTGGGTAGTAGCCTCCCAACGCTTCCGGATTCGTCTCTCTCGGGCCATTTCAAGGTCGATATCCATCCAGCCTCGGTCATGCCGTACACTTGGGCAATACAGGCATCTGGAGCCAAGAGCCTGTACATCTGCTTCACGATGGCCCCATCTAAAGGTGCGCCCCCGCACCAGACAAACCTGATATGCTTTAAGAAGTTCCTGGGAGAAGTCGACGTTACGAAGGAGACAATCATGGGTGGGACAAGCAGCACCTCGGTTATGTCAAAACGCTCCACGGCATTGATGAATTGAGACATAGAGAATCGAGGCATTATGTACGTCGTGTGACCCTCCCGCAAGGGTGCGAGGTGTGAGAGAGGAGCAGCAAAGGTATGAAACATCGGCAGGAAAATCAACCTAAGGATTCGTCAGCACAGGCTACACGAGCCCAAAGCGGATAACCAGACGGCGAAAGGCTGTGTGGCAGTATGTGATGGACTTCACCCACCTCTTAATCTGGTACGGCTTGGGATTGGGGTCATCAATAACACAGTTCAGCGCGACCCAAGCATGGTGAGAAAGAACAGCCATTTTCGGCATCCCGGTCGTTCCACTAGTGGTCACCAGACAGGCGGGTGTCTCCTTAGCAGTTTTCTCGTTGTCGAATCGGACCCAGTCATCTTCTCCATGCTGGAAGAGTTCATTCCACGACCTGAAGCCGTTGGGGGTGTCACAGGCCTCGGCAAACACGAGCACCCTGGAATCTGGAATCTGCAATTGATGCGTTACATTCTGTACGGTTGGCAGCAAGTCCGGCGCTGTAATGATCAGGCTGGCCTTGGACGTTTCGAGAAGACTTGTGAGCTCTAGTTCTTTGTACCCTGGATTCGATCCGACGAACACTCCGCCTGCACCAATGACAGCCAGAAAAAGGAGAGGATAGTAAATCTGTGGGATTGCGCAAAGAGGGCGATATCAGCGGGAAAGCTCCCTGACGTCAGACTTGGCTTATGACTTACGTCCTGCAGTTACGGTAGGGCTTGTGTCAGCGCGAGTCGTGACAAAAAAGGTTTCAAATCGCTTACATTGAATGTGTGCAAACAGACGCATGAGCCTCTCTTTATACCAAGGCTTCGGAGCCCCTTGATCATCGATCGGATTGCGGAGCGGGCTTGGGAAAAGGTAAGTCTTCTGGTCGGGTCCAGCGCGTCTATATAAAGCTGCATCCATCTCCAGTCAGCACACACAGACGAGCAATTCGGGCTGGCTATTGCTCACCGGTCGATCCGGGTCATGGCATGCTTCATTCCCAAAAATCCAGGTCAGCAAGTCGGTGCTGGGCACGTCGACGTGGCGGTTTGGCTTGTAATACATTGTGTCTGTGCTGGGCTGGGGAATACAGGTGGATGTAAGGCAGTATGGGGTATAAGTGGTACTCAAACAATGTGACGGTCAAGGTGAATTGGGGTTGACCATGTTTGAGAACACACTTGCATCTACTGAGAAGGGGCTCCCCAGTTGAATCATACTATTACTACTACCAGACACAACTCTATCCTTGGCACATCATAGCATTCTGTTGCTCATGGCAGTCTGCCCGCCACCTAGCATATGCAGCCGAGCTGGACTGGCTGGCTGTAATCCAACGCGATGCAATTCTTCCGTAGTATCACGCTCTACTATGCGGACCAAGGAAATCAACCCGAGATGGGGATGCGAAAAAATTGTCTGCCGAAATTGCGCGAGGCCTCCACGTGCACTACCCCAACTACAGGCGTACAATGAGTGTCTGGACTCTGCTGGCATGAGAGCTGCATTGGAGCTTGGGGTGGGTCTCTCCGAAGCACTGCCGGAGAGCACAAGCGAGCCTTTGCCAGCGGGCTGGAGGCGAAGGCAGGGTCTCAGCTGCTAGGAGCGTCTGAGGGATTTATCTTGAAGACTGGCTCATCGGGTGGGGAAAGTAAGATAGTCAACTTCCTGGTTAGCTGAGATATCTGGGTCGGGGAAAAATTGGAAGACGAGCTATTTCGTTGCGTTCTGATGCTGCCTTCCGGCATTTGGTATGGTATTGTCTCAGGGCCGCAATGCATGAGGAGTGTGAGCCTGCAGGTAGCACTACTATGTACGTACTGGGACGATCACGATCACGATCACGTAAAACACAAATCGTACATATATGTTCCAGAACCAGCTAACGTAGGGGGATCTTGGTGCCCAGCTGCAGCAGTAGCAGCAGTGCTCTGCACGTACTGGTACGATCACGTACAACACAAATCCTACATATATATTCCAGAACCAGCTAATGTAGGGGGATCTTGGTGCCCAGCTGCAGCCGTATTAGCAGTGCTCTGCACGTACGACGATCGTAGTAGATGTTGCTTTGTTGTCAAAGTGTGGGCCCTGCCGGTCAATTGCTCGAATCAGATCTAGCTCATTACTCGTTTTCCTTCCACTTTTTAAGCTTTTGGCTACCTCTCCATTGTACTACGTTGGCAGCATGGACAGCTACCACGCCCACAGTGAGATAAGGTCAGCGTGCGGAGACAGTGCAACCAGACGGTACAAGGGGGTCTGTACCGTACCGTTCCAACCAGGAGTACTACCTGTACCGTTGGTACGTACCAATGGTACAGGTAGTACTATTGACAGGAATCAAGGATGAGGCTCCCTAGACTTCCTATTTCGGTCAGATTTGCAGTTGAGATAGAATCCTACAGTGTTATGTGTGATACGTACATTTGTAGCTTGCTACTACTGCCTCTGAGCTTATTGTCGTTACAGCCTTGCCTTATATCATTGATTTATGATAAGGTGGATAAAGCAAATTATCTAGGTTACTATGCAGAATCTAGTTAAGAGGGAGGAGCAGGCTAATCTACTGCTATAGTAGGCGTAAAGGCGGTCACGTGACGCCAAGAGTCACGTGCTGCAGACGTGGTAGACCCCCCTTTTGATCCTTAACCAAGCTATCTATATCTACTACTTGTTTCGGTACTGGTACGGTTCCAACGGTACAGAGAGTCTGGTCTTGGCTGTACCGTACCTCTGTACCAATGGTGCGGTTGGTACGGTTGCGTTGTCTCCGAACGCTGGATAAGGTTTGCTCTGTGCGAACGCACAGCACTCATCCAGCCAGCATGCTCTCGTACCTTGTCACTACCATAGAGCCAGACCATGGGTCGGAACCCTCCCCGCCCACTTCCCCTCTTCTTTTCTTCTTCTAAAGCGACTGCTCCTAGCCTAGCCAGAAGACATCGTACTGGTATTTCACATACATTTCATTACGGGGATAGAATCATGCGTCAAATGATGCATGATGCACTGACCACTGGAAGCATAAGTCGGCTTTTCTTGCAGTAGTGTAGTATTAATGGATACTTCTATGAATGATCTAGAAATATGATGGCCGGTAATCGATGGATTTCGACCTCTGGAGCTGCAATTCGAGAACGCCATGAAACTCGGGAACGTTTCGGAGAATTGACTACAACTAACTAGTAGGGACCCTACCTCTAAAGTGCCTAACCTCTAAATGGGCCTATTCTCTAAAGGGTCGTGCCGCTCAACTGCCGCTCAACGGCTGGCGTTTTGCAAGATGATGCTAGTGGCGAGCTATCCTTAGCCCACGTTAGATCACCTTGAGCGTTAGACTCCGCAAATCGCATATCGTAATCGATAAGTAGTACGTAAATTCTCGGACAAATTGCGCCATACTTTTTCGGCCCTGCATATGCATATGCACACGCATATGCAGATACCCACGTCGTACATTGTACTACGTACTACTATTATGCATGTCCCGCTTTCGCTTTGTGTCACCACCACTAGCAGTAGTGCGATGGTGATGGTCGGGCGAGATCGTCAGATTCACGAGGCCGATCCCACCCAAGGGGGGCCAGGGGTATGTTCACTCATTCTCCTCATTCTCCTCATTCTCCTCATTCTCACCGGCCTCTCCACTCGCCACCATACCCTCAACCTCTGTCGCTACCCCTCCTATTGTCCCGATTATCCTTTTCCGCACCGCCCTTGGACCCTCACCGTTTCTGTTGCTCGGTCTTGCCCTCTTCTGTCTTGGCCACTTCGGTCGAAGTTGGGGCAGCTTCAACGCAGGCTTCAAAGATTGGCAGCTCTTTCAAGGAAGCAGTCAAAGCTGCAGGCATGTTCCCTAGAAACGGACCTGACCCATCGGCAAGGTCATGGGGTCATCATGATTCAGGAATCACGTTTGCTGCTCAGCACAAGCTGCCAAAGCTGCCGTTGCCGTCCCTTGAGTCTTCGTGTCAGAGATACCTCGAAGCATTGAAGCCACTGCAGGCGGCAGAGGAGCAGAAAGCCAGCGCCGCGGCGGTGCAGAACTTTCTCCATGGAGAGGGGCCGATACTACAGGCGCAGCTCAAGGAGTATGACAATAGCCACGCAAACTACTTTGAGCATTTCTGTGAGTTCTATCTGCCCATGTAGGCGTGAAGAAAACTCCATCCGGACACCTAACGTATAGCGGCAGGCTACGAAAGTTTCTTAGGTGATGATTCGCGTAAGCATTCAACTGTGTCCAAGTATCAAAAGAGGTAGCCGTTTGCTGATTGCCAGAGTAGCCGTGGTACTAAACTCGAACGCTTTGTCAGTCCAGCGCCTTTTGCAGCAGCAAAGATTCCTTTTAACTCCTTGCTAACCAGGCTATTAGCTGCGTGTTCCAAGATGACCCAGATCCGTCACGCAATGGCCAGATCACGCGTGCTGCATCTCTAGTCTGCTCGGCGGTCGCCTTTTCCCAGGCGATTCGAGAAGATCGATTGCCGCCAGATGAAATACGCGGTATGCCCATTTGCATGAACCAGTACTGGTGGCTTTTCGGGGTGGCGAGAGTACCAGGCGATGATGGTGGCAGGATCCGACTTGATCCGGACGCTAGACATATTATTGTCATGTGTCGTGGACAGATCTACCGTCTAGGTGTGTTGGAAGAGGGCTCCAGCCAGATTATAGACATTTACGATCTCGAAAAGAGTCTACAACACATTGTCAATGACGCACAAAATATTCCGGCTGCGGATGCTTTCAAAAACTCTGTGGGTCTACTAACGACCGAGAATCAAAAGGTGTGGTCTCGTTGCAGGGAGTCCCTTGTACATGCGGGATTGAAGAACGGCCCAAACTTTGCTATCATAGACTCCTCGCTCTTCGTACTGTGCCTGGATGACAACTCGCCCGAAACCATGCCGGATGTGTGCAAGAATATGATCTCTGGCACCAACGTTGTTGAAAACGGTGTCCAGGTTGGCACATGTATGAATCGCTGGTATGACAAGCTGGCTCTGATAGTCTGCCGCAACGGAGCGGCGGGTATGAATTTCGAGCATACCTGCACGGACGGGTCTGCGGACATTCGCATGGCGTGCGACATCTACGAGGGCTCTATCTCACACCCAGAACATACCACCAACAAGAACAATGCGCCATCATCAGACTCCACCGTCACCCACCAGCACGACGCATTTGACACGGCCGCCATCCCAGCCAGGTTGCAGAAGCTCAATTGGGAGATACCCTCGGAGATTGACGCTGCCCTCCATCTTGCAGAAGCGCACCTCATCGACCGCATCCAGCGGCACCAGCTTGAGACCTTGGATTTCAGAGAATACGGCAAAGGCTGGATAAAGTCCGCGGGCTTTCCGCCCGACGCGTTCTTCCAAATGGCACTTCACGCAGCTTACCACAGTGCATACTCACATGTCGGAAATGGCTTCGAGCCCGTCCAGATGAGACAATACCTGCACGGCCGGACAGACGTGATACGCCCTCTAACGCCCGAGGCTGCAGCATTCGCGCGCATCTTCAGCGATAAAAAGGCCAGTCCATCCGAAAAGATTGAGGCGATGCACCGGGCCACAGATGCACACGTTGCCCTGTCCAAGGACTGCGCCAAGGGCCTGAGCCACCATCGCCATCTGTACGTGCTTCAGCAGCTGTGGAAACGGCGGCGTGCTTTCCTCGAGGCGAACGCCGTCCAGCCGATACCATTAGCAGGAGCTGACGCCTACATCAACGGCGACAGCAGCAGCCCGAACCAACTTCCAACCACCACCACGACAATCTTCACCGACCCAGGCTGGGCCCGCCTCGGCACCACCATCCTAATGGGCAGCAACGTGGACAATCCATGCCTGGGCTACGCGGGATTCGGTCCGCCTGCCGACGATGGGTTTACGATCTGCTACTTCACCAGACAGGACCAGATGGCGATGAGTGTGTGTTGTCGGAACGGGCAGGCGAAGCGGTTGGTTGATGCTATCGAGCGGACTTTCCGGGAGCTTAAGACGTTGGTTGAGAGTATGTAAGAATTACAAAAAAAGATATCATTTGGGTAGAGATGATCATCACCATGGAGGATATCCAGGCTTTCATTTTGATGGTTTTTGGAAAGACATTAAAATGTTAGGGGGGGTTTCCAATCAAATGACAAGAATTGCTAAGTACATATCAAGAATCCGAATCAGAAGAGGAGTTGGATCTTTGATATCCCGTACCGTGTCCAAGTAACAAGTAACTGACAAGTAATTAATGAGCACCGCACTGCAAAACCTCTCAACATAACACATTACCTCGATCAGCTCAGGTCGATACGTAGCATCAGACCGGTAGCAACACCCTTTCGCCGTCCTCGACGTACGTGAATGGGATGGATGGGACCGGGACCCTGATGCTGATACTGATGCTGATGCATCCCTGGCACTCACACCAGACAGATCTAGACTACACCAGTGGAGATGGAAAGATCTGCAACCCGTGCTACCCACCGACTACGATGCCCGCGGAGGTACATCGTAGATATTTTCCCTCGCATCCGATGCCAGCAAACGGCGCATACTGCGTTATTTATACTCGGTGCCGCGGCCGGAAAAGTGAGTTCTAGCGCAATGTGAGTTCAGCCCATTTGCGTAAATGATGTACAGCCTTTTCGATTCGATTACTAGTAGCTATCTGGCTTCCCCGGCGTCTTCGACCTACCCCCTAACTTAGTTGTTTAACCCTCGTTTTCCTCGGGGCACATTAAGTGTAGTCAATCTCTATTTTGGCAAGCAGGTCTTGATGGGACACCTGGAACTCATTTCTCGGCGCGGCGGCACCGAGTACTTACTGCGGCTACAGGCCTAATTTTTGTACACCTCCGCGGTCAAAATATCTTACAGACGCCTTTTTTACGTACACATCCCTATTCGCTATTTTGCACGAATCTTGCTCATCCTGCAAATGCTGAACTGTATGAAGAATTAGATACAAAAGCGCTATAGAGATACTCTGTACAAGTATGATGAGCTGTGAGTGGCTGTTGATTGCTGCATAAGATGCTGGGTCCTTCTATATTGAGGAGCTGCAAGCAGTTGTAGATGGCCAATGAAATGCAAATTCGATTTTGGAGACTAGTCCTATCTGGGTTTGGGCCCTTTTGTGGGCGTCTATACTCCATTCTACATAGTACGTTTTGTACGGATACGGATACGAGCATTTTCAGCAAGGGGTTTACACAAATTAGACCGGTAGCCGTAGTAAGTTAGTAACGTGGTACTTAGCTACGCGTGAGTTGGTACGGATGTAGTTTGGTGCTATGTAGGATTGGAGCGTTCTTGTGAGGAGATCAAAAAGGGGGAGAAGGCGGAGGGGTTGGGATTTGTGATTGATTGATTCATTTTGCATTACACAGCATTCAAAAGAAGAACTAGTACTGAGTTGCATGTGTTATTGGGCCCAAATGACCGCGGCCCTTGTTCCAGAGGGGGAGCATGATCTGGCTTTCTATTCGGGCACGCAGGCGCAAATCCTCGTCCTGTAGCTGTCCGGCTCTCGGCATCAGGGCGGGACCTGTAAGATTTCGTAATTCGAAACAATGGGTTTGATGCGCTACGCTACACTACACTACACTACACACTTCTCTCTCTAATTGCTATTTGAATGCTATTAATTTAAGCCTAACTTCTACGGAAGATAAAGAAAGAAAGGCGAGCTTCAATCACATCCCATCTACAATGTTACCCCCTCCCCAGCCCAAACCCTTCTCCATCGCCATCGTCGGCGGCGGCATCGGCGGTCTCTGCCTCGCCGTCGCCCTTGTCCATCATAATGTCCGGGTACACGTCTACGAGGCCGCGCCCGCATTCTCCGAGATCGGCGCCGGCGTGGGCTTGGGCCCCAATGCGCGCGCTGCTCGACCCGGCCATCTTGGCAGGCTACGAGCGGTGCCAGACGACGAATTTCGCGTCGCCCGAGGAGCAGGGAAGGTTTTTCAATTTTCGCTACGGGATGGAGAAGCCGAGCAGAGACGGTCAGGTCGGGGGGTGTGACGTCGAGCGTGCACCGGGCGAGGTTTTTGAATGAGTTGGTTAACTTGATGCCGGAGGGAGCCGCGAGTTTTGACAAGAGGCTTGTGGGGATTGAGGACGAGGGCGAAGAAGGGGTGGTGCTGAAGTTTTCGGATGGTACTCTGGCAATACATGATGCTGTTGTGGGATGCGATGGGATTAAGAGCCAGGTGAGGAAGCTGTTGCTGGGAGAGGGAAATAAGGCGAGTGAGCCCGTGTTTTCGGGGCACTATTGTTATCGTGGGCTCGTGCCAGCGGACAAAGCGATAGAAATCCTGGGCGAGGATCTAGCGACCAACAGCCAGATGTGTAAGTGTCGACAATCTGTCCTGATGTTATGCGCCATGATACTGACGAAGCCAGACCTGGGAAATCACGCTCATGTGCTCACGACACTGATCGAGCAAGGGAAAGTTGTCAACGTAGTTGGGTATCGCACTAAAGAAGACAAGAGATGGAACGACAGCGCGTGGGTGAAGCCCACGACGAAGGAGGAAATGCTTGCCGAGTTCGACGGCTGGAGTAAACCGGTAAAGAGTATACTTGGTCTGATCGAAAAGGTGGATATGTGGGCATTGTTTGACCACCTTCCGGTAGCAACGTATCATCGAAAGGGCAAGATCTGTCTACTGGGCGATTCAGCACACGCGAGTACGCCTCATCATGGCGCCGGTGCTGGCATGGCAGTGGAAGATGCCTTGATCCTGTCAAAATTGCTGGCTTCGATCAACAGTGCAGGTGAACTGGAGAGCGTCTTTTCTGCCTATGACGCGGTGCGGAGACCACGGTCCCAGAGATTGGTGGCTTCAAGCAGGAAAGTGGGCGATGTTTATAACTTCGAAGACGCAGCCATTGGAGACAATATGGAAGCAGTGCGGGAATACTTGCAACATGCTTGGGAGTGGATTTGGAATGAAAACTTGGACCGCCAGCTTGAAAACGCGCAGTTGTTGTTGAAGATGCGCTTAAAACAGCTACGAAGTCCAGAAGCTCACTCAAATGGAGTCAACGGAGGAACCTGATGCGGTAGAAACAAATGCTTGCCTTCTCAGAGCCATGAATTGCTCAGCACACCATCATGAACCTGGACGGATGTCTTTCTAAAGAGCGGAAGTAAAGAGCGGAAATAAAGAGGCAATGAGGCATCGCAAACACGGCGCTGGGGGGCCTTGGCGCCTGCGGAGCGATTTTAAATTTCTACTACGTAGTCATTACACACCACCACCACCACCACCACCACCAATTGACTCTTTTGAGTCGCTCACCAGCGCTTTGAGGCGATCAAGGTGGCAGACTTCAGCCATCACCCAAGCTCCCATCCCTATCAGAGAGAGAGAGCGAGGCTAAGCTGGCCAACAGTTTAAAACGACCCAGTACCACGGGCTTAGAGACCCTCTGGTCTGTGGTCCTTACACCGATTAAGTTGCAGCGGGACCTCCCAAACACGGCCTAAAAAGGTCACTTTACCGAGATGTGCATCCTGAGTAGTAGTGAAATTTAACATGTTACTTATCCAGTACTGCCATTGTTATTATTACTGCTGTTACTACCTGACATCACATTTACCTTTTTTGCCATGTTTCACAGAGCTACACACCACAACTAATAACGGGTGACAACGAACTGTCAAGATTGTGTCATTTCAACTCTTTCTAGGCGCCAACGGCACATTATCCGAGGTGCTCTAACAAACCATTAGTTGGGATCACCAAGGAAACCACTCTAGGCCTGAAACTCAAAGGTGCTGGTGCCCTAATCTACGATCTACATATCTTGAAGCCCCGTAGCTCGAGCCTACTAGTACGTAGTAGAAACTCACGGGTGGGCCTATTTCCAAGGCTCTGGTGGTCCACCAAAACTTGCTACTCAATAGAGTTTGCCAAGCCGTCGCTACTTTTTGGTGCACACCCTACCTTTCGGAAAAACGGTTTGTAGGACGTTGTCTATAGTGGTAGTGCTAGCATACTTAGTACTCGGTGCACTCTGACGCAGCCGCACCATCACTGCCAAGACTTGGTTGACGTCGTTATGATTAAAGGAGTTTTGCGGCAATACTGCGTGCTTGGGCTGCTTGCTGTTGTGTAATATTTAGGTAGTTTTCTTTCTTACTGGGATGCCGGCATCTTGCCTTTTGCCGTGCTCGTTGCATGGCAAGTGGGGGAGCATTTGTGCAAAAGGAAAGCTGCAGCATCAAATGAAGCTCGAAACCCTTTGGGTGGTTAGGACCCGCCAACTCATTGAGCTAATAATGCTGGCGGAGGGAGCAACTAGTCCTTAAGGGAACAGAAAAGGGAACAGTCTTGAGTACACCCTTTACCTGCAGTGGGTACTATTTCTCCATTGAGGTCAGCTTAACCAACGAGTCCCCAATGGATTCATCCGAGGTGGAGATTCGGCATGTTCTAGTATGATCGCTGCGGTACGGGCTAGATGGGTTGTACATCCAGCTGAGCGGTATAGTGCAGCGCCACCTAAGCCAGCTCAGGTCAAGGAACCTAGTGTTCGGCTGAGCCCTCCGAACTGTATGAGGCTCGATGATGGTGCAATCTGCAGGTAAGAGATACGATTCAGCGCCATAGTGCATGGACAGATTGCATAATTTTCTCAGAATGATGTGGTCCGATGACACTCCGTATGGGATTACTAGTGAAAAATTCCCCCAAGATTACAATTCCTGTTCAGTGCGTGGAAGATGGCTGTCAGCTTCTCGAAGAATGGACGTTGACATGTCAGCAAAGCGGTTGAGGTCTAGCAGAAGAGCAATATGCGCTGGCTTGCAGAGGAGGAGGATGATGATCATGATGATGCTCAACCTACATAATTGACGGTCGTAGAGGGGGTGGAGCGCGGTTCACCATTGGCAGGTTGCCTCAGGAGCTATCACACCAATGACATGTGCGGTAGTATACTCCGGCCTGTTGACCGTTCAATACGAATGGAACGACCAGGTATAGCATCTCAGATCCTCGGCCCTCCGCTCTTTGTTCGTTTCCGACTTCCGAATGATCTGTCACAAGCGCAATCGAGACTACCAATCTAACCCGTTGCATACAACACATAGAACTGCTGACCAAACATTTCTCCATTTCAAGTCATAATATATAGTAATAAGTACTTGGTCTTTCTTACTACCATGTTGGCAAACTCTGTCTCCCTTGTCACCCGGTTCTCTGGATGGCAATGTCCAGTATATCAATTACATCGTTGACTTCCATTGCGAAGTAAACTTATCTCTCGTCCCAACTTTGATTATGACAGGGAAGATGTTCGGGCCACACGAGCCTCGGCCGCCTCTTTTCTTTCGATTTCGCACATCACCCTCTTTTATACTGTTTACGGTTTGTGTAGCAATTTATAACGTGAGTCTTCCGCCAGTGAAGTGTTCTGTAACCAAAGCTCACGGAAAGAACAGGACACATTCCTTTTTGGGACGGTTCGTATCTTCGTTGCGGCTCGTTGGCAAACTTTGGCTAAGTCGAATCACAGATAATACCCGTCCTCCCTTTTGCTCTGCCGCATAGGATCAATGTGGATGAAGAGGATGGTAATTTCATAGGTCCGCTGTGGACAATTGACGCCGCTGACTGAGCCCCGATAGTGCAAATCTATATCGCTATTCTCCTATCAATGTACGGTGGATCATTACTTTTTGGATCGTGTGAGTCCATCCATGTCGAAGCAATCCCTTGCAGACGATCTGATGTTCTCTGTAGTGCTATTTGGTTGGATTGGTGACAAAATACCTCGACGGCATGGCATTTTCCTCTTCGGGCTTTCGATGCTTCTTGTTGCAACTACGATACTTTCTTTTGGTCGGCATTTCGTCGTTCTCGTCATTGGGCGTCTTTTGCAAGGATTTTCCGCCGCCGTGGTGTGGACGAGTGGCCTGGCCCTACTAACGGACATGTTTGGTCAAGAAAGGTACGGTGAGGCGGTAGGATACGCTCAGACGTCTGTCAGCGTTGGCACGACTTCGGCTCCTCTTTTGGGTGGTGTGGTCTATGCCCGAGGTGGGTACGGAGCCGTGTCTGCGATGAGTATTGGAGTTGTCGCCTTCAGTCTTGCGCTAGCATTGACAATGATTGAGCCTAAAGCTGTGAGCGAAAGCGAAGAACCGGCTCCGGATTTTCCAATTGCGGAAAGGAACAATCAAACTGCAGCGTCTCAAGAGATCAGCAGCCTGGATCGGAACACGCAGAGTCCCACCACACTCGAGTCGGCTTTACGACTCCCGGACGAACGAAGTGCCCTGATTCATAAGAAACACAAAGAAAGCGAATTTGATAGTGGGCCATCCTACTTCCTGCTGCTGCGCTCAGGTCGGATCCTTGCGGCTATGGCGGGTATCTTCACCTTCGCTTTTGTCATGCTCAGTTTTGAAGGCATGATCCCATTGTTCGTCAAGCAAACTTTCCATTGGAACTCAACACGTGCTGCCTTGATTTTTCTTTCATGGATCATTCCGGGTTTCTTAGGACCTGTAGCGGGACATGCTTCGGACAGGTTCGGATCGCGGTGGATCGCTGTTGGAGGACTACTCTTCGCTGCGCCTCCTCTAATCTGCATGCAGTTTGTCACCAAAGATAGCACTTCGCACCAAGTTTTGTTATGTGTTTTACTCACCCTGGTCGGTAAGTGCTCCTTTATATACTCCTTGGGCTGATTCTCGATTAATGCGCTGCTCGACTGACAAGATCGTGCAATGCAAAGGGTTCGGGTTCGTGTGGATTATGCCGTCTTGTGTATCAGATCTCACCGCCGCTGCAGCTGACCTGAAGCGCGAAAATCCTCATGACTTCGGAGACTCGGGTGCCTCGTCTCAAGCATTTGGTCTTTTTGTTTTTGCATATTCATGTGGGTCTCTCGTGGGTCCGACAATAGTCGGTACAGTAAGAGCAAAGGTCGGTTGGGGCGCAGCGACGATGACCTTGGCGGCTGCATGTGCTGCGGCATGTATCCCTATCGTAAGTCACATACAATTTCCATCCCAGTGATCAAATGCTGACTGAATGTTTCAAAGGTGCTTAAAACATCAGCATCCTCTCGCAGGAAAATGAATTCCTTCAATAGTGTTTGAAATACGCCGCACAAGCTGCTGGTTGGGATGAAATTTATTATTCTATTATAGGGAAAAGAAGGGACAGCTAATTCAGCTACTGCAGGTCACAAACAGGCATGAACTAGCGTGAACTAGCGTGAACTAGCGTGAACTAGCGTGAACTAGCGTGAACTAGCGTGAACAGGTGCCTACTCACATTGCTAGCTTCTTCAGAGCTCACAGCTCTTACTAGTACTTGTTTAGTAGGCTACAGCCTACAGGTAGTCTTCTTTCGTCTCAGGCGGAAATGATTTCTTTATCAACCCTTGTAGAACATATAGGTTTTTCATCTCTGTTTAGAAACCCCTTCTATTCTCACTGTTAAGAGTTGGCTTAAATCTACATAGTCTTTTGAGGCCTCAAGTATGACACAGCATAGTAGCGTTTTTGAAACCCATCAACTGGCTGGGCGATACGATGCCGACAAGAGTGGAGTTTGTTCCCCGACACAGATTGCAAGAAGTCGCCCAGGTTGACCAGGCCACACCCGGGCCTTGGCTCAATAAAGGCCCAGTCCTTTGTCTCAGGATGCTCCATCTCGATGCCCCACTCGTCACCGAAGAATAGGGTCAAGGATCCACTATCTGTGTGCGTATTGTCAGGCACATCGATACGCTTTCCCCTCGCTGGCGCCGAGTAGATGTTGAGCGCCGAATCGCTGGGCTGGTCATCACGGTGGTGATTCTCGAAGCGACTGGCCTCATCTAGCTTGAGAGCATCTGACAAGCAAGAAAGCATTGTCTTATTGACGGAGTAACAGAGTGAGGCGAATCGGTCGAGCAGCACGGCGTGAGATTTGAGGGTTGGGGGAAGGACAAGTTTTCCTTCAATCATTTTCTCGCGCGTAAACTGTGACAGCGTTTAAATCGAAGTCAAATGTGACATGGTCGTGGGGAGACCGACCTCGAAAGTCCCTCCTTTCTCACCTGGCTTGTAGCTTCACAAATTTGTTTTAGCATCTCCTCAAAAATTCCTAGATTTGTGGAATGTAAACCCACCTAGAGACCTGCCCAGATGTAGAGCCCTTTGTTTCCGTCCCAGAAGGCTCGTCAAAGTATTTCTCTGTAACTGCGTAAACATTCCGCAGATCTGTAAGGATATCTTTCGCAGGCTCGTTCTGAAGGTCGAGATAGAAGAACCCAGGCATCTGAGAGGCACGGAGCAACTTTTCCACCTCGGCCGGCTCCTTGGTCGTCAGGCGTGCAAAATCGATGGTTTCCAGGGAGGCAACATCGACTCGTTGGCCATCGATTGTGGTGTTATGCTCAACAGTGCTGTGAGGCATGTTGGTGAGGGCTCAAATTATCCTTAATTTGGGGGAGGGAGAAAGTGTCGAACATTCACTGCCGAGCTCAACTAGAGTAGTGCTTCAAGCTATACAGTCCCTGGGGATCTGGTCGTCCTCGTGAGATGCTCCCTCCTTAAGCACCACGACATGTCTGTCAACCTTGGCCAAACATGCTGTTCTGTACGTTACCATACCAAGTAATACCGTCTTTTACCATATGTGGAGCAGGGTCCTAAGGTTCATGTAAGTGTCTCCTCTTCCCCGCACGCAATGGTCTGTCTGTCTCTGTCCGGGGATCTTCCTTGCAGATGATCCCTGTCCATCGCTGGCACCAGGGGGTGGCCTGTCGATCTCCAGGATAAGCTGACATACGATGTACGTAATGAGCGTTGCTTTACCACGGAGACTTGCTGCAGGGATGGTTTGAACCCTGCGACGGAACTCCCTTCTGTTTGGTTTAACGTAGTACAGACTCACCGAGAAACAGGTAAGTTATGCAGCATGGCCTAAATATTCTTCAGTATTACTGTAAATGTATATATCGTTTATCTTCTGGACGCTAACGAAACACTCCCATCTTAATGGCACTGTTACAGTCAGGCTATTACGTTATTTAAATAACTAGTGAAATATGCAAACCATCATTTGCCAAACACATCTGTTGAACTGGACCAGTTCCACCTCATCCCGTCGTGCCGTCTTGCCGCCGTGCCGTCGTGCCGTCCGAAACCGGCGCCTGAGAATGTGCCCATGTTTGCATGCCGCGGATGTTACCATCTACTTCAACCAATCTACGCCCGGTATGTTGACATAATCAATGATTTTCGTGCAGAACCTGCCCTGCATAGCACGATTATAATGTGTCCAATATGATGCCGGTTGATTGAGATGGCCCTGCCACTTGGCATTCGGAGTGCATGGGCCACGGGGTTAAGTGGCAACTAAGTTAAGAAACTAGACGTAGACGATGAAGAGACAGCTCTCTACGTGTACAATACGCCAGTTAAGTCAGACCACTTCGGACACCTGAGAAGTTGCACTGCTTAAAACGCAATCCACCTCTCAATTCAACGATCCCTTACCACATTGGACGAAACCTTGTTGATGTGCATCGTACTACGTAGTACGTTGACTGGGCCCGATGACAATTGTTCGTGTGGTGCTGGTATAGCTTTTGGAAGCCCAGATCCACTGCTGAACCTAGAACCTACATCCGGCGGATGTAACTTTTTTGGCCGGCCAAGATCCGTTCCGAGGCAATGCGGTAGCCGTACTTGCAGTTATGCAGTGGAATCTCACTAATAACCATGAGTTTGGAAATTTGGGAGTTTGGAATTTTGGAAACCAAAGCGGTTAACGAAAGCGCTAATAAATAGCTCATCGATGTGCACATGGATTAGGATCTTGCAGATCCATCCAAAGGCAGATTTGGACGATCGCCCTTACGACCACATGGGAGACTCAGGTCTGCAAGGGTGTCGGGCGGCAGGAAGAGCTCGATTTAGGATGTTGTTGAATTACCTCTGAGATAGGGTAGAATAGCGAGTTGTTCTATCTAGTAAGGAGTTGAGAGTGTAGACACACATATAAGATAGGCTGTACGGTACTCTATATAGTGAAATTTGCTCAGAACTTGCATTAGAAAGTGACCAATCAAAGGCAGGCGAACAGCAGGGATCGAACGTTAGAAGAACCGGCCAATAGAGTTTGACAGCCGGGCAATCTACTACTCGGTGCTGCCGCTCTATGAGTTCGAGTTTCCAATTAAGATCGTTGCATAAGTGAAAATGACCAATGGATCCACGGAGAATAGGTTTCAGAGTGGGTGAAGGTGCTGAGAAAGCCTGTCAAACGAACCAGATCGACAAGATCTGTACATCATTACTGGGGACGGTTTGAGTCACGCTAAACTCCCTTTTCGGCGGCACCGAGTAACTACGAGTGCGGGGCCAAGGATCTTGACCGCTCGACTCCGAGTCCATCTTCTCCAGTTACAGCACTTGGGTTCTATTAGCGGGCTTCGGTGTGGTGGAAGAACGCTGATGTTGCCTGAGTTGAAAGGGGTTGGAGCTTCGTCGTGTGGCTGTCGCACCTTGTAGGGCTTGGACAATTGAGTGCATTTTGGGAAGGCAGGCCAAACTTTAATACCGAGTCGATGTCGTGAATTTGCTAATTGCAGGCGGCAGGCATGTGCCATCTCCACAATGTCTGCAATGTCTGCTCCGATCAATAATCGAGATACCGCCATCCATCCTAGCTGCACCATGCCTACGCTGAGCGTGGGTGTGATGAAAATTCCACGGTTTAAATTACGTACATGCGGTGTTGCTGCTGAGATATCTAGCTCCTTCATCGAGGGCAATCTAAAGCTAAGGAAGTAAATCAAATCAGTTGCATGCATATGCAGTTTACACCTGAGGCGACCAGGACTAGGTAGTGATTCTGAGAGTCCCGCCTCAATCGATCGGGCTGTGAGACAGTCTAAGGAGAAGAGGTGGAAGGTACGAAGCTGCATGGGGATATTGAGATACTGGGATATTGCGATGGTTTTCCATTCCGGCTGAGCACACGCCTGGCTTATTTGGGCCGGAATCTTGATATATCCATTTGATGAGTCGAGACTGATACGCGCAGCGTGTGTGAGTCATGCCAATCAACATTCACATACCCACCATTTGGCAGGCAATCTTGGTTGTTATCTTGGTGTTCGTGCCCATCAAAGTCTACGGAGCCACTCTAAGGTGCTTCCTGAGAGGCAGGTTTGAGGGTGAAAATGTCGAGTTGCAACCTCCTCCACCAGTCAATGCTCTGTACAATGAAAAGAACGCATCAAATCTGGCCGTGCCTGGAAGACAGCAGGACAATGACCAACCCAGAGAATTACGGATTTACAAGGACTTCTACTACAAGTTGCAGAACCTTGAGCGATTCCCAGAGATTTTACCGCAGTCCAGGGATCTGCTGATATCCTTGCTCACAGAAACACTGGCAGATGCCCTCAAGAAGCCGGAACAGGGAATCTTATCTGTTGAGCATTACACATCCGAAAATCTGACAAAGTTCCTGCAAATTGACAATGACAAGATCACTCAAGAATGGGAACAATATGTGGCCAGAAGAAAGGCTGGCTCGCCAGCAGAGATGTTTCAGGACAGGGAAGAAGCCAGATGGTGGCTCAGACAAATGGCTCCGGTCAAGTACGTGGACGGTGCTTGGTTAGGCCACATCAACAAAATCACCACTCCTTTTGCTCTCCGCCGAGTGACCAAGGACGCTTGGCAGGTGCTGTCAGAAGAGCTGGGAGATGGTGATCCGCACAAGAATCATGTCTATGTCTACCGTGAGCTGATGAAAGAGATTGGGTCCGGGCTACCAGAGGCAGATACTCTCGATTTCATTCATCCACAACACCAACTCAACGAAAAATGCGTCTGGAAAGCTGCGGTTGCTCAGTTACTGATCTCTCTTTTCCCGCACGAATTCCTTCCGGAGATCCTTGGTTTCAACATGCACTTCGAAGGACTAACAATGGAGACTATGAAGGCAGCCAGCGAACTTGAAGAGTTAGGCCTCAGCCCTTATTACTTCGTTCTCCATATCTCGATAGATAATGCCGATTCTGGCCACACGGCAATGGCAATGCAAACAGTTGTCAAATATATTGAGCACGTGCGACAGACGCAGGGAAAATCAGCCGCACAACAAGTCTGGAGGCGGGTCCAGACGGGCTTCGTCCTCTCCAAAGAGCTCTCCAGTGGACCGCAGTGTCCATCCCAGCGACATCGTGCTCATAACTCTTTCCCCCGCAACAGACACGAAGCGGAAGTGATCAAGATCTTCGAAGCGAAAGCTCCTGTCGCACACAAAATCCACTGCGGCAGCCGCCTGACGATTGGCGGCCGGACATTGGTCGATTGGCTTCAACCGGACGCCTTCGCAGGGAAGCAGTGGCAGATGGAGTTCCTGGACTACCTAAGCAACATGAAACCATGGGTACGTCGGGGTGATAGTAGCAAGAGCAAGTTGATTCATGAACTTTCCTGGGGAGGCAAGATGTTCGGTTCCTTTACGCAAAGCGAGGTCGACGTCGTCAAGCGATGGATTGACACGTTAGAAATTCCCAATTCCCAACTGTACTGGTCGTTCGTCGGTCGATCCGAAACCATGTCCGACCAGGTCTTCCAAAAGCAAGATATCCGCGTCGACTACCCCGTCCTCTCGCCAACTTCCATGGTCGACCTGTCCTCTGAACTGACCCCTCTTGCCCCCTCGCCTCTACTTTACTTCCATCCCGCCTCCATTACCCCCCCAAATCCGGACATGTCTAAAGTGCTCCCTTTGTGGTTCACCAGTCCTTGCCTTCTCGAATCATTTGTCTGCGTTCCCTCCAAGACTACCACCATAATCGCCTCTTCTGTCGTGCGTCTCCTACGAGCTCAATCCGGCTTTGATGCAGAAGGTTCGGGCGTTGCCGGTATGGATGAGGTGCGTCGAATACATAGCGTTGGCCTCGTGGAGCTCGGGTTGGAAATGACGAGGAGATCCGGTCTTCCGCAGCCAACAAGTCTCAAGGAAGTGCTGGAGTCATGGCCGTCGGAGTTTGCGTGTAAGATGCTACAGGTGTCCATGCGGCCGATGGCGAATCCTGGGTTGTTACTGGGATTAGCTGCGGCGTTTGTCGGCTTGCACGACGCAATGACCTCGTCTAAGCTACTCTCTACTACGAGCAAGGCGGTTTTGAAGCAGATCGTGCGCAGAGAGCGAGACAGTCTGAAGATATGCTTGGATGAGCTCAAGGACGATAAGATCGAATGTGCCGAATTCCACCGAGGCCATGGCATAGGAAGGGCGGAGATTGAGAGCTGTTTGGACCAAAACATAGTCATGGCGGAGGATTTTCCATCTAAAATGTTTTCCTAGCAACATCCAATGGGCAGTTGTTTGTGCATTCGTTTACCAGATTAGACAAAAGCGTGCGGCTGTGCTCGTCTTCATCGTCTCTCCACGCAGAGATCAAAGTCCAGCGAGGAATGTATACAATAGAGTTCCTACCCTTAACTGCAAAGATACCACATAAAAAGTAGCCATGTACCGCTCTCATTTCTCGAGTTCAGGAGACGGGGAACAAACCAAGGACGGAAACCTACCACGCAGAATCCAACATCCCATAGTCTCCCTAGGACACCAGCCTTCATCTGTTCCTCCGTGAGAAAGGCAAACGAGCACGGAGTCTCAACAAATCAACGAGCGTTTTCATACATCTTGCACCTTACCCACCGCCCGTTCCCAATCTCCGAAACGTATTTTTTGGGGGGGCTCCCTACTTGCCCCTGGTCCTCTCTATTTTCAATGCTCTAGCTCAACGTGTCAGATAAATTGGAAGAGAGAGAGTTCACCGCCTCCGTTGCCAACGCCGGGGGAATGTGCCAGATACGCCTGCAGTTTCAAGTGTACGTTTGATTTTCTGTTTTCCTCCCTCGTCCATGTGCTCGGCGGAAAACCGGCGCTCCAACTTGTTCTTGTAGACGTGATTATGTAGATATCCTACTAACAAAATTTCAAGATATGGAAACAGTGGAGTAAACACGAAGGTGCTGTTGTGGCAACGACAAGATTGGGTCAACTCGATACGGTAGAGATACCTTAGCAGAGGCCCCGGAAGTCTCACAAAGCTGCTCGAGAATCGCGCCAAACATGACCGCTGGCGGAATATAATGACAGTGTGTTAGAAGTTTCAATGTATCATTAAAAGGGGACGCTTATGTGATATTGCGACAACGCTCGATGAGAGCCAGCTGTGGACCTCACCCCTGCTGCGGCTTGAGAGAGGGAAAAGAAAAGAAAAGAAAAGAGAAGAAAGAAAACTAGAGATGGCAGCACAAGGGGGTTGTAGCTATACGAATACCTCCTAGAAGAGTCCCATGATCATCGTCCTTCGCTCTTGCAAAGTCATTTCACTTAACATCCCTTCTTCCTTTTCTTTGTACATGATGTATCGCTGCCACAGTTCTTTTCCCAGCACGGCCATCACAGCTTCATCCTTCTTCAGCGCCTCTATCGCATCCTTTAGGCCATTTGGGGCACGCTTGTCCATACCCAATTCTCGTCTGGTTTCCTCGTCCATTTCTACACTCCGGCCGGACAAGGGCTTCATTTTCAACTCCTGGCCCTTCTCCAAAGCTGCCATGCCCACTCCAAGTATCGCAGCCAGCGTAAGATAGTTGTTCGCCGTGCAGTCGACAAATCGAAACTCCCAATGCGCACGGCCAATCTTGCGTATGCTACTTAGCCGGTTTTCCCAGTCCCAGCACACCCAGCCGCCACCTGTGAAATCGGCGCGGAGGTAGCTGTCGAAGTTTGGCATGGAAATGGCGCAGATCCCTGGCACGCTGCCCAGAACGCCGGCAAGAAAAGAGTCGTCCTTCGCGTCTGACGAGAGTGAGATATGCATGTGCTGGCCCACACCATGCGTCTTGTCGAAGGGCTTTGGATGCATGGTAGCATGTAGACCATGTTTGACGGCGCTTGCTTTGATGGCCTCGTTGATGTATACAAGGGCATCGGCAGCGCGCAAAGGTGTCATAGGATCCGTTGAAATCTCGAACAAACCAGCCACGAGTTCTGTGTGGAAGGTCCAAACCGGTATTTTAGCCAGCTCTATGGCACGCACCGAGTCTTCGAGCACCGCCAAATATGGTGTTCTCAAAGAAGCCGTGGAACAGTAAGATGTAACGTCTTTCACGGGCGCCGTCGACGCCGCAGACTCCGCGAGGTAGAATTCAACCTCAACGCCGACCAAGAAGGTCATGCCTTGCTTTTCTTCCAACTCACGCTCGGCTTTCTTCAGCACAGACCTTGGGCAGCATTCGAATCCGTGGCCCGCTTCGTCGAGGCAACACATGACGGCCGCATGACCGGGATGGTAATGGCAAACAACAAGAGTCGACCAGTCAGGGACCAGCGAGTCCTTTGCACCAGGATTGATCACGTTGAAAGTGCCGTCGACAAGAAAGCCACTGGCAATGGGGCTGGCAACACTGACGGATAACCCTTCGGTGGCTAGACGAAGGGCTTGCCGGACCGTTACGAGTCGGGTTCGCACTGTCGCCGTAAAATCTATCCATTGAAGTCGGACAAACTCAATGGAGGGGTTGGCATCGAGCACGGATTGCAGGATGCTGAGGCCTGGGTTATGGGGAGTCTGAGTGGAATCTGTGCTATTTGCCATACTTGCACTTGTATCGGACGGGTATTGTGGGCTCTACGACAGATAGCAGCGCCACTTGACAGATGGTGGATCTTTTATTGCCTCAATCATGGGCGGATGAAGGAGTTAATGTATTTGACCCAGGACGCGGAGCAGCTGTCAGTCAGGTCAGCACGGCGAATCAGATGAAAGCGGACTTCATGATGAACTGCAGCTAGAGCCTAGAACGGTACGTAGTGCGCAGGGCAGGTCTCAGTGCCAGTCTCTATCATTCATACGACGGTGTGCACCGGAAGTTGTGTCCCCTTGGCATAAGTAACTTACTGTACAGTTAAATAAATACTTGGTTGCTCATTTTGAATGGGTGGGCAAAAGAGTGGTTGGGGGGATGGGGAAGAGGCGGAGGTGTAGATATTCTAACTAGCCCCTGGAAGCATTGTCAGAGTCCGGAGGTCCTGGGGTCAGACTCCAAGCTTGTCAGGCCGTATTAGGCGCCGGACCCTGAAGGATTGCCGAGGCAGCCCTAAAGTCTCCCACGCTTTAGGCTCTGCTTCCCAACAGCCCTAGGCTTCCATTCCCTATAGTTTCCTGGGACTAAATGGAATGACGAAAGCCGCCACCATCATGTCGAGAACGGCACAACCTTTAGCGTACATCTGTCTTTACGACTGATTGCGATGGCTGTCATTTAGGATATATCAAGTATTTTGTTAAAATTTGATTAAGTTTGGAGTTACGAGTTTTCTATCTTAGATAAGTAGTAATCTACCTACTATCTATGTTGTTTATTTGTTGATTGTTTGTCACGCATTATCGCTGACCTTCTGGTCTTCAATGGCTTATCCGGGGGTGTTGCGAACCTACAAGCACTAACTAGTTAGTCTATTCCCTCCTCTTATGTCGGCGTTGGTATCGAACAGATTGCTTAAGAACAACCCATTTTTCTCTCTCTTGCTCTAGCGTATGTTCATTCTGTTTTCGCTGTCTTTCTACTCACGGCAGGCATGGGCGAATATGGGCTGCCGAGAGCGATATTTCTCTCGCTGAGCCAGTTCCTCCTTTAATAAGATCGTTCGATCTCAGATCAAACACTTCTGACGTGGGCTCCGTTCTCGCATGACACTGCTAGTTATTTCTTATGACGGAGGGGCATACGGCCGATCATCGCAAGATCACCAGCTCATCGCTCGAAGCTCTTTATATCGAAGAATGGCGCATTTTCAGACCTCGTCCTCATCGCGGTTTGGTTTCAGTTTCTCCTACTATTGTGGACCCATGGTCGACCGCAGAAAGACGGCGGCCGGCTACCTAGAAAAGCTGGTCTCGTTGAAATGCATGGAAATTGCTCTCACCTGGACAATCTTTGCAACAAGGTAATGGTGCGGATCATGGATGCCTCTGATTACCTGTTGATCAATTGACCCTAAAAGTCGCCGCACATGCGTCTTGACTCTCTCAGCGGATGCTGGTCTTAGAGAAGACCTATGACGGTCTTGCTATGCGATCTAAAGTGGACTATCAGGCCTATGCTGCTGCTGCTTTACTCATGTTGTGGATGCTACTTTATTCAAAGGTGTGTCCCGGACGCGGCTGGCTGACTCGGTGCGAATTTGCGTGATATCACTCTGGCACTCTTCTTCTGCTTCTGCTTCTGCTTCTGTTGGGAGCTGAGTTGAGATGAGTTGGATCAGGTTTGGGGTTGAGCTGGGTGGAGTTGAGGACTGGACTGGACTGGACTAGGCTACATAAGAGCTACGTTTTGTTGTTATGATGCTGTAACGGCGAGGGGGACTGTGATTGAGGTATGTGGATGGATGGATGGATAAATAGATGCACGCATGCTGGTATGGCCAGGGACAGCGATTGGGCTCGAGCGAGAAGGGGTACATGTAAACAGCTGTTGGCTAGCTGGTTGGCTGTGAGGAAGGAGTTAGAATAGGAGATGCCTAGGCAGTAAGTACTGTGACGGACGGGGGAATGAATGAGTAAGCGATAGAAAAATGATCTGTATGAAATCTCAATTGGGTATTGAGATTTTCTGGGTTTGGATCAGAGTGAAAGGAGACAGCAGGGCGCTTATTTCTTCTTGTTCTTCTCCTCCTGCTTGAGAGCTTCCCGTATCCCATTCTGCCTCTTTCCCTGTGCATGCTCATGCTTCTGGAACAGCCTGACCAGCTTGGCCTTCTCCTTCCTGCTCGCCACCACGCCTTTCTGCTCCACCAGCTTCTTCGCCTCTTCGCAATTAGCACACCTCTCCTCGAACGACTGGGCCAACCTCTTCGCTTCTACTACCGCATAATGTGGTCCCAATGTTTTGTCCTCGACTGCTTGCTGAATCGCCTTGATGCCATCTTCGAGGTGGTCTCCTCCCAGCACAAGCACGAGGTGGGCATCGGGCGTGGTTAGGATCTTGTGAGCAGCTGCGGCATGTTTCATGTCGTGGGCATCAGTGATGAAGACTGTCGTCTTGCCAGTCACAGTTGCTTGGACGGAGCAGTCGCCAACGTCCCAGCCAGCTTTGAGGATGATCTGGGAGACACCGCTGGAGGGAAAGAGAGCACCCTCTGCACCGCGCAGTAGTGTCATGGATCCTGCGATACTCTCACCTGCTTCCAATACCGCTGTGTCGATCGAGTCCACGCAATGCACGAGCGGACGGAAAGTCCGGACTTTTCCGGAGGCATCCTGGACGAAACCGGTCATGCAGGCAGATCGCAAGCCAACATCCCTGGGTGCCAACATAGGAGCTTCGCTGGTGTTTGTGAGCTTAACGTCGATCCGGACAGGCGCACCAAGGGGAACTTCGCTCAGCAAAGCTGTGACCTCGAGCTTCAATTCAGGAACTTCGATCTCATCGTCCGTGGTGATGGGAGGAGTTGTGTTGCTGGCACCACCAAACACAATCCCACCAGGCCGAACGAACATATCTGACCAATGGCGGAGTTTCTTCCGATCGTCATCCGCGTAGTCCCAGAGGATATTTTTAGGGAACGGGGTGGCAGGTGTTGACGATGCAGCTCTGGCAATGGCGTCAGTTGTGTTCATGAACCCTGTGTTGACCGTATTGTGCCGCGAGATGCCAAAAGCATGGCCCATTTCATGTACAGCAGCCCGAAAGTAGGCAGCCTTAACAGTGCTGAATTTTTTTCCTTTCACAGGCCCCCAATCTGGTATACCGTTTGCTGGATCCGGAGCAGATTCGAAAACGTAGTTGGCGGCAATGGCGACGCCTTCGCGTGGCACCTTGTTGGAGTCTGTTGCGTCCCAGTCATACAGTATGCCACGAGAGGTCGAATCGAGCTTCTTGACGGCTAGCATATGATAACGCCATTCTACATCGAGGTTGTTCTCGTCTCGATGTGCCATCATCGCTGCATGTGCCTCAGCGTCTGTCCAGCCATCTCCACTTGGTTCGGTGACATTGGTGTCGCTCAAGTCCAACGTCACATCGTAGCCCAAGGCTTTATACACAGTCTCCCAATTCTGTCCAGCCCCACTGTCAAGAGGTCGATCAGCACCATTAACCGTGTCGATCTCCAGTGTAGCCTTGCGATAGGATTCCGAGACCCAGCCCATTTTGAGTCGTCCAACTACGGCTCCAGCTTTTAGGAGATCTCCTTCGAGGTAGTCACTGGCTGAAGGATATCCAGAGTTTGCGGGAGGTGTCATCCATTTCATAGTGGCGGCGAAGTCGCCATCATTGGACCAGGTAGCAGTATTGTCAGCAGCGGCGGTGTATTTCCACATCTGAAGACCCAGTGCGAACGAGTTGCTCAGGGTGAAAGACTCAAGGATCTCGGTCACGCGTAGGTAGTACCGATACCGGCGTCGAGATTGAATTGGGATGCCTTTGGACGGATTCGGTGCATTTAGCATAATAGTTCGCGGGGCACCAGGTGGAAATGGAACAGGCAAGGTCGGAATCATAATGACAGGACGTTGATATAGGTCCCCGCTCGCTGTTCTTGTTGCACCAGTACCATGAGTCTCAACCCGGATAGTACCATCATAGGCGACGTTGGTAGTGTTGGAGGGGATATAATTGACCAGCCAGGCACCTTGTCGGACGACTCTGGTACGGGGCGGAAAGGGGAATGGTGGCGGAAACGTCACTAGTGGAGGAAGCGGAGCATCTTTCCAGTCAATTGCCTTAGAAGCTTCCCCAAATGGCAGTGAATCGGGTAGAGGCGGTGCATTCATCGTGTCGTGCAACTGAAGCAAACAAATGGTTATGCAGAGAGTGATATAATTCAGTAGAAACAGGTATGGGATCTTCACAACAAAGAGACATGATGAAAGATGGAGTGTATCTTATGAGCAGCAGTGAGGAGCTGGAGATACGGGTCGAGGCAGGGCGTAGCTGAAAAGGTTAGTGGTGTATGAAGCCTTTCTTCGTGGCTGGCGCTCTCGACAGGAGTCGAGCATGCTTCTTTCAACAAGCTCAACTTACACTTTGTCTAACTTGAGTGCTTGAGGCCAAGTGCCTTCCATTTGGTGGCGGATCCGTATAGCCTTGTGTTGGTGGAGTGATCAGGCCACCCACTTAGCTCGTCCTTCTCTGAGTTGGGATGGCTGTCAGCTCGTGGGCAGAAAAGCCATGAAAGGGAGCTGCACAGCTTGTACGAGACGGCTTGCTATGCTTTGTTAGTGCTTACATGATTGGAAATTAGAGCGTGTGCGGCTGAGCAAAGATTAGGTGCTGATTATCGGACTGGGAGAGGTCTGGCCAACTGTGGCGGCCTGACTGAGCTCGGTCGTTGATAGGGATGGCAAGATCGGGCAAAGTAGTGGGTAATCGGGGTCAGTGACCATGGACTGGTAATGGTCGGTGTGAAGGTCATGGTGAAGCATCCTCGCTGTGACCAGAAATGTTACCACTATGGTGCAAATACACTTGGTTGAATGCAGAGATGTGTGAAGCCAAGGTGTGAAAATTGGCAGGAAACCAGCGGACAGTGGTGAAGAACAGCAGATTGCCAAAAAGAGGTGAAAAAGAGATAGACAGGAACGAGCCTACTGAATATAATAATTAGATTATATTACCGCCAGCATTCAGCATTAGGGGCAGAGGGGCACCAACATAATGGAATGGGGGCTCTTCCAGGTATCCATGGCATGCAAGCGTTCTGAGCTCCGCCAGTGGTCAGGTCGGCTTGCTTGCTTACAAAGGTTGCTTGTACCCCGCAGACTGACTGTGACTTCAACCATCTGAGGCAGAGCGCCTGAAGCCCAGTTAGTGACTGGTGGATGCCAATGGATACACCAGCCATGCAATCACTGATCTCGCCAATTTATATAAACAATCATCCTCCCCAACGTTGTTCTTCTGGTACATACTTAATTTTCCCTTGTTGGTCAAAGTCGGTCGGCTCCAGTTCGGTGAATTCAAAGTCATGTAAGAGGCAGCCATATGACAGGAAATGGTTTCACATACAATCTATATTACTCTCGCCATCGATCACTGGGAAATTTAGTTCAACAAGCCTACCAAATCCTTATATACAAACATTGAGGCCTTGGAATCTTGTATCACTAACTTGATGCGCGCCCGATCAAGCCCTTCAACTTCTCATTCCAAACCTCCATGAACTTCGCGCTCGCTTTCAACATCGGGACAGTCCAGAAGAAGTGTGGATATCCCTCCCATTCGACCAGATCTGCGTCCACACCTTGCTTCTTCATCTCCTCGTAAAGGAAGACCGTCTCCTGGTTTGTAGGGTCTTTTGTGGGTGACATGATACAGCTTGGAGGTAAGAGTTTGATATCTGGATGGAGGAGAACCGATACGAGCGGTTCGTGAGGGGATGGTGCTTGGTAGAGCTCTGTGGTTTTACCATTAGAACCATGTTACAGCAATTTGGCCTCAGCTAACTAGGGGGGCTATACCGAAAGCCCAATCCACCATGTCCCTCCCAATCATAGGGGCATCCGCATACTTTTCCGGCGTCCATCTCCCCTTGTATTCTTCTGGGAATGCTCTTCGGTCACAAGTACCTGGACAAGCGATGATAAGTCCAGAAGCTCTAAAGTCTGGATTTGATGCATATTTCAGGGCAACGGCAGTACTGAGATTCCCGCCAGAGGAACCACCCATGATGAATCTCCTTGATCCATCACCACCATATTTGGCGGCATTGGTGCACAGCTGTCCGCGTTAGCTTCTGTCTCCTAGACACACAACTCACCACAGGACTCTTACCCATTCGTAGGCTTCACAGCAGTCGTCCAATCCAGCGGGGAAAGGATTCTCTGGGCAAAGTCGGTAGTCAACTTGAATGAGCAGGATCTTAGAATTATCCACAATGTTTCGAACGAGATCTTCGTCATGCTGCCATCAGATCGAGCCAATGAGGGGGTGAATCATATCAGCTCTCACGGTCTTCGTTCTCCATGTCGCCTGCAAACCATCCTCCAGCATGAATGCTGGAAGAGTCAAATGAGCTAGAGTGGATGGTTGAGGGGCGGATGACGATCGTACTACAGGCCTACTGGTAATTGCCCATGACCTTCTGTAGGCTGATAAATTCGGATACTCATTCCACTTGGCAAAGTCGAGTCCTCTGCAGGGGTTGAGGTCAGTTCTTTGAGCAGCAAGAATGAGAGATGTATCATGTCGTACCAGTCTTGATAGCATCTGTCCGTGGGGGAAGAAAGGGCCTGATACTGGCGAAGATGTTCTGAAATTGGTTGCGAACCTCGTCGACCGGACCTGGCATCAGCGTCATGCGGCCGCCCTGCATCTGCTCCATCTGCTCAAAATTAGCGGGTCCCCTCTGTCATCGGATTCTTTCAAGCCTACAGCCAGCCATTCTGGGGCGAAGGGAGCCAACTCTTCCTCAGCCATGCTCGTTTGGGTGAAGCTGGAGGGTTGAAGGGATGAAGCGAAAAGGGATGAAACGAAGAGGGAACCGGCAGCAAGCAGGTGGCGTCTTATGACGAAAAACAGAACAAGACATCGAGGGGGATCGCGCTTGATCAAGTACTGCTTCGAATTGGGCCATTGCCACCAGCTGCATGACAAGTTTCTTTAGCAGACAAAGTCTTGCCATGTTTCCAGGAACTTGTGGAGCCAAACCAAGGGGTCGGTAAAACATGGTTCAGGCTACCAGAGCTCTGGGTCTGGGGTGCCGCATCGGCTACGGTAAGAGGCATAAGTGATGTTAGCAGGCTACTAGTAGCAGCTAGCTATGATGCGGCGTTACAGGGATCTCCAGAAGCTTCTTGGGCAGATGACCATAGATATTGGTAGCAGTAGTACCGCCCAACCGTTCCAAGTTTAGCTGTTCCGTTAAGAGTACGCACTAAAGAAAAAGTACTAGCGCTGGGCTGACATTACTTCTGCTCAGCACCGTAACAGGGTTTGGGATGCTTTCTAGCGCCCGCGCTACATGCCTGACTTCTGGCACCTTTGCTTCACCTCCTAACTAAAACCATCTTAGCCGCACATTCCACAGGCAAGGGCAGACCAGCACCGGTACTGATCTACTTGACAGCATGTCTACTGAAGACGTCACCTGTCGTATTCGCGTAGAACTAACAGACACCAAGGGTGAACATCGACTTTTCAACATCTGCGAGGTCTCCGGCATCCCCGAAGAGGTAAAAAAGCAATGGGTACAGAAGATTACAGACTACATCTGGGGGCCTGGAAGCAACCAAGGAGGTTCCAGGCTGGTCATCCGGCCGTGGGACTTCATACTGCGTTCCGACGGCTCCTTCGATTCCCTTCCTGTTCCAAACCTCGAACAAAACACTAGCAGCGGCGTTTATCCAGCGCATTATCGCATTCCGCCCACCAGTATCCAAGCCTTTGACCAGCAGGAACAAGTCAAGCGCCAGGAATGATTCGCTTTTGGGACACTAGTCTACGAAATTGCCTGCGGCAAGAAGCCACTTGAAGGGCTAAGCGATGAGGAGGTGCAACAGCATTATAGCAATGCCGAGTTCCTGGACGATGTTCCAACGCTCCCGCCTGACTTGTTGATTACGATCTTATCGTGCTGGAGCGTTGAATTTGCTAACATAAGTACGTTATACTCTTTTGTCAATCCCCACCATCTTGTAACAAAATTAGTCAATCCTCCTCGCTCGAAATTCGCTGGATTCGCTGCAGCAGCTGGTTCTTACATCAAAGCACACCCATATCTCTTTGCTCTCCAGATCACCGGAGCCCTCTCCTTGACTGCCGCCGCAATCGCTCCAGCAATCCTCGGCGCCGTGGGCTTCGGTGCACTAGGTCCGGTCGCGGGCAGCACAGCAGCAGGATGGCAGGCTTCTATTGGTGTTGTTGAAGCCGGAAGCCTTTTCGCCTGGTGCCAAAGTGCTGCCATGGGTGAAGCAGCCGTCAACGCCATCGTTGCGACAGGCGCGGCAGGTGGTGGAGTTGCCGCTCTCGCAACAGGGGTAGCAGCAGCACAAAATCAAGGTCTTGATGTAGATATACTCATAGCGAAGTTCAAGGAGGTCTACAGGCAGGGAGATTTCGGTGACTAAGGGCGAGATGGGAGGGAAGGGTGAGCGAACGAGGATAGTCTTCCTGGACTCTGCCACATGACTCGTGGTGAAGAACGAAAGCGGCAAACTGCGGGAGGCACTTTCGGGGAAATGACGATGCTGCTGCTCCAGAGGGCTCTCAAGCCATGGGCCTCTGACCATAGACGACATAGCTAATTACGGCGTTAGTGGAGAGCCTCTCCGTTAGCGCAGTGTAGCAACTCACAAATCATACTGTCCATGAATTTTGGGATTCTGAAAGTCCTTCCGAATGTCTGCAAGAAAGACCATGATCTCATCCTTGCTCCAAGGTCTAGGTTTGGCGTGGGGCAAAGTGCCCAGCAGAATCCCTTCTAGACCTTGTTGCATTTGCAGCAGGTTGTATGCTCCTATCTTTTTCTGCAAACACGTCAGTAATGGTCAGCGCGACCAAAACCGAAACGCACCGCTTGTCGATTCTTGGCCCAGGTTCCCAAAGGCAGTAGAATTTTGGTACAGCTGATGTTGATAAATCCTGCATCTGTCATCCACCTTTGGAGGTGACGGCCTGGACACATGCTGGATCTAGGTTAGCGTCATATGTTTTGCCATTGACGTATTCCCGCAGTCTGTACCTGTATCCCATAGCTTCTCTCGCACCTCCTGACATCTGATGAAATCGATTGATAGCACTATCAAGAGGCATGGAGTTATCTGCACTGTAAAGGAACGTGTCCCAATCCTGAAACTCCACCCAACCGCCGGGTTTAGTGCAACTGAGTGTTGGTTAGTCTTTGTCAGACCTGTTGAGCCTCTTAATACTGACTCCAACGCTTGTCGCATCAGTTTTGGCCAGTCACGGATGGCGCCGGCCAAGAATCGTGCATGGATAAAGTCAAAAGGTTGATGTTCGTAGCCCCATTCGTCTTCGACATCGTCGACGATGAATTCTAGATTAGGTGGCACACTATCTTGCGTCAACATAGTAGAGCTTAGGGATTGATGGACGAACAGTGTCGGCTGGGTAGGGCTCAGGTCATTGCCCAAAACCTAGCCATGTCAGTCAAGAGGTGAGAAGCCGGCTATGACATCTTATACCTCCGCGGAAGGGAACTCATCAGCTAGGTAGAAAGATTAGCGAATACGATCGCTTGTGACGAACTGCTGGCATTACCAAAGTCCATAGCCCAGATGCCCGTCCCTGTTGCTATGTCAAGTACCCGTTGGGGCGATTGACCAATAGGTGCATAGAACAATCTGCCCTCCATTGCCGTATATATTAGAGCATGGTGTATGTCCAATCTCTCGTTTTCTTCTTCGTCGTTGGGTAAAGCATAGCCTAGTAACGGTCGATGGTTGGTTTGAAAGCATCAATCATTGCAAACATACGGCCTTGTCGGTATGCATGATACCTCCTTCCTTCAATCTCTGGGAAGTCCATCACAGACGAAGTAATGGAAGAGGTGTATGTGGAGCTGTGAAATGTCAGCACGCTATCTGGAAGACGTGATCGCTGATTGTACACCTCATCGCCATAGGCAGAATCATTGTCAGTGGTCTGTCGACGGTTAGTCATATAACTCCGGCGGGGGGGCTGTATCCTACATTCCAGTCTATTTCTAAAGCTAGTGGGTTTGAAGCCGAATCTGCTATGAAATCCACTGTTGCGGATGACGGGCCTGGCTCCGAATCAGATCCGCGGGTTGAATCGTTGTTGGCCATATCTGGCGATAAGTCTGAGCGAAGTGTATACCCCTTGTCGGGTAGTGTTGTTCCAAGCATAAGTCACGATCAAATATGGGCCAGCTGAGAAATGTGTACACGGAATCGAGCTAAAGTGGAACTTTCTGTGCGCTTAGAAAAGCAGGAGAACCACCAACAACAGATCTATGACTGGAAGAAGACTCGGGCTTATTGAAAGCGCAGACGAATGAGAAGAGTGTCGCTTGAATCACAATGTTCACTTGATCAGCCAAATGTATCAAAGCCCGGAAATTTTCTTCAAGGTTGCTGCTGTGTAAGGATGAGGGCAGCATGGGAGAAGAAGAGAACGGAGATGGATGAATTGTAACCAAGACAATTGGGGACTAAATGAGCCCTACACGACATTTTCCCCCACTTTGTGGTAGCCGGCTCTGTTCGGTGGCCTTATCTGGGAGAAGCCGGTTGAGTATGGTCTAAGGAAAGCTGATGTGTCATAGCTGACATTTTGAGGGTGTTCAAATAGAGATGTTACGCGATATTTAGCCATAGATAAAAGGAGAATTATTAAGATGGCGTCGATCTCCCATCGGCATACTACGGTACCAGGCATAGTTAATTAATGTAACCCACGCGCTAGTAAAACGCCTTATTTACAGCCCCCCTAACGCTGTGACCTCGCTGCCGCTATTATACGCGTTCTTATTGTTTCTACGCGTGATTCTACTGATTCTGTCTCAGTCTACGCCATCTACGCCATCTACCAATTCAGCAAACTTTACAATGCCAGCAAGGTGCCAGGCAGTCATTGATGCTAATGGAATGCACACTCCATACTCACCAGTATAGACTAGTCCTAATCGAGCGACTTTGTGGCGTTCTATACTGGCGTTACAAACTATCACTAGCGTACGAGTGACGTTTACTATGCCTCCTACCGTAGTAGCAATAATAGTTGAGACAGAGCACTACTTTGGCGGACTCGGAGCAGACGGAGCAGTTGCGATTTGGACAATCAGCAAGCCCCTTTGCTGACTACTGTTAATAAGCTACATGTGGTGGTGCCTTGCTGATTCAGTTGAGCCTGCCAGTTTGACCGAATTGAAGGCCGCCGTACTACTATTCCATGCAGAGGGCCCGGTCAAGGACAAGGGTTGTGATCACATTCAGCTACGGTAGTGGTACATCATTTACCCCCTTAAGGATGTCTATTTCGAATTGACCGGCTATCATACAGTCAAGACTCTCGGTACAATCCACCATTCATGCCAGCAGCCCTTCTCTCCTGGAACTGGAACCATGACTTTCATGCCTTTCAACCCTCCTGTTTCGTCCAGCCTCTTCTTCAATGTCACGATCGAAATGCTGGTTGCAATACATGCTCGTATCACGTTCTTCACACCTTCACTCCACTCACCTTCAATGGTCGTACTTCCCTTCTGCATCTCCGTCTTCCCTGTTTTCCCCTCCTTGCTCGACCTATTTAGCTCTGGGTTCTCGGCGAGCTCGGCAGACCAGCCTGCTTTCAGAACTTCCTCCCAGAACTTCTTCGCATCTCCAATCCTCATTCTTGCTTCTTCCAGAACTTCCTCGTCACTCAAAGCCGTGCATGATGACTCTTCTCGGAAGGATTCGAAAGTGACCGGCTCTGGCACGTTCAGGCTGAGGAATGGTTTCATTCTGAGTTCATATCTCAGCTTGTCACTAGAATATGGACGTTGGGGTACCTCGATTGTTTTGTGTCTTAACAGGAGTGTATGTAGAGCATGTAGAGCCTTCGAAAACGCGTCTGTCGCTTTCAGGTGCGTGTATATGCGGAAAAGACTCTTTAATGTCTTCTGATAATCTGCCTGATCCTTGACATCTGGCTTTTCTGGTGCATCCGAGTTTTGAGAAAGAGCTTCTTGTGCGAGCATGTCTCTTTCCAAGAAAAAGCTTATGCGATCGATGTGGGAGATATGCGTAGCACAGATATAAGACAAAAACCAGTACATCCCAGAAATCTCGTCCGGTGCATAGATCGAGAGTTCAAACCCCATTTGTATGATCTGGCGGAGATGATTCAACTTGTGGTGATATACCCAACTACTAAGGGGATACGAGTAGGTCGGCTGATGGGACGCATACAAAGCAGGTTTCTCCTTGGTATATGTTTGCAGGGTTCCATCGATGTCTTCTGCATCCGCCTGAAGAGTGTCCCAGTCCAAGACTAGATGGCAAAGTGTACGTCGAGTGCGGCATCGGTTCAGACACGCATTGCGGAAGATGTTGATATACTGCTGGCCAGCCTTGCCGTCGAATTCAGCGAGAAGTCGAGCCATTTGAAACCGTGGACTTGTAGCGGATTCAACCATATCATTTGCTGCTTCAAGTATTGGGCTTTTGGGCAGGACTATGGCTGCAATGCTTGAAAACAGGAACTGTTTAGTTGTTGTTTTGCCAAGTACTCGCTGCGTCTCTCGATCGAGAAGGAATGATTGCACGAGTGCTCGGATGTATACGCTTGGCTGTGGTATCCGCGACATGAAAACCCAGATGGCAGTAGACAGTTCTTCGCTGGTCTTGGTTGCAAGGATTTGGCCTACATCTGTGGCATCATTGCAGAGCGTCTCAAAATGGGCGAGAGCGTCCGACAACTTAATGGTCACCATTGGACGAGGAGGAACGCTGCTGGCAAGAGTGCGCTGGATCTTTGTGCTAAAGGCCTCATTGACGGGTTTACCAAGTTGTGATGAAGCCTTTATATCTTGTAGTAATGGAATGCAAGAAAGTGAGGGTGTCCTTCCAGCATTCAAGGGGAAAGTGTCCTGTTCCAATGCGTCGAGGATTGATCGGCGGAACTGCAAGCGCTTTTCTATCGCTTTCTTTGACTCTGGAGAAATGCTTGCGGTGTCGTTGTATGAAAGAGCTTCATCTAGTAAAGTCTGTATTTCCGCAATTGATACCTTGGGTAAAAGCTCTCGATGATAGAGTTGAGAAGTGAAGTCCTCTTCCTATTTTGCCAGTCTAACATTAGAATCGGCAGTGCTATCTCATGCTGGACATTGCGTGGACAAACCTCGTAATAGCTTTCTCCCGTGACCATACAATGCACGAAATGGCATGCTTTGATGGTTGCGATACAATAGGATCGCAAAACTCGATTCAGAAGTGGATTATCGGACCGAGAATTCAAGTCGCGCGAGAATTGAGCCTCTTCGAGCGTCTTGGGCTCTGGCCATAAAAGTCGTTCAACATACAAGCAGGTGAAAAGAGTTTGTGACAGTGGATGGCCGATGTGCCATGCAACCTGATTGATTTCAGCATCGTGTCTGTGAGACACGCTACTGATCGAGGCAGCTCACTTCATGACATAGGATTTGATCCATTATGCCAATGACTTCTTCAGGCAACAGGTTTCGGAGGACATTATACTCGTCCTCAAGGGTCTCTCCTGGAGCGAGATGGCCACTATCCATCTTCGAGTCCATGATCTAAACAACTTAAACCTCCGCAGCATGCATAGCAGTTAAGACATACCTCGAGAGCTCCGACAGCTTCGAAAAGCGTGAAGTATTCATCCTTGACCAGTTGTCCCGTATTCAAGGCTTTAACCTATTAGCACAGCCAGAGACAGTGCATGCAATGTAATTACCAGAGGACGCTGCAGTAAAGGATTCGGTAATATCGATGGCTGATATTTGGTGCGACGTGATATTAATTTTGGTGTCTGACCTGGGAAGTATTGAAGTTGGAGGTCTGGAATCGGCATTTGGCCGCGATGGAAGATGGCTGTCGGCAAGGGCAAGAGGATTGGGTCCATCATTCAATTGAGACATCACATAATCTTTTATGTCTGGCTGCGGTGGTGGTATCAACTCTTGACGTTGGCGGGTGACTACAGGTCTTATTGCTGAAGTAGATTGGCAGGAAAGGCATGTTCATTTTTGCCTGTCCCAACCTGATCCACCAAATATGTACATCACAACCATCCCCTCGTCCAGCAAACCCACTTTCCCTAAGACCGAGTGACCATCCTCTATTTTGCTTCTTGGCCAGCAGCATCCGCCATAGCACTTGCATTGGCCTCTCCCAAGCTTTTGTTCTCGCCCTGTTTCCCGTTCTGCGTGGGAACATGGTCAGTCGATGCCGCCAGTCTCTTCGATGAAGCACGAAGGTCGAACTCACCTCCCACTTGGCGAACCTCAGATCCATTTCTCCTCTTCGTTCGGCCTGTAACCTTTTGTCTTCTTTGAGGGAACGTCGCACAACTCGAGCTGCCACTGCGAGGTATCGGTTGTAGCTTGGCCATATTAGTTGAGTCGAAGACAAGAGGATGGTGAATTGCCATACGTGAGACCCGCAGCTTTCCAAGCAAAAGCCATAATCGTGTTTAGGTGGTCCAAGTCTTTGTTTGGTTGGCGTAGGCTTCCCCAGATCACCACGAAATGGTCAAGGATGATGCACCTTGGAGCTTCAAAGTGAAGGACGGAAGGTAGCTTTAATCGTGCTTTTGCGTCTCCGTAGGAACTAGTACGGCGAACGACAAAGTCTCATAGCGCACTGTTCTTGGACATTCAAGATCTCCAGTCTCAACAGATGCACAGTCCTTCGTTTCCACCAGGAGGTTTCACCCCTTAGATGGGCATCGCACTGCAATGAACCTCACACTCGAGGTCATGATCTAAGCGAATAATGGCTCTGTTCTACCGCTTCCCTGAGCTTCAAGCTGTTTGGTGTACCACCTCTGCGTCTCTGCTTCCCCTTCACGTTTGACTACAAACGATATGTACACGTGCTTGACTTATTGCCACGATACTCCTCTCTGCTGTTCGCGCAGCGGTTTGTTATTTTGTTATTTTCGTTATGTTCATATTGCGTGCTGTGTATTGTTTATTCCTACAGGGTCCAAACAGACTGTATAAGAATCTACTCGATCACCATGGACGTTGCTTCTTACGGCGCAGCACCAATACCATTCTTACGGAAGCCCATATCGGATACTCGTTACAAGCTACCAGAAATTGCTACCATAGAACATATCTTAAGCACATGGCTGTCTTGATGACCTCTCACTATGATTACAATGGTTGTTGAATTCCACCACCTCCACCCAGCCCGCCGCCAAATTCACCGAAATAGCTAGCATTTACTATGCTGGTACATTCGATTCACTTGGTCCTGCGTGGCAATGGGCATGGATACTCTGAAAAACTCATTCAATGGTCCCTATGGCGCTGGTATTGGCGAATCAAAACTGGTGGTTGCTCTGCTTACTACTCTTAGAGACAATGGTTGACTGGAGACTGGCAATGACGACCAAATAGGGAGCTTGTAATGACTCTAGGTGGAAGACACATTCAAGAGACAAAGTTTTGTTCTCGTGAAATGTATAGCATATCTTTGCGGTGGTATTGCTGTTCAAGCTAGATATAGCTCAACCAGAAACGCTTCGTGCAAGAACGCCTTGGAACGTATTTCAGTGCTTCAAATGACGTGACAGCCAGTGCCTCGCCATACATAGATAGCTATCATGATCTTAGATCAAAAATCTCTAAGCACAAAAATTAGCTCATCAAGCCTTCCCACCTCACCCAGCAACCATTCCTCCTTTCTTCGCCATCCTTTTAACACCTCGAGCTCCGCTCTTGCTAATAAATTTTCTTCTTTTCCCTTCACGTCGCTCCTTTCGCTCTTCTCAATCGTAGGTCTGATCTTATCCCTTTCCACCTTCATCCTCTGAAAGCATCTCGCCATACACTTATATGTATTCTCTATCAGCATCTTCCTCACCCGGTCTGGATCGTAAAACCACAAATATATCGTCCTGCTTGGTTGCCGCTGTGCTTCACGTGGCACTTCTTGTAATTCCAGAAATCCTGCTTGCTGAAGCATGGCAAGGATTTGGCGAAGCTCTTTAGCGGACATCAATACGAGTTCTTGTAGGTGCTTCTCGTCTAGTTTGCCTTTGTCGAGAAGGACTCGAATGATGCGGACGGCGTATTTGTCGAAACGTGCGAAGATGATGCGGAAGATTTCGGCGTTGCGGAGGTGAATTGAAAGGGGAGAGTATTCGACGACATATCGATCTGGATACTCCAACGAGCGAGAAAGAAATCTGTAGGGCTCCTGACATAGAACCTCCAGGTGAGATCGCGCTTCGGGTGTTAGCTGATGCTTGGTACCGTTCACATAGCCATTAACGCTTCGCCATGGTGAACCTGAGTGCTCTTTGTACGCTTCCTGGTGAGCCAGATCTTGGGCCAACAAGGCCTCGTCAACCTCAGATGTAGTACCGGGAGGCCGCTCTTGCTCTGGACCAAGGCTGATGTCCTCTTGGGGATCAGGGAGATCAGGCTCGAGTTGGTTGAGGATAGCTTCATAAGTCCTTGAAAAATTCTTACCGTAAATGGCTGTCACCAAGCTTACAAGCCGACTGTTCCGAAAGAGGACTGCAATTCTGGCGTAATTCAGCCTCACGACGAGGCTATCGGTGAGAAAGTTTGTGTTGTCACCAACAAAGTAGGTGTGATCAAAGCCTTCGTTTGGTGCAACACCATTCGACAATTTGAGTCTTTTGGGGTTGGGAATATTATCCGCATCGTCTAGCTTACGCTTCTGCGATATCATGTTTTCAGATCCTGACTTCCGAAAATTGATACAAGAATTAACTTCTTTCTCAATGGCCTCCTCGACCTTTTCAGCAAACTCTTCTTTCAGTTTTGTACCTTTGGCGGTCGAACTGAAAGAGTTGTGCACCTTTTCCTCGACCAATTGACGAGTGTCTGCCTCTGTCCGAAAATGCGCTTCCCGTAACCGACATATCAGACCATGCTTACATAGCTCTCTCAGGGCGTTGTCGATCTCAACATCAGGTCGATCTTTAGCAAGACTACCCACTATCGATGTGCTGTTTGCGCGATCATTCTCGATATCATGGTCCTGGACAGTAGTGGACTCGTCGGCTGTTCTAATCACTGTCTTTAACTGTCCAACAGGTGCGTGGCCAAGGAGGACTAGCTGTGTGACTATCGCAGAAGCAGCCCTTCCGAATCGCTTCTGTACGAGTTCAAAGGTTCTGCCGGGTCGAACGAGGTTATAAGCATTTCGGGGGTTGGCGTCGTAAGATGTTCTTCCTTCAGATGTGGTATGATGGAATACAAGTCCAGCTTGCACCAGCACAGCGAGTCCATGTTGAATTTGTCGCAGCGGAAGGTGACATTTCAGAGCAAGCTGCAGGGCGAGGAGTCGGCCATGCGATAGTAAAGTCGAAAAGATATGCTGCGGATGATCAGCAACGGGCACGCGATGAAGGTTCTCACTATGTACACGTACAGCGTAGAACTCGCCATAATTATCTTCGATGAGGAGAGAACAAAGCTCGGCAAGGTACTGGACAAAGTCAGGCCTTCAGCCTTGCAAGTGGAAGACGACAGTCTTACTTTGGACATTTTCGGTGGCTTCTAGAGGGCTGGGATTGGCACTCCAGAAGACTCACCGATGTCACCGTTGCCGACACATAGAGGTATATTCTGCAGGTTGTGCGTCGCTATGAGTGCGTGAAAAATATCATCAATAGTTATTGAGTGCGCAGAAATTTGGGGATGAACCATGGAGCTCGGATGACACAGCTCCCAAGGTCTTGGCAGTTGAAGCTCCGGCCAAATGATCCCTTGCGCTTGCTTGCTCCCGGAACTTCAGTTTACACACTCCAATGGTACCAATTGAAAAGCACAAGATAGCTTTATAAAAATCCCTCGCAGTCACTTCTGTCGGCCCATTCGAGTCTGACGGACAGTCCGTAGGATGCTGTCGAGAACGAGTATCAGTCGAAGCTGCACAAAGGCTTTGCAGCGACACTGCGTCTGTCGTCGAACACAAATACGAAATCTTGCAGCAGCAGCTTCTGGGAGCTTCCAATATGAGACCGGAGAAGAAGCAGGCGTCAAATATGCAAGCAGAGATTTGCCAGGCCCTACTACGACCTTGACCGTGGTAGCCAAAGCTGGAACAAGATATCAGGCTCAGCCAGGATTCTCGGATGCACTGGAGAAGTTTGCATTCAAGGTACGTTGACCACAGGTTGCCATCGTGGTCAAGCACTCGAGGCTAATATCCCCTGGATCAGTCAACCACGAGGCGATCAGCGGTGAGAATGATCAGAGAGGTTGAGCTTCTCGGCGGCGACCTTTCTGCTTATCATTCACGAGAGAATCTTGTCATCCGCGCCAAGTTCCTTCGAGAAGATTTAGCCTACTTTACCGAGCTCCTGGCGGATGTGATATCGAAGACGAAGTATGCACGTGAGTGAAGCGGAGCAGACATCCCTATCACTGCAACTGACCTGTCTTTCAGCGCACGAACTCAACGAACAGGTCGTGCGGGTTATGAAATTGGGTCAGAAACACCTACTCGCCAACCCGTCACACATGGCGATCAATTCAGCACATGGTCTAGCCTTTCATCGTGGCCTTGGTACTCCACTTTATCCCACCTCTTCCACAACGTTCTCCAAGTACCTAGACTCGGAAGAAATCTATAATTTCGCTCTTTCAGCATACTCAAAATCTAACATTGCAGTGGTTGCCAACGGTACAAGTCAATCTGAGCTGTCGAAATGGGTTCGTGAATTCTTTGAGGACGCGTACACTGGTGGGAGGAAACTCGAAAGCCCTCCAAGCAAATATTACGGGGGCGAGGAGAGAATTGCGCATGACAAGGGCAATGTCATGGTCATTGCCTTCCCTGGATCGAGTTCATTCACCTCTGGCTCCTCTTGGAAACCGGAGATCGGGGTTCTGGCTGCTCTGCTAGGCGGTCAATCCAGCATCAAATGGACCCCTGGTTTCTCGCTTTTGGCCAAGGCTGCATCTGAGCACCAGCATGCACATGTTTCAACTCAGAACCATGGCTACTCCGACGCTGGTCTGTTGGCTGTGACAGTGACCGGTACTGCTTCTCATGTTGGAAAGGCGAGCCACAGCGTGGTGGAGGCATTGAAGAAGATTGCATCTGGTGATGTGAGCGGGGAAGATATCAAGAAGGCAACTGCCCTTGCCAAGTTCCAAGCCCTGGAGACAGGACAGGATATCAATGCCGGCCTTGAGGCTACCGGGTCAGGCTTGATTACTGGTGGAAAGGCATACCAGATTGATGAAATAGGGCAGGCGATTGACAAGGTTGGCGAGGACAAGGTGAAAGCGGTAAGTTCATGTCTCATAGAAATCCATGAACCTGGTGCTAATGCTCACAGGCCGCAAAATCCTTGCTCGACACGAAAGCTACCGTGTCGACTGTTGGTGATCTATTCGCCCTGCCCTACGCCGAGGACATTGGTCTCAAAATATGAAGTGTGCTTAGTCGTCGTTGTAGAATATGTACATATATCGGTCCAATCGAATTTGAATCATCTTCAATTTCGTCTCCATTACTTGGTTCGCATATTCTGCAGTGTAAATCTTGTTGGCACAATGAGCTCTCCCAACTCTCCACTGCCCAGGACACTGCTTTAATTGATGAGCAGTTTCGACGCGAGTTACAAGATTATCTATTCATTCGACGGAAGCTCATGCGGGTAGCAGTAGGTACCGCACATCCTGCTTGACACGCTCACCTATTTTGGTTGAACATCTCCTTTTGGGTCAGTGACGTGAGCTCCGCGTATGATATATGAGGAGGCGATCAACTTATGCATCATGATAAACTAACAATTTGCAGAACTTCAAAACATGATCTATAGCTAGGAATCCACCTCCCTCATGCAGTTACGGGCAGTCATATCACTCTGCACTTCCTTCTTCACAAATCCAGACACAGAATGAGTGTTCCCGAACAAAGAAGGGTGCCACTCTACAGCATTCCCATCTCCATCATCTCCTGCGACTGCTTCTGGCTGATTATTCAATTCTCGGCGCCTTCTGAATCTCGCAGCTGCTTGGTGTATCAAGGTTGAGATAATGCAGAGTACATTCAACTTCATCACTGCACGGCAGGACTAAATGAATGGACCAAAAGAGACAGTTGAGGCAGCCTTGCAATTCTGAGCGGTTGAAGGTCATGAGTCTCAAGCTCGAGGTATTCCGAGGCCAAAACCATTGTCTTCCTTTCGCCAAACAAACTGTCTTGACACATGACCACCAGGCCATGATATTGGTGATGCTCGTCGCCATTGAAATATCAATCTTACGGCTGAATACTCCTTCCATATACCCTATCCGCAATAGTGCGAAACACCATTGGCATGGTCGATGCGCGATAAATCTCTTGAACTTCTCGTTTCCCGATGATAGATCTGATATCGTTATCTCCTCCCATCGCCACCGCCTCGCAGGCCTGTCGTTTCTCTGCGTTCCACCAGTTAGGCAGGAGCCCCTTCTCTTCCGCCAAAGTCACAAACTCCTAGAAGTCTGGCAGTGGGCCGGCTGGATCTACCGTGTGTGCTCCATACATATAGCCGGTAAAATCGATGTCGTCTTGCACCCGGAGGCGGTAGACGTCAATCAGGTGCTTGTAGACTTCGGCCTCGGAGTTGGTCCGCTTGTGGAGTCTTTGGAAATAAGTTGCCGGTTCCTGACCAGTGGCGCGGACGGCCATATGGTGTGAAAATGGTAGAGAGGCACCAGCATCCGGAGCTGGTCGTGGCTTTTGACATGAGGACTTGTGGGCTTGCCAGCCTGAGACTTGGGAGTCTTTGTTGCAGTATGAGACTTTTTGACAGCAGCCACACCGTTTGAGGTTTACAGCCTCTGGACCTAGCTCTGACTTGCTCATCCCACAGTTGGGACATTTGTCGAGAGGCGTTCCGTAGATTGAGCCGCCATCCTAGACGTGTAGGAGAAGAATAGGTAGTTCCCAAAGCACGGTCTTAGTTCTCAGTCACACCGAGAACTGTTAAGGAAAATTGACAGCAGATCCTGTAGTGCGAACACATTCTTTTGGAACACTTAAGCAATCTTAAGCAAACTTAAGCAACATACCAACCGCTTTTTGCAGGAAGGAGTGCCGAATACATGTCTGTCAAGGAAAATACAATTTCAGTCAGTACTGACATGCTGACATAAGTAATGACATATTCCAACTTGGATTGATCGTCATCTTTCAAGGATGAATGTAAATGTGTCAGTGAAACAGTGAAACTCACCAGGAAAAGAGATGCACCAAATACCACACCATCCCTGAGCGCAAATGACACGGTCGATCGCGTTCAGCAATCCAAATCAGTCCAACGCTTTGCTCATCTTTGCCACCTTTCGAAGGACTTTACATATCGCTCTTCTAAATACCTGATGGTCCGGGACATCGCCGGCTTCTACTACGGTCCGTCCAAGTGTAGAAGGACAAGGAGCTTATTATCGCTGAAGATGTACAGATGCTGAACGGAAGAAGTATTTCAAGATCCAGCCGAACCATGCAGGACCGGGGCAACAGCATTCGAGCCAGGTGATCAAGCAGAAAGAAAGCGCGAACAAGGTGTGTTGACCCTTTTGCAGCTGTTGCTCATCCTTTCTCGACCGAATGCATATTTTCCTTCAAGCCATCCTTGAGGATTATTGCCTATCGCATGAGCTACTACGCTAACGATGTTTAAGAGGCGCAAAATCATCCATGATCACCGTACCCGCGAAGCACGGGAGACCATCTCTCGCTCCCGACTCTTAACTCATCCTCTATTAGGACGGCTTTCTCTTCGGAATCAGCTTGGGCAGACTGCCGGTCGCTGTCTACCGCTACATCCGAGTGAGGACGTGGCGGCATATTACGCAGCAGGTCTCTCGGAAAGCTTGCTATGTGAGTCTTCTGAGACTCTTCCTGGTTTCGCTGTCGACGAAAAGAATGGGGCAATCATCTTTGCCCGATCCAACCAAGACAACATTGGAAGCGATACTCTCCATTGCATGCGATCTGTCGGACCGGGCCGGTATTCTGGAATCTCTCCTGTATTCGAAGCTATGTCGGACTCTTTCGTCGATATGAGCATCAGTGTCTTGGCGCGTAAGCTTTTTTATGTGTCCAGTGGCCCAATAGGCTCTCGAGTGGTATTGTTGGAAGTCCCAAGAGAGGAAGACGATCCTCATTTCAGGATGATGGATCAAGTCTGGACGTGCAATGATGAAACCGCCTGGCAAACAGCTGTATCCCCCACTGGACAATTCTTTGCCATCGCGTCTTCCGAAGGTCTAACGCACTACAGAATGGTACCAAGCCACCTGATGGGTACTAGTATGTGGGTGGCACGTCAAAAGCCAGCTGTAGCCGAGTATATGGCTGTTGCGTTTGGTCAGAACGATCGAATTATTATGGGTGGCAGAAGGACCGGAGAAATCACGTTTTTCGATGAGAGAACGAATGGTTTTGTGACAAGGCTGCGTCACGCGGATGCAGTCAGCGCCATCGCATTGGTTGACGATAACAGAATTGTTGCTCGTGGGCTGCAAACGGTACGCTCGAAGACGGTTCCCTGCCACTAGCCCTAGTTCGATGCGAAGAGTTGGAGTCTCGGCTCACACATGATTCTAGATGAGTCTGTACGATCTCCGTTATACCAAGCGACCTTCAAAGAAAGAGGTCGAGTCCAAGATCGCCACAGCCCCTTACCGGACCTTTCAATGGGAGAATTCCTCCTTGAAATTCAGACTCGGGTTCGACTACAGCTCGGAGCTGGGAATCATTGCTACCGGATCAAGCAAGGGTAAGTGCTGAATCATCTTTCCTTCATCGTGGAGGAAGCGCGACCTAGTGGCAGCGATAACGAGACACCGTGGTGTGGGCCCTGAACCAGCTTCCTTGCTCATCATATCTGGCCACTGGGAAGCCGCCTTACGCCATCCAAGACGCTCGTCTGGTAGAGCTCTACTAACTCTCATCCCTACCCTAGCCATGTCAAGTAACCACCTCCTACCGAACCACCACCAAACGATTGACCTCTTTTCCGTCCGCACTGGCAAGAAACTCCGCTCCTTACCTCTTTCCACCGCCCACCATACTCAAGCAGCCACCTGCATCAAGTTTTCGCGCATCAGGAGCACGCTTAGGCCGAATTCCGAGTTGAGGATCATAGACAACGAGCCACTGAGCCTCTTGGCGAGCTCGGAAGGCAGGATCCTCGAATGGAGCTGTCAGGGGGATGAAATGGCCGGTAGTGATAGTGATGCGGAATAAAATAGGCGGCGGAGAGGACTCTATCTAGGGGTGTAGGTGTGTCAATCTGCAAATCATGAACGAAATTTTTTTTAGGAAGTTACTTGGACCAGCGGGCTCGAGAATTGGATCACATAAGCCGCTGATCCAGCTATCCTCAGTGCCAGTCTCCCTGTAACAATTCGACCTTGCCTTCAAGCTTCCTATCTGTCAGCACCAACCACGAACCCTCAATGTGCTGCCCACAGGTAGCCTACCGCATGGAACAAAGATTTCAAAGCCCAAACCAGATCCAGATCAGTTCTGTACGGCCCCTGCACAATGGAAGGGCGGTAAGACCCAACCCGCCACTGCAACAATCAAGATCTGGATTATAGGTCGACATGGCACTTACAAAGAAAAACCAAAATAGAGCTCGGAGCATTGGGTCATATCACATTATATTACTATAAGTTTAATTTAGCCATCATGCTTTATCCTCTATCCTTTATCTGCACGGGAGGGAGATGCCGGTATTTCTAAAATGAGCTCCAATTCAAACTAATCACTCGACATCCATACCTCAAAGACATCTAGTTGTTGGTAATGGAATGGAAATGGCATTGTTGATCACCTCGAGGGTGTCTGGAATGTATGCGTATCAGTCAAGCCACGGGGTGGGCTGTGCGTAATGGACAAAGCCAGTCGAAAGTCATCTCATTTCCGTTCTGCTGCATTGTTCCATCCTGACTGTTTGTCCGAATTTGAGGGGAGGGATTATGTGATGCGACTTGGCGGACGGCGTCCGGTGTTGCTGTTAATAGTATGGGACGCAAGGGTTTGGCCGGTGATGCGTCTCGAGAGGATGATGGGCCGAGAGATCCAAGTGGGCCATTTGGCATGCGGCGACGCCACCGATCTGCTAGAAAGGCAGGGGGAGGGTGCTCTACGTTGCTGAAGATATTGCTGTGTGTTTTCGAGCGTATGCATTCGCCTTCACCTTACCAGATTCGAGAGGCGTAGGTATTACAGATGCCAAAAATATCGAATGTCTGATTCGAGCCCATGCTGTTGCGGTGCTCTTGTCGAAGAATGCTGCTGATGTCAAAAATGGGATGTCTAACTTTGATTCGAAGTTATTTTGGTTGTTCGCCTTTCCATTGTGTGGCCCTTGACATTATCCAACTTCCCAAATATAGTAGCGCTCTTTGTTCAATAATCATCGCGTGAGAGGTCAGAGCGTGGAGTATACATCGCTCTAGTACTGGAGATGCTCGGGCTGTTATTGAGATGCTGATTCCACTCTTTCAAGAAGCAATTGCAAGCTCATTTCACTTTCGCTCATTTTCCTTCATTTTATTCTTTATCCATTAGACATTTCAGGATCAGGTCGAGAAGCTGTAAAGTAACGAGGACAGAAGTAGCTGCATAAGCAATGGCAACAAATACAGACACAACAGAATCCAAAGCCTCTTCAGAACATGCTCACAACACCCGGTACAAGGGTGTATCAGAGAAGAAGCGGAAGCCGTCGTTGGATTGGGATGATCTAGAAGAGAGAGGCAAAAGACGCCGAGGGAAAGAAGGCGAGAAATGGCGGAGGAGAAATTCCGTGACCCACCTCGTCGCCTCAATATATGCTGATGTAGAGGCAGCTGTCGAAACGCAACGCCGGATCGCTGGACAAGCCCCTATACTCACCCAGGAAGAACGTTTGGACTATGAGTCGTCCGAAGATATGCGTCTTGATCATTTGCGTGAATTTCGACTTGCTCAGATGTTTTCCAGTCCCAAAACACGAAACAGGCTCAGAGCCGCACCGGTGCCGCGAGGTAGGCGTTTCGATTCTGTTCGTGCTGGTCGCGACGTCGTTACGCGGGCGGTGGTAGATAAATGGCGATTGCTGAACACCATTATCGATACCTTGGGCTGGGTAGTGATCGCGATATGCTTGCACTCAGCCAACTTCCGGACACGATTTCTGGAAGCCACGGATGCAGTGGACTTTACAGAAAGGCTAGAAAAACTGCGACTCCACAAAGAGAGTATTGAGTTCTTTGCAAAGAGCCGGCAATTCGATTGGCTGGAAGTGACCACTGAGCAAGAAGAACAGGACGTACTGCTCAGAGATCTGAATTGCCTGCTAACAGGAACAGCTATACCTAAAGAACAGGAGATAAACGAGGACGAAGCAGAAGATGCCCGTTTGAATGCCGACACGAAAATAGCTGGCTTTCCTAATGACGGCGCAGGCCTGGATCATCCCCATGAATGGAAGCTTTCTGCTGACGGCCTGACAGCGGTACGACTTACATTCCTCCCTGGAGGAGGAAGGGCCACCTTGCAGCTGCAAAGCAACATCGAACATTCAGTAGTTCTTCCCGGGCACAGGTGGCCAGACAGGAAAAAATGGATACTCAAAGAAGAGCCCCGTTATCGAGCAGAATTTGACGAAAGCTGCGAGGCTTGTAATGACCCCGGTGCTGGCGAAGGTAAGAAATGGAGAGCCGGCTGCCAATGCAGTGTAAACAATCTCAAAACACGTCTAGCTGCGGATGGTGCTTATTTCGGTGACCGGGTCGAGCTTCGAAATGTCCATCCAATACTGGGAACCGGGGTAAGAGCCCTCCAACGTCTTCCAGCTCACTCTTTGCTCGCAGAATATACCGGAGAGATCTATCCTCTGTACAAGACTCAACAAAGAGGAAAATATAAAAATAGCACTTACCTCTACTGCCAGACAAGACGGCTCTCAAACGGCGAAATTGAAAATGCCATGAACATCGATCCGAGTATACATGGAAATTGGACGAGGTTCATCAACCATAGCTGCAGGCCTAAAACCGACTTCGTGCTGTACAGCTGTGGAGAGAAGATCGTGACATGTGTCAAAGTTCGGAAGAGAGCCATCGAATTTGGTGAAGAGATCACGATAGATTACGGAAAAAGTTATTTTGAGAACCAGGGACTGGCCTGTCGCTGCAGAGAAGACGCTTGTCGGTTATGGAATGCTGATAAGATGAAAGATAATCGAACGACCTTGCGACAAGCGAGGCAGGAAGGATTTGCTCCTGATTGGGCAGATGATTGAAATAAGCAGCAAATGGATGTGGGCCAAAGACGTTTTCCTGCGACTTCTCAACTCGAAAGAGGCGGCATAGGTATTGCATTTTCGTCCTTCTCACAGATTCACGGACACATAATACAGATTTTTGGTGAATAATGATCCATGTTTGGAACCGAAGTGCGGTTAGAAATTGCTGCTGGTATAATTATAGGCCATCTCAAACTGGCAACGGTCAGTAACATGCAACTAAATAGATATGACACGCTTACATCTTTGACCGTCCTACACACCAGAGTGAGTGACTTTTCACATCTTCATATCTCCACAACGCGGTCTCTATCAGGGTTATTGTTATGCTGCTGATCTGTCACGAATCCAATGCATGAGCAATTCTGGACAACTCGTTCTCTCAGCAGAGCGCTTTTTTGCCTATGTCTCCCGAAAAGACCAGGGCGTCGACCTTGCCTTCAAGCTTGATAAAATAAGCTGCTACAAGGCCGACGACACGGTCGATGAAAATGTCGAATGCTAGTTTGTGTGACTTGGGGGCATTTGGAACGGCAATCTTGGAGAAATCCGTTGTTCCTGCTAATGCTTTCCATCCCGACTGCTTGTTCAAGATCTTTTCTGCTTCACTTACATGCAAGTCTTTCGTACTCAACGGACTCATCTTGCTGGCGGAGGATGTATAGTGGTAGATGAGAGATCGGTCAACGCCGCCACTACTAGGGCCTCCTGGTAGGCCAGATAGAGGTGTCAACCCCATGCTTGTGTCAATGGATTGGCCATTTCTAATCGTGCAGGCGGATGCGCCACTTCCCAAGTGAAGAGCGATCATGTTGAGTTCAGAGGACTTCTTTTGCAGATGCTTTGCGACAGCCCTGGTGATATACGAAGAACTGTTTCCATGAAAACCATATTTTAAAAGGCCCTTCTCCTTTGCAATTTTCTGGTCAATGGTATATGTTTTGATGTATTCTGGTAGGTGCTGATCGAAGGCGGAACCGAAGGAGGCTATGTTCTTCACATTCGGCAACTGTATCTTACAGCTTTGTATGATCGCAATGGCAGATACATTGTGTCTGACCGGCATCAGTTCGGGCTGTAAGATAGCTTGTCGATATTCTTACAAAGGCACAGGGTCTTCCAAAGCTGCGATATGACCATAAGTCTCTTCGTTAACCAGCTTGGTTCCGTGTAATCGCCCCATGGACATCAATCAGCATCACACGGGTTTGTGCTCGGAGCTGCTTGTTCTACTGACCCCGTGCACGACACGGTGACAGGCATAGTCGATGTGGTCCCTGCCTGAGATGAAACCGAGATTCTTGTCGCTGAGGAATGACTCAAGAATATACTGAAAGGCGTCAATTATGAGATGCGATAGAACTGGGAAGCTCCTCTTTGTGCTTGTCGTCGTTTCGAGAGTAGGTGTTTTCCGAAAATGAAAAGCCCCCTTTCACCAGCCCGCGCCTTCGATATCTTTGCTCAAGATATGTACAGTACAATTGTGCAGAGCCACCGGAAAAGTTGAACCCCCAAGCCTCGGCCTCTCTCGCTCCACCCACCCTCGCACGGTGCTCTACTCTACTCTACTCCACTATGACTCTGCATGGCAAAAATCCAATCCAGTATGCTTGATCTCCGGCTCCGGCTCCAGTTCAATCTCCTCTGTTGTCAGTCTAATCAACCGTCTTGACTACGTATGTACCCCGCACCGTACCCAGTTTGCAGTATCCAGTGCCCAGTTAAGCAAGTAACCTGTATCTGGTGTTGCGTCTAAGTACGGCTTTTCGCTCTGATCGATTGATCGATTGATCGATCGAACGATTGACATGGAATCTGATTTATCTGGATATCATGTTAAAGGTTTTAATCCATGTGGAAGGATGAGGTGGAATGGCATGGCTTTTCCCGGCAGATATTATAAAATAAGTAAAGAAAGAAAGTGAGATATGGCGTCGGCGTTAGTAATCTATTCTACGGAGTCGTGCATCAAAAGTTGTTGAAATCTGCTAAGAGATAGCGTACTAAGAATAACATCATCGTTGTAGTTTCATTCCAAGCATTTCTGACAAGAGATGCCACTAATATGCCCTGTCAGCAAAATAACAGAAGAAAAAAAGGCCATGAGCAGACGCAGATTCGAACCCTCTCCATTAATTAGCTACCTTAAAAAACACAAAAAGTTCACGGCTGCACTCCACTCACCACCGCCCGAAGGTTAGGTAGCTACTGGAAGGGGAGACACAAACGCTATGAAAACTTAGCTGACTCATCTGAGATTTAAGGCCTGTTTTCCAAACCCGCCGCCTTATCGACTAGGGTCTGGGGGTGGGACGACAGAAATAGGGTGCAAAATAATAAAATATATACTAAATTATTCGGTGACTTGACACCTTGTTTTAGAACAGGGCACTTTGGCTTTGAAATCCGACACCCGGGCGCTAAGAGTCATCTAGGCCTTACTGCTTCGGGTGTCGGCAGGCCCGAAGCTTGGCGCCAAAATTTACGGGAGTTCTCAGATTCCTGCTATGCTACACGCCCCTTTAATAGGGGATAGGACGCCCATTTCGCTCATTTAGGGCAGCTACTCTATCTGGCATTGTTGAGATAGCCCTATTAATCTCATCCAGAGTTATTTTATCCCACTCCTCCTGGATAGCCCTGCGCAGAACAGCTTCTTCGAAGATAACCCCCCTGGACTTCAAGCGCTGCTTTATTATTCTCCAGATCGTCTCAATGGGGTTGAGATCAGGCGAATTAGCAGGGTTCGTCTCCTATTTGATTCCTAGAAGGTCCTTGAGTGCTTTAACCTTGTTAGGACCCTTGCCCTTGGTACCATGAGGCCCGTCATTATCTTCAATTAGTACGTGATCTTTATCCCAATTAGGAGCGACAATTTCTTTCAAAATAGCCATATAATCACTCTGAATAAGACGTCCTCCTACTCCGGAGCCTGTATAGAAGTGGAGCTAACCCTTGAAATTCCATCCAATAACTGCGTACACACGGATTGACTGATTTTGACGCTTGAGCTTGAATTAGGTCTTTGATAAAGCATTTCGTACTTCAAGCCCTGGTTAATGATGAATTTGAGCCTGTCATTGCAAGCAAGTAGCAAAATAAGACTCATCACACTATTGATACTTCTTAAATTGATTCAATTGCTAATACCGGCGCTCAAATCCCTATATAATTCGAGCATTAATAGCCAAAATTAGCATCTTCTACTGCCTCAATTGCTTCACACTCATATTGAGTAAGTATTTGCTTTCGACCTCGATTGTGGACTTTCTGGCTGCGGCGCGCAGTTCCTTCTTTGATGATTCGATAGCCAATTGTTTCAGATATATTATGTATCTTAAATAGCTCTGTACGAGGTAATTTGCCAGCTGTGTGGCGTGCATCAGCGAGGAGGCGCGCGCGGCGCGGCGTGTCAAGCATCGTTTTAAGCGTTCGTGGGGCCGCAGGAGAAGGAGGATCTATCGAATAAGACTTTCGGCAGACGCGCCGTTTATTTCCCTGTTCAGAACTCATTATTCCTTAAATTTGAGTGAGTATTGGTAGAGAAATAGGGGAATGAAGAAGGGGGGGAGAGGAAGGGGATCTGAGAACTCCCGTAAATTTTGGCGCCAAGCTTCGGCCCAAAGCTTATAGGGGTGAGATTAAATGACGTAACCGTCAAGAAGTGCACATCCTGGCAAGCTATCTCTTACCAACGGATTTTACAATGCCAATGCAAGGATGATCACCAAGTTACGGTAGAGACTTGGCTGGAGCAGAGAGTACTTGTGACCGGTTGTGATTGTGATTATGATTCGGATCGTCATTTTCCATTCCTACAGTCAAGAAAACCAAAAAGAATTCTATGGGTATATGAAAAGCTAGCTGCCATCCCCTTCCTTACTAGGATGGAATGGAATATACTCCGTAAAGTCTACCATATTATCGTGGTAAAGCCTGCACAAGCATTAAGTTCAGCTCTCTAAACCTTCTCCGAATGTCTACTCATCATCCCGCCTCGGTGCTGAAATCTACCTCTTGCTCTTCCCACCGCTCTTCGACCTGAATTTCTTCAGACCCCCCAAATACAGCCACGAGCAGACATAAGTGATCATGTAGTTGAACACGCAGAAGCCGGCAAAGATGCCAAAATCCCGCCAGATATTCGAATAGTACACGCTGAAACTGACACCAAATTCATCGCCATTGGCGAACTGGCAGAACTCACAGATACCATCCAACCCCGTCTGCACGTAACCACCGGCCTGCTCGATGAATGGTTGGACGTAGCTTTGGCATGTCTGGCCTGGCGGGGCGGTGAATCGGGCGAATTCGTCTGACGAGCAGATGACGGGTTGGTCGTGGATGGCGACGGCCAAGAAGCCTTCGAGCAGGTAGTGGAAGGGTGTGAGCCAGTACATCCAACTTCGCCAGAAGTACGGAAGGACCTGGGGCGGGGCAATGACACCGCAGAACGAGACGACGAAAAGAAAGAAGACGGGTACCAGCAAAGAGGCAAGGAGCTCGTTGGGTGAAAATGAGGCGATGGCTTGGCCGAAGGAGACGAAGTATAATTCGAAAAGCATGAGGAGGAGGAAGGTGTAGCCGGAAGCTAAAGCGGAGACGTCCCGACCCACAGACCCAAACCACCAACAGCAGAAGTAGATACTACCAGCGACTATGGAGTAAGGAATTTCGACAATGACAGCGCCGGTGACGAACGCGAACCAGGAATAGATCTTGCTGTTACTTTCTCTCTTTTCGAAGATGTTTCGGAAGTCCAAGAATTTGGGTTGCAGTTGCTGAATCAAGGGCGGAGATATGGTCAAGGTCATGAAGATGGAGAATAGCCGTGATTGCATGTCAATCTGGCTGAATCCAACGTGGTAGAAGGTGAAAGTATTAAAGAGACCGGTGATAATATGGAGCATGAACTTGCCGATGATGTACTCGGGTGAACGCCAGTAAGCGACGAAAGATCGCTTTAGGACGGCCATGATCTGCGTCATGAGTGGCATGGCATACTCGCGATCGTCTTTGAGTGACCTTGAAGGTTTTGCTAGAGATCGACTTGCTATCATTTCTTGTATTTCATGGGTGCGCTCTTCGTGTTCAAAAGAAGCTTCCCAGACATCTGCCCAATCCTTGCCTTTGTAATCAGGATTACCAGCACCAATAGCCTCGAGCATATACTCTGCTGGGTTCGTGGTGGGTGGACATTTCTTAGCGCCATTGGATTCGAAATACTCAATCAGCTTGCGACTGTCGTTACCAAGTGGGCCGTGATAGACGACACGACCACCAGATTTGAGAAGGAGCAGCTCGTCAAAATGCTCGAATAGGACGGAAGAAGGTTGATGAATGGTGCACAAGATAGCTTGGCCAGCGTCGGCCAGTTTGCGAAGGAATCGGACGATGTTGAAGGCTGCACCCGAATCAAGACCCGAAGTCGGCTCGTCCAGAAACATTAGGAGCTCTGGTTTACTGGCAAGCTCGACTCCTATGGTGACCCGCTTGCGCTGCTCTTGATTGAGACCAGATCCTATCTTTCCAATCGTGGCGCCGGCTATGTCAGTCATCTCCAGCAATTCGAGGATGCGCTCGCAGTAGTCGTACTTCTCTTGGACTGGAACTTCCTTGGGCTGACGCAACAAGGCAGAAAATCTCAGTGCCTCTCGAACGGTGGCGGTGGGTTCGTGGACGTCCATCTGTTCGGCAAATCCAGTTGCGCGTTGAAATGACCTCGGCAAAGGCCGTCCATCGACCAAAAAGTCACCAGTCACGACGCCGAAGTTGATGCGTTGAGCAAGCGTGTTCAACAAGGTGGTCTTTCCAGCACCAGATGCACCCATAAGTGCTGTAAGCCTTCCAGGTCGCACATAGCCTTGAACGTCTTGCAACAGCTTTCTTTCACGGCCCTCAAATGGTATGGTGTAGTTGACGTCCTGCCAAGTGAAAATGGTTTCATTCTTCGCGACTTGGCCCCTTGTAGTTTGACGAGTAAGATCAGTATCGCCCGAGTCTGACTCAGTACCCTTCTCAATGGAACGAGACTTCGTGCCGGACTCCTCATCTTTGGCATCTCTGCCCCCGCTGTCGATTGACTCTTCAACCTTCTTTGGTACTTGGCCGCGCTTGAACACGGTAACTGTTCCACCACCAGCGTTTGGCTCTGCAATTTCCATGCCAACCATTGTCAAGAAAACAAAGAAAACGAAAAAGGCACAGATAAACCCGATGTTGCGCCAGAGATGCGTCCTTGAATACGTGAATGCCGTTTGGATGTAGTCTGCGCCGTTTACCGTGGTCTGACCCGGCTGACTCCCTTGCAGCAAGCAGGATTGATACTGAGGAGATGCATTCGCCACTTCAGGCACAAGATAGGGTGGTGTGCATTCAATTTCCAGATTATAGAATTCGTTTGACATGAGGGCTTCGAACCCATATTGAATGGGATTGATCCAGATTAGCCATTTGAACCATGGATGCATTTTCATAGGCGGGATCAGATAGCCGGTGTAGACAATAAGAGCCTGAATTGCAACACCTGTTATCCTTGTGGCGTTATCGAGAGACTTGTTCAAGGCTCCAACTGCTCTGAAAAAGGCATACATGGTCATCGTTGATACCCATAGAATCAATTCAGAGATGAAAAATTGGGATGGTGTTCTGGCCAAGCCGGACATGAAGTAGACCACACCATTGAAGAGCGATATTTGAATGAACACCAGTGGTATGTCGACAACAGTCTGGGCAATGGCGTAAGCGGCCGGACGGTAGAACGAGAAACTCTTGTGCTTGAGCAATATAGGCTTGCTTGTGAATGCAGCGGTGAGTTCAGCAAGAGCAAGAAGTGCATTGAATAGCAGTAGGAAGAATAGATTACCTCCTCTCGTGAACACTCCGGCAGTGGTTTGAGGCATATTGTAGAACAAACTTCCGACGATGAGTGCCTGGAAAAGGATACCACCCCATTTACCATACAGGGAGGCCTTGTCTCCAAGAGTGACCAGCACTTGTCGCTCTGTACAAGCCCAGACCTGTTTGTGGAAGGGTAGGGTGTAGTTCTTCTTCTTTGCCGCTTTCGATCGATTGGCAAGGCGCTCTCGTCGTTGCGCTTCGGTTTGCATCTCAAAACTGCGGATGTCTTCAAGGTTGTTATGGTAAGTGTCGCTCTTTCGGTATGCCTCCGCAAATTGCGCGGCTGAGCGAGGAATGCGATTTTCCCATCCGGGTTTGATGCTTCTTTCATGGACGTCACTCACAGAGGTCAAGAAGTCTGCAGTTGTCCAACGATCAGGGCAAACAAACCCCAGGTCTTGGAAGTATGATTTGGCTGTTTCCGTAGGACCAAAGTAGAGACACCTGCCCTGGTCAATGAGCAAAACTTTGTCGAATAGTTGAAAAAGCGACTCTCCAGCTTGATAAAGCGCTACCGCCGTGGAAACGTGCGCCATGTTTGTGAGTGATCGAATACTCTGAACATACTCCAGAGCAGTGCTAGCGTCGAGGCCTCGTGTGCTATTATCCCAAGCTTGCACGCTAGCCTTGGTAATCATTGCTTCCGCGATAGAGACACGCTTCTTTTCTCCTCCGGAAACACCACGCACAAATTCGTCACCCACTTTCGTCCCAAGAGTATGCTCGATCCAAAATAGCTTCGTGACAATTCTGAGAAACTCCTGTACGTAGTCTTTGCGGCTTTCACCTTCATTCCTAGATTCTTTGCCAGGAGTCTTGGTCTTCAAAGCAAAGCTAAGGGTGTTCTTGACGGACAATGTTGCGTAGTGGAGATCGTCTTCTGGATTGTATAAAACTTCTCCACGGAAATCCTTTGCCATTTTCTTCGCATCAGTACCACCATAAGTCACCTCGCCTTCGACTGCTTCATAGCCGAATCGTTGATTGCCAAGTACCTTGAGAAACGTGGAGCAGCCGGACCCAGGCGGACCCAATACCAAGAGCATTTCTCCAGGCCGAATGCATCCCGTAAAGTCGCTCAAAATATTCCTCACAGGAGGTTTGCCAACAGCCGCCTTTATGCCTTTCGTGAGCAGATTCCTGAGGAAGCGGACCGGTCCGAGGAAGATGTCTCCGTTAGTTTCCTGCAGGACAGCACCTAAACCCATGCCCCTGACATTAAGGTTCTTGAACACGACTCCGACATGGCGAGTCTTTTCCTCCTCTGAGTTCTCTTGGCGGCCTTTTCCAAACATGCGCGACATGAGCCTTTCAATTTCTTGTTGCTCTCCGGCTGCGTCTTCTCCAGACAGTGTCGAAGCGTTGGTCCTTCGTCTAGACAAAACGCGGAGAATGTCATCCTCACTACGCAGGCTTTCAGCATCGTGTTTGAGACCAGGCCTTGTCGCTGAACGATTGGTATAAATTGTTTTTAAAGGTTCGTACTGTGGTGAATCCGCGCGGGACTTCTCATCCATTCTCGACGGTTTATATCGTGGATATCCTGTCCTAGGTCTCTCCTCCATCTTGCTGCCAGAGGCTGCTGCTGCTGTTCGGCTTATAGGACGTGCCTCGTAAAAAGGACCTTCGCGGGACGGTACAATAGTGCTTGTCCTCGTTGAAGACACTGATGACATGCCAATTTCTGTGTTGTTAAGCGGCTGAACGGGCCCATGATCTACTGCGGCTGTGGTGTACTGAGCAAGTTGCTGAATCGGAATATCCACCAATGGCCAGCCGGCTAGTTGACTTACCCCGGCTGCGGTATGCTGGCGTGGTGCTCCAAATGCCGGAACTGTAGTTCGCCGTTCTCGTGGTTGGCTGACTGGATCTGCTTCGGGTGTCGAGAATCGTTGACTGGGTGCTGCAGCTATCTGCTGGCTCGATAGCCCAAAGCCTGCGACTGTCTTCGGTTGCTCTCGTTGAGTGAATCTTGGAGAAAACGCTTCTGTTCTAGGCCGATTCGAGCCTGCAACATTAAACGTAGAATTTTGTTGTTGATCAGGCATTCGATTTGTGCTTCTGGCTACGGTTCGAGGAGTAGTTTCCACTTTAAAGTAGGAGGTGATTGTCCGTTGAATAGGGGTGTGCTCTTCAGCTGCTGTTGCATAGGTATTGAAAGGCTCATGGTCGGGAGCAAGAGTTACGTTCTTTGTCCCCTCAGGCGGAGTCTCTGGCCATCCTCCTGGCGCGTCGGCCATTGATAGAGTGGGGTTTTCCATGGCTTCACAGGACTATTGTCTTACGATCAGGGACAAACGCATTACAGTCTCCCATTCTAGATGCAAGATGAAGATTTGTGATCTGGGGGGTTTTGGTTCACGGAACGGAACACAATAGTAGCGAAGGCTGAAAGACACATGCATGACAGAGCCAGGGATGACGGAGCCGGCAAGCCGGAACGCGGAAACGCGGTGGAAAGACAGACCGTCCCAGGCAGAAGAAAACGTTGGAAGTAAAAATTGGGGCCAATTGCGGGTCACCAAGACAAGACGTGTACGGCCTGACGGGGATGGCCTGCGACGTGGGAGTCGTGATGATCTCACCATTTATGTACCCAACTACTATCATACTTATACACCACACCCTCAAATGCACCAACATTACTTGGCCTTTTGGGTCTCGGGGCATATTTCTATTATGCGAACGTTGCTGGTCTTATGTTGAAGATAGAGTTAGAAGAAAAATATTCTAAAAGCAATACATCAAATCACCGCCCTGAGATGACTATTCGGTAACAGCGACGCGCTGAAATTGGTGGCTTGAAAATATGGTAGGGACGGAGATGTCGGGCCTAACATTCGTGCATATGGGGTGTAGTACATATTACGATTGGGTACCTTTGTCCTCGGGAGTTATACCGGAGTTAATTTTCCCCTAGATGTGAGCTTAAATATAGATCTCATCGTATCCGCGGGGGGCCATGCAGTATTATTAGTTCAGCAATAGTATCTTTACTTGAAAACGTTCTTTGTACAAAACAGCTAAGCCAATATTGGTTTAAGGGAGAATTTTTAACTCATTTAAATGGACTTGTTTAAATCAAGCTTTGCAATAACAAATCACGGTACAGTGATGGAGTAACAAGAACTAGCCCCTACTACCACCAGTCTAACAATATTTATGCCTCCCCTGTAGTAAAGATCGGGGCGCAATGCCAAAATGAGCACAGATTGCGCACAAATCCCCAACGTTACACATCCACCGCATTACTAGTACTACTAGAATTATTCTTTGCCAAGCACTGGTTGTAAGTCGGGCCTGTCTAAGTCCCGGTTCCCGACTGCCCAAATTCCCATCTCAAGTTTCAGTTTCAGTTTCAGGGTCAGGATCACGACCAGGGCTGCTTGTTCGAGCAGACAGCAAGGCATTGAGGAATATGGGTGATTCAGCCAACTAGCGGTCGGTCACTAGGAATAGGGATATGTGCTCAAATCTGTTTGGTAGCTGCGTAGCCACACTGAAAGCCCATTCCCGCGAAAATTCAGCCTTATTGGCCCCTGAGGCCACCTTGGTCCTGTAACACAAAAAAGCTATCCGAACTCCGACGACATGAACATGCTCCTTTTCTTCGCCACTATCTCCTTCTCCCGTGTCATCCTCTCTTCCGAAGTCCGTCCGTTGGCTGTTTTGCCGTGCAGACTTTGGTCAATCCCTCTCGTCCTTCTGTCAAATTCTCTCTTCTTCTCCGCTATCTGCTCGACTAGCAGACTATGCAGAGCATCCTCAGCCGCCAGATTCCCGGCGCCTGTCTTACTGAGGCCCTCCCCAGTACCCAACAACTGCCTTTCATACCCCCAGCCCGTAAGGAACACGCTTATGTAATATTTTTGCTGTCCTGTCTTCAACATCTCCAATGGTCGCTGTTCGAGGTATTCCAGCTTGACACCACGGCTCACCACCTTCCGAGACAATGCATCCTTGGCATTGACATCTGGCATCCTCTTCTCCACCACGTCGCCTGCCAGGTGAGGGATCCAAAGTTGGTATAGCCATCTCTGCGCTGTCAGGAAGCCGGTGCCGCCCACCTCAGTGTCGGCCTCTACGATCGCCGCGACATAAGCTTCTACCACATCGCCCTTGACTTTTGCCCACTGTTTTCGATTGGTCTTCACATCTGGAGCCGTAACGATCTGCTTATCGAGACCATACATAACCGCAATGTTGGCCAGCGTTTCATTCTTTACCAGCATTTCCCGTAGCTGAGATAGTCGGCCAACTGGTAGGTCTTTGAATTTGTCCCAGATAAGCCTCGTAGCCATTAATTCGATGTAGGCGTCTCCGAGGAATTCGAGGCGTTCGTAGCTAGCAGCTGGATCGCTGATATCTAGTTTTGAGACGACAGATTGGTGAGTGAAGACAGTCTTGGACAACTCCTTGTTGATTGGAGGAATGGGCGGTAGATCTGGTGTTCCGTTACTACCAAAGCATGGCCTCTTCTCATCCGGCCCAGCAGGCGAATTGTTGTCAAGCTTTCTCTTAGCCATGGCTGAATCGATGCAATCTTCAGAGCGGAGAGGTTTTGATCAAGGTCGATTGGTTCAGTATCTAGTATCGACCTAGCGGCCGCCATAACATTGGGGCATTTGTAGAGTAGCTGTTCCTTGGCTTGGCAGCAAGACAGAGTGCTCGAGAATTGTGGGACGAAATATTGATATTGAGAGAATTTATGTACTACAGTAGGCTAAACCTCCATAGTTCTCATCTCTTGTGCCATGACTGAGCAAGCTACCTTTTAGCTATGGGAATTTTGGCGAGGAGTAAAATCATCGCCGGCAAGTCTAACCGCTCCGCTCCGCTCCCATGCAAATCGCTGACCTGCTTCCGGGCCCTGCAGCACCGACGTCTACAAGCCACCAGGAAGCCCACCATGGCCGGCGCGGTGCCTAGATCTCGTCTTCTCGAGTTGATGAAGGTGTGTGCAAACAACAACTTCAATACCATAAAAAACCAAGTCGCTAATCCCTTTCCCGTTTCCCTCCAGGTCCAATGCAACCTCTTCTCCACCACCTACAACCCTGACAGACTGCGCACTGGTAACAAAGTCCTCCGCCAACGCCTCCGAGGCCCAACTCTGGCAGCCTATTACCCGCGCAAGACCGCTACGCTGGAAGACTTGAAAAAGGTATTCAAGAAACTCGACCTGCAGGTTATCAACCCACGCGAGGATGAAAGGCTAGAAAGTATAGCGCTTGCGAAGCTAAGAGGGAAGGGCGCGCCCAAGAAGAAGAAGGGAAAAGACTGTGAGCTTCATCTCGCGAGGAGAGTTGACACAATGCTAATGCGCGCTTGTGATACCAGTGACCAAGGGAAAGAAGAAGAAGAGGTAGCGGAGTCAGCGCTTGAGGGCTCTCAGCAATTCTGGCGAATCATCGTGCATTTTTGGCGTTGGTTGGAGGTCATTATACAGAGCGGTATTACATGTTCAGCGACCTTATGCCTATATATTTCCCTTCGTTCTGCGAAATGCACTTCCTCATTTACCAGATAGGTGCCTTCCCCTGCCCTTTTCGTCCCGGTTTCAACTTGAAATCGCCCTCCCTCAATCCACTTCCATATTCACGCCGGTTATGAACTTTCATTCACTACGGGCAAAGAACACTGCTGCATTTGCGACATCTTTTGGATCCGTTGAACGCCCCTTCAGGAAGGGGTGGCGTTGTACTACGTACAGTATGTACTAAAAATGTTGTACGCGGAGTCCCATTGTAAGGGACTCTTGCGATAGATGCCTACTCGATAGTGGTGTTATTTATGTAGAGAGCCATTCTATATGTCGAACAAGATCAAAGATATGGAGGTTGTAACTCATCCTGTCATGTTAGAGCTTGATTGGGGTCGCGGTCTATCCAACACTTCGTTCGCTCCAGAGCGGGAACAGATCTAGAATTGGAATAAGCTGCCAATTCATCTTCCTCCCTACCCATGTGTCAACCTCTGGTAGAGTCATGAGGTACAGACGCGAAGCTGCTCGACAGGAGACCGTTCTCAATGGAAGTGTTCAGAATGCCGCTCCAGCACCATCTTCGCCCTCGGTCAATTTCTCCAGATGTCTTTCAGCCAGCTCACTTCTCAGTCCTTCCCTCTCACTCTCCCTCTGACGCACATCCCATTCCCTTAGCGCTTCGCGCTTGGACTTCTGTTTCTCCTCGATTTCCTCCCGCATTTTCTCGGCCGCCTCCTCTAACAGCTTAATTCTCTTTTCCTGTTCAGGGCTCATACCAGTAGGTGCCAATTTACCGCCGGGAACGATCTTCTCCAGACTGGCCAGATGCTGCGATGTTTTGTTGAAGCGTTGGGTACGTGGATAAGTCGTGCTAGAACTGTTATTGTGTGATCGGAACGGAGGTGGACCGTCTTCGCGTCCAAAAGTGGCTCGGTGAGATGAATAGCCGGAATCACCCCGTCCATAACCTGCATCACCTCTTCCATATCCAGAATCTCCCCTTCCATATCCCACATCGCCACGTCCGTAGCCTCCACGACCAAAGCCACCTCTTGGTCCCGGATGAGGTCCATCTCGTGTATCATAACTTGCCGCCCTTGGGGGTGGGCCTCCATACCCACCCCGTCTAGGTGGCGGAGCGGAGAAGTCTCGAGGAGGTCCATCAAAACGACCAGGAGGGGCACCACGTGGACGAGTAGGAGCAGACAACATTGCAGGATTAGGGCGATTATGGGCAGACATTGACACGGACGAATTCGATGGGCCAGCTGGAGGCGACATTTGAGGGGTCTCACTATAGCCGCGTGATGGTCCACTTGGCGGCGGACGACCGTAGTTGCCATTGCGATAACCCCCAGGACCAGACGGAGGCTGGCTGGATGAAGCTGCTTCATCATTTCGACGATTGTCTTGACGGGGAGAAGATGGCGGGCGGGTTCGATCAACGTAGCTGCGAGGAGGCGACTGCTGTCTTGGCGGAGATCTTTCGTGTCGTGCCGGAGATCTAGGCCGTGAGATAGGAGATCGTGGTGGCCGCGAATCGTGCGACCGAGGTGGCAGGTACGCAGGGGAGCGAGTTCTGGAACCGGCGAGGCTCAGGCGATCAGGATGAATTGGTGGGGAAGACCGTCTTGACGTAGCGCCAGAGGCAGGACCAGATGGTGCGGCTCGGGGTGATGGCGATCGGCGTCTCCAATTATCGTCATTGTAAATCTTTCTTCGCTCGTCACGCTTGGGCGGTGTCCGAGATCTTGTCCTATATCCCCTCGGCCCCGCGTCACGCGGTGGCGGCGAGTATGGTCTTCGAGGATGAGAACGAGGACGATCAAACCGTCTGCGGTCCGGTGAGGTGAGTCTTTCCCGCTTCGCAGGCGGAGGAGATCGCCGAACATACGATGGAGAATCGTCGCGAGGTCGTTTTATTGGAGGACTGAGAGGTCTAGCACCATATGGAGATCGAGAGCGCCTCCTGGGAGGGGACGTTGGACGGTCGTTTCGTCTGGGAGAATATCGTCGCGGTGGAGATCGTGGCCTGCCGGGATAAGTGTCGTCTCTGCCTCGCCGAATAGGACTACGCGACCGTCGCCGAAAACCAGCAGGGGAGCGACTTCGTGGTCTTTCGGCTCTCCGGCTTGTTGGTGGTACGTAGGAGTCGATGTCCTCTCTTCTATCTGAGTCTCGTCGATCTGAAATCCATTTATCTCCACTTCCTCGTTCTCGAGCCGGGCCAGGTCTGTATGGAGGTGCGCCTCCTCCGCCACCGGGTCTGTAGCTTTCGCCTCTGCCGAGGTGTGTGACATCAGGATCGTAGCCATCACTAGCAAATGTCAGTCTTCCATACCACATGCAGCCCGAGCAGCTGGGTTAGGCATAATCTCAAGAAGTGAGAGCAGGGTGGACGCACCCTCGTCGATCTCTATCCATGGTTTGAAAGGTCCGACAGTCGACAGTCGACGCCTGCGGTGAAAGCAGCTTGCAATGCGCTACAAAATATCACTGTTTGAGCGGAAGTTTGCACGGCAATACTGCAGTGTCTGTCAAGCTCGTCCCGGAGGAAAATAACTGGAACTGAGCAACTCAACAACTGAACAACTGATCAACTGAACAACTGAAACTTTTGCCAGTTCTCCAAGGCTGGGCATGCGCTAGTCCTGGATTGGACAATCCCCGAACTCAGGGGGGGAGTGGGGAGAGGGAGGGAGGGAGAGTGAGCGAGCGAGAGAGAGATATGCGTGTCGAGTGAAGAAATCCCCTTAAACCACCCCAGCACAAACCTCCCTCTGTTGGGATCGAGACATCTTCACCTTGCAGTGCTCAGCTGGCCTGCAATTCTTTAGGTCCCCTGCCTAGGTACTTCAAGTATCTCATCCACCCGGATCTGCCGGACTACGCTCGTATGTTCCCACTCTGCTTATTGCTTGTGCTCTTGATGTCTGATGTCTGATGTCTGCTGCCTGAGGCCTGAGTTCTGATGTCTTCATGCTGGGGTATCTTGATCTTGTATTGACAATGCTCCTGCTACGAACTCCCTTACCGCCTCCCTTTCCGTTCCTCGTCTCTCTTCAATCTTTTGCGGCTTTCGCTTGCAATCATGTCGCTCAGATCCTCTTGAAAGCCCCAGTTGGGATTCTCTTCAGCCTTCTTCTGTCGCTCATACAAATTCTTCAAATCCCCCTTGTCAATCCCATCATGGGTCTGTAGTGCATCCGGATCCATTGAAACATCCACATCGCCTGGCTTCTTCCTTTTCCTGCTTTCCTCTTGTCCTAGCACCGGTACATTGCTTTGCGCACTCTTCAGGTCATATGCTCTGTCACCTCCAAAGAAACCCTGCACCCGAGTTTGATGCTCCGGGATAACCTGGTACGCAGATCTTGGATGTGACGACTCTTCCGTCTCGGTGCCTCTTCTCTTTCGGAGATCAAATTCCGACACACTTTCGGCCCCGCCAAACTCAGACGGAATCGTAGATGCCATTCCACTGGGAGTCTCCAGACCGCTTGGGGTCTGCAAGCCCGCTCCGCGATCCTCGTCCTCTTCCTCTTCTTCCTCTTCGTCATCATCCTCCTCCTCTGACTCCTCCTCAGGTTCTTGAAGCTCGCCCCACAGATCCTTCTCCACCGGTTCACCGCGTTGCGGCTTTTGCAGGGTCTGGAAGATGTTATTGAAATCACCACCATACAATGGACGATTTGTTGCCTCGTCAACCGGTGGCTTGCCCCATTGACCAGGCTGGAAGCCCCAAGAAGCACCGGGAGGGATGGCTGCATTCAGACCGGGTATCTTGAGAGCGGGATATGAGGGTGGGGGACCAAATCGTTGCTGATTGATGAGCCAGGGTGGTGGTGCGCCCGGTGGGATGTTCAAAGCATCTTTCAGCTCGTCGCTCAGTTCGCCCGGTCGAAGATGTCTCAAGTTAGTCTCATACTCTTTCCCTTCGTAGTACACCTCACCGTAGCGGGTCAACTCTGGCTTGGTCTGGAACCTGAAAAATGCCTCATAGAGTTTTTGATAGTCAATGTCGAGTTTGCCCATCTTCGGCTGCACCCGCTCGCGCTGCTTCTGTTTCAAAGTGGCTTGGTCCTGCTTCTCGAGTACCGCATCTCGCATCTCAGCAATACCCGTTTCTTGTATGAATTTGGGTAGGGCAAATGCTGGTTTTTCCACCCCTCTCTTGGAGGATAGATATTCCCTTTTCAAAGACCAATGCGTAGGGACCGGTACCACATTGCGATAGGCTTTGATGTGGACAAGTAGTCGCGGATCTGATGCTGATGTGTCAGTCCAGTCCACGTTTTCTGGATTCCTGACCAATGCCTTTAATTCTGCCACCGATATTTTGTTCTGCTCCTTGCGCTTCTTCTTTGACATTTTCAAAACAGTGTTTTGTTCATCCTCATCAGGAATATCGTCGTCATCATCGTAGTACACCTCGGGCTTCTCTGGTTCTTTTGAAGCTGGGTCCTCCTTGTCGGCTTCTTCAAATTTGTCCATGATATCCTTGTACATGTCGAAGAGTGGGTTGCTCTCGTCGACAACGAGGGGAGCATCGAAATCGTAGCCATCTTGCTTTGGTTCCTTCTCGGACAACCCGCCGTTGAGGGGTGGTTTCAAAGGAGGTGCTTCGGTTTTGATTTCCGGTTCTGGGGTGGGTTCTACACTTGTCTGTGGACGATCAGTTTAGCTGCAGCGGATCAGGGCGATGTGTATACCTCATGCTTGTGCGCCTTTTTCTTAGCTCTTCTCAGCTGATTCTTTGTGGGCTTCGTCGCTACTGAAGGCATGATTGGAGTAAGTGAGGATGACTTGCGACTAATTAGTGGTTCAGTGTGGTATTACCACCATTTCCTGAGAAGATGAAGTGTGCGAGCAGTCGGGAGGGATATTAATGAAACCTCAAAGCGCACACAACCGGTATTTCGGCTGTGTATGAGATGGAAATGTTGACTTGCTGTCCGTGTTGCTGATCAGTTCGCTCGCAATTCAACGTTTGACTCTCCTGCACGTGATTGGTCTTGGCAAAGGAGTCTTGTCTCACCCCTGTACTTGAACTTGAACAGGATTACATATCTGAGGATAGTATCAATAAAGTACGACTCATCAGATAGAAGGTAATAAATCTCAACATGGAATTGATTAAATACAGAGGATACAAGAGAACTTAGGTGCTGATCTTGGCCTACAAAATGTCTGATCATTATTTGCAGCGGATACCTCCCCCACTTTGTAGAGAATGAATTTCTCTCCTCCTCCTGATCCTCTTCCACCACTTGAACCGGCTAACTTCAGAGATGGATAGTCCCCGCCCAAGCTTTAAAGCGAGTACCCAAACTGGAATTAAAAATGACAGGAAACAGAAAATCGGACCTCCAAGATCAAAATTCAGTCTGCAGCCCGCGCCTTACGACCCCGTCAAAGCGTTGACTCCCTCCCTCGAGTTGCGCGCAGTACTGTATCGCTTAAAGCCTAAACCGGGCAGACCTGACATCTGTGAGCTTTGGCCCAGAGACGGAGAAATTCTTGGATGCTCATACAGCGCCGCATCCACCACACGTCTTGCTGCCTTGAGCAGTTGAAGCGCCACATTTAGGACAAGCATTGCCGTGTGCCATGGCGACGATATGGTCTATGTTTTATAGAATTGTCAATGGAAATGAATATGTTTTCTGCGCTGATCACTGTAGTAATCACTGTAATAACCGGAAGCAAGGTACTATGTTAGTGTAGTAGCGGAATATCTCAGCTGAAGGGGTCTTTGAAGGAGGGGTAAATGCCTCCTGCGCGGAAGTTGCGGAGAATAACTAGTTAATCAGCCAATAGAAATACAATCTCAACTCAGGGTAGAGATACTAGTAAGTAGAAGTAGGAGTAGAACCAAGTATAATTGCAATGTCAAAGTATGGGTTAAAATTTTCTCTAATCTCCATGTTCTGTAACTGAAAGAACCCTGAAGAATTTGCCATGGAGATTTCTTTCTTCTCAATGTCCCATAACCAAACTGTTGACCCAAAAGGACTGCGGCCCTCGAGGGACCGTGAATTAGCTTACGTCTGACACAAGCTCTGTACCAAATATCTAGACGGACTGGCTTACTGGGTTGCATTTGCTCACCTACGGGCTTGGTCCCACTCACGCTCACTCATCCTGCCCCAACACTCTTTTGCAACGACCTTACCTTTCCTAGCAATACTCCCACTCAATCCAGTAGGCTCTGGCCCTGCAGCACGTCGATGACCGAGATCTTCGGCGCCAGCGTGGCCAAGTAGCCAGTTGTGCAGCTCGACGGCGACGAGTGAGTCGGCACCGCACGAGGTAATGGGCTGCTCGGGATCGATGTCAGCACCCGAGACCATGAGATTGATGGCGAGCTTGCTGATGATCGCCTCGCAGATGACGCTCATGGCATCGTAGAATGATATCACTGCGCTAAAACACTTCTGGAGGCTCGTTTTCTCGACATCGGCCCCACGACCTTAGGAGGAGGAGGAGGATGCTCCGGAGAGTCGATTCATCTGCAGGATGGCAAACTTGGAGACTTGCATCCAAGCCGCCTCGAGCTCGCGCATGCTGAGCCCCGTAACCATCTGGCTAGGTCCCTGTTTCTGCTGGCCATTGGCGATAGTGAGCTGGATGAGCCCAAGCATCTTGTCCTCGCTGGTGGAGTAGTGGCCCATGCGTGCGAGACGCTTTGCGACGTCCTCGTTCTCGGCGACGTATCCAACCGCATTGATGATCTAAAGCAGAGCGCAACAATTATGATGTCTGATATCCGCCCACATTGGATGGCAATAATCTATCTGCTCCGGGTAGGACCCTGGCGAATCACTGAAGCTGATCTTGGTAAATCGGAAGTCCAAATGAGGGTATGAATGTTTTGTCCTTGTGGTCTTTTCTAGTCAACTAGAAGGCAACCAGGGACTTCCAAAGATCAATGAGTCATTTGACTCTCCACATCAACATCGTGACAATGTATGCCATGGGCTAGGCAGCTTCGAACATTGAAGATTGCGGCTTGGAGATCGAGGCAGAAGCCGTATGCGCATTAACAGTAGTTCGTATTCGAAATTCTAGCATAGGTCCATCCTTCGTGCAGACGACATGGTCAATGAGCTCATAATCATCCGTTCTATGTCTCCCATACGCTGCGTTGGGCGACCCTTCGCCCAGGAGGCTTTCAAGTCCTTGCCTCTTCCTGAAATCAAATGTGACAAGAACGCGCACTATAATGAACATCAGTTCAGCGATTGCCAGTCCTTCCCCAATTAGCTCCTCGGTCTGATGCTGAAGGGAGCCAAGACAGAGCGGGCACGATCAATATTTCCCTTGTGCTGGTGGCGGCTGATTCAACCAGCCAGCGTTCCGGGGTGAAAGTGAATTGCTGTGGGATATAAGTTTTGTTATGTTGATTGCTATATATTCCCACACCGACATTGTAGCCCGCAGGGACTCAGCAGCCATCAATCAGAGCTCCAGCTGATGTGACTTCGCGCCACGGAGCGCTAGCCATGGTAAAGGCCATACGGAGAGGCACTAGATAGGTATGTAGATTACTAGTATTAACAATATGTCCATTTGAATCAAATTGAGTCAAATAAACCAAATCAAATGCTTGGCAAATAACCCAGTTCTGTTGTGCTTTCGTCAAATCAAATCGAGACTTTTTAATTTCACAAATTAGTCAAATAAATGTCTTCCCAGATAAGTCTTTTGGGGGAGAAATATTCGGGTTATTTAATTTGGTGGAAGATAAAGGTCTTGGCGGACTCCTTTTGTGAGATGAAAAATTCCTTGACAGTCCTTCTATTGCTTACTGATATTTGACTTCATTTCACAAATGAGGTGAAATCAAATTTTTCTTAGTCACTCAGACTCTCAATAGACGGACTAAGGCAAAGCTGTTCACTGAGTCTGAGGAACTGAGGCAGAATCACAGCAGCTACACAGACACACCCAATTGAGCCCTTTGAGCTCATGACGCTCACAACGTCAAGCTTTCGCCACGCCTTTGCAACGGGCAATACTCCGTACTTGGTACTTAGTTAAACACCAACTGTTAGCCATAAGCTAGACCACGGTCCGTTTGTCCAACACCAACCTGCGGTATCCGTCCAAAATAACTGGTAAAACCTCGAACAACAATTAAGCCTGCACCATCAGCCACACATGCTTCGATTTCATCGTTTTCCGGGTCCCTTGTCGCCGCTTCATCGTGGTGACCGCCATCCTGCAGTGTTGTCTCCTGAAGTCTGCTACTCTCCTCGAGCGTCGTCTGCATGGTTTTGTTCATCTTGTCGCTGATACTCCATTTCTTTCTCTGCTGCTTCACGTTCCCTCTGCTCGTCTGTACTCATATTTTGTCTAGCCTCCCTGAGCTCGAAAACTTTATCGCTGTGAGCAAATCTCCGCTCCAGCTCTTCTATTCTGCGAAGTGCCGTTCCCTCCACTCGAGCTACTGTTTTCTCATATAACCGACGGTTTCTCTCCCGTGGACTCAGTCCAGCAGCCTCATCCAGTTGCACTTGTCGGTGCTCCTCTTTTGCCTCCACCTGCTTTCTGCGGATTTCTAGTTGTTCGATGCGTTTTCGTTCCTTGGCTAAAACAGCTTCCGCTTCCTCTACACGATTCAGGGCATCGTTCTGGTGTCGCTCAAGCTCCGCCAACCCCACATCATCCGAAGACGATCCTGCATCGTCAGGTCTCCTGGGGTCATAGAAATGTGTTTGGTGACGTCTGGCAGGCTTCTCTTTAGCCTTTCTTTCCCCGTTGCGCCTATCTGTACTGGCCTTTGAAGATTGTTTTCGAGAATATCTGTTGTCATCGGCCATGATGGAACGTAATCGTTCTGCGAGGCGGTTCATAATGCACCAAATGGGGGGAGTCTCTGGGGAAAGGGGTTCATGAGCTTTTGTGGGCTCATCCAAATATCTAAGAATCATCTTTGTGTCACCCTTTTGCAAACATCAGGCGGCGGTGACACTCTTCGGAAAAGTCACTGCTTGAGCCGTAGTCATTCATTACTGCGTTTACAGATGACGTACCAGACCTACATGGACACGCTGAGTCAAGCCCTAAGCTCACCAGCCACGGACCAACCACCGTTGACACGTAACAACAGGAACACCAGACAACATCACCCACGATGCTGGTGCAATGGGGAGATAACGAGCCAGAAACCCTTTACTACTATATCACTGCACTTTGAGCATTTGTGCTTGCCACTCTAAACACTGCCATCTACTCGGAATGCTTGGCTTGGATCATTTCTCGTCCGCCTAGACTATTTTTGTAAGATCAAAGCTACTCTCTTTACACGCCACAACTATTTCATATGCATTTCCAGATGTGGTATCTATTCCTTAGTGAGGCTTGGATTGAGGATTTGAACTAGTTCCAGAAAGAGACCAAGAATTGTTCTGAAGTGGTCACTGCCTTTTTAAAATCAGGCCTCTGGTTGCCAATAAGTAAGGAGACTATGCTGATGCTGAATGGCAAGAGTAGTAATGAGACGAAGCAGCATCGATGGGGGGACGGTGGTCACATGTTTCTCTTGTCCCTTGGACTCACCAGCCTTGCGATCCTGCGATGACTGTTCAGCTCGTAAGTACGAAGCAGGACTAGGATTGTACTCATTCTGAACTTTATGAGCGTGCTCGCAACACTTTGCGTTAGAGTGCTCTGGATTACTTCAACATGCTGGCAGTCTATAGCAAGCTGACTCTGGTGCTAGCTTTGGAACCCCAGCATCCTGAGAGGGTGCGATTGGTAAGAGGTTCAAGAGGGCCTTGAAGACTAGGATTTGCATGGAGATTCTGCACGGCAGCGATCGGGATGTACGCTTCTGAGGTGTATTCATTCTACGCCGCTTTGCGAATACGGTAGAGTTGATGCACCGGTCAGGTCTAAAGGAAATGGGGAATGCACAAAGAAAGATCACGGACTGGCGAGATTCAGAAGGAAAAAAGCATATACAACGAAACTGAAGGGGGGCGTGGAAGGAAATAGAGGGAATAGGACCGAGGTCTGAAAGGACGGCTAGACAGCATTAGCTAGTCAAGCAGAAGTGTAAATCGCTGAACTGTATACACGCGAATTTTTGCGCCTTGCGCAAAAGATCGTACGTCTTGCATTGGCGATTTCGGCTGCAGATAGCCTCAGCGAATGGTGTTTTGAGTGTATGTATAAGTGAACCAGGAGCACGGCGGTGCTATGACTTGACCCGCTCCTTCATAATTCCAACATCACTCTCCCCAGGGTACAAAACGCTTCTCCGGTTGGCGAAAAGCTGTCTATCGCGTAGATGCACTGGAACGTCACCTTTTGGTGTATCTGGTATGACCTTTTGCAGACCCTGTATCGAGTCAGCGAAGAAGCTTTGCTGTGTAATGATATACCCACAATCTTCTCAAATACGCATCGATTCAGCACCCTCTCAGACCTCCGGCACTGCCACATTTGGTGGTTGTTGTTGTCGAGACAATTCCAATTTCGCCTGAACTCATCTAAACAATGTTCATTGATATCTTTAAGCCTGCGATTGGATGAGGACTGTTCGCCAATGGGGAGGATGAGAGCCGTACACACTGGCAGCACATCTTGTGACCTTCCGTCCCTCTTTCATACATTCGAGCTCCCCTCGTCCATAGGCTTCTGTTTTGCATTGCATGTAATCATCGTTATATGGTTGGCACCGGGCTCCGATGAAGTAAGACGCGCTCATGAGAGGTGCTGAACTTGCTCCAATTTCCTCGACCTTTGGAATGTGCTCGGGCATAGGAGTTGGGTCAATCAAGACCGTCTGGTTGAAGCTGAAACTTGGTCAGCGATTGGAGCTTCAATGGTAGTGCACTGACGTACTGGGGCTCTCTCCTCGCCATTTTGATGGTGTTTTGGAGCGTCCAGCTCGGTGGCGGTCAGAATGAGAGTGGTTGCGGAGCGGAAGCTTAGAGAGTGAAGTCAAGCTGTCTGAAATGGCGGGGATTCTGATTGGCGTGCCTGGCGGAAAGCTTAACGCGTCTGTAAATCCCCACCGCGATTCTGCTCTGGGATTATCACAGTATTTTGAGCATAAGTTTCCGATCCAGCGATAGACATTGTCACGGGACTGTTATTTTGCGATATACATTATCCCTTGGGATTCGGATCGCAAGTCAATACCCTGTTAGCTAGCTATGTGGTAGTGTCCTCTGAGCAGTTTGCCGTCCTTTCATGGGAAGCACAGGGCGCACGGGTACATTTTAACAAACATTCCAACCTGTCGTCATGGCTTTCGGCTTTGGTGCGCTCTCTGTCTCTAGGCATCTGAGGCCAACTCTGACCAGATTCTAGGGTCTTCTACGTCGCAACCTCAGCAGGGAGGTGGCTTGTTCGGCACCTCGACACAACCACAGCAGACTGGTGGCTTGTTTGGGAATCTTAGCCAACCTCAGCAACAATCTAGTGGTCTTTTCGGTAGCCTCGGGCAGAGTACGCAACAACAGCCGCAACAGCAGACCGGAATATTTGGTGCTTCTGCTCAACAACCACAGCAACAGTCAGGCAGCCTATTTGGAAGTCTGGGACAGAGCATGCCACAACAGTCGCAACAACAGTCTGGCGGACTTTTCTCTGGTCTTGGGCAAAGCACGCAGCAACAACCTCAGCAGCAGTCGAGTGGATTATTTCCTGGCCTGGGACAGAGTACTCAGCCAAAACCTGGTTTTCTGGGAGGAACCCAAAGCACCCAGCAGCAACAACAACAACCGCCTTTCGGCCAGAGCACAATCCAACAGCTGCCAACATTGCAGCTAGGGCAGAGCCAGCAAAATCTGCTCGGACAGTCGCAAGGACCACCGTCGTTATGGGAGGAAGGTCGTGGTCTCTCAGGTTAGTCTGAAAGGATACACGTCAGGTTTTCTCTAACCCTCGTTCTTCAGTCTACCGCAGTGTTCCCGAGCAGATGAAGATTGTCAAGGAGAAATGGGACCCTAGTTCTTTAAGCTCTTCTCTACGAACATATCTCTACCAACGCGTGGACGAACAGAACGCCCCATTTTATCAACCGGGGCCTGGCGAAGATCCAAATAAATGGGAAGAGGCAGTTGCAAAAAGACCAGGGCCAGACTGTGTGCCGGCGCTGGCGAGGGGCTTCTGGGATCTTGGGAAGCGGGCACAGCGACAGCGAGAATTTATTGAGAAGATCAATATTCGTCTACACGATATCAATCAATCCTTGGATGCCCAGTTACAGCTACATTCGCAAAACATCGCAGCAAGATTGGCGGAGTGTCGGCGAAAACATACTGTTGCTTCCCAGCGCACCATTGTTCTGGCTGCGAAGATCCAAATTTTGCGCAACAGAGGTTATGTAATGGACAATGCGGAGGAGGAACTGAAGATGAAGCTGTCGAAGCTCGAAAGAGAGGTGTTTGACCCGAGTTTGAATGGCCGGGAACAAGAGATCTGGGCTAGAATGTTGGGTATCCGGGAACGAGCAAGGAGGTTACAAAAGGAGATAGACAAGACAACTCCAACAGTCGATCAGGCGTCTTCGCTTGATGAGGATACGGTGCAGGCAGCTAAGAAGGTACGTCTTTGTTGTCTCCTGGGAGTTTCTCATGCTAATATGAGCATGGATAGGCGCTCGAAGCGTATGACGTGCAGCTTCGGCATCTTCAAAAAGAGATGCAACTGGTTCAAGAGGAGTACGAGGATTGGGAGAAAGGCTTGAAGCCAGAAATGAGCAAGTCTGGCATCTATGGATGATCTTGGAGTATTTTAAAGCGCCCACGCATTGGATTGGATTTGATCGGCGAAAAAGTAATGTACAGCCGAGAGAATTCATGCTCCCAGAGTTGAAGATGTTACCAAATTCCTGTGCTTGTTCACCTGGATAACCATCTTTGCTCCAACCATCACCTCAAACACCTGCTCAATGATGGCGAGCATCTCACGTAATTCACTCGTCAGCGTGCATCTTTCGTTTGGATGTTGCGCACTCTCGCATTATATCAATGCTCAGAACAGCTTTCGTACATAATCGACAATATGCGGTGCTTTAAGAGAACGTTAGTACTCCGCCTATTCACGCGATCAGTCTGAGCGGAGCAATATACCAATGTAAAGCATGAGACAGGCGACTGAGAAGTTGCGAACATTGCTACTGGCTTCAAGCTCAGCGGCATCGACCTCTGCTTTCGATGGTTGGTCCGCTACTGATGTTTAGTGTCCGGGGGAAAAGCACGGTACAGGGCGGTGGCATCACTGACACTGTGGCATGAACATCTTTGCGATTGGAGTTGGTACAGACGAGATCTATGGAGATATTAGATTTTTGAGCTGGTAAGAAGCTTGGGATGTAGTTCTTTAAATATACCTGGGTTGGTGTATCGAGTGTCGGTGACAGCAGCGGTTTCACTGCTTTAGGTAGAGGTAGAAAGCTGTGGTAGATCTTTGGTGGCTTTAAGGAAGTCTAGATGCCCTTTTCTACAGAGTACAGTCTGCAGATTGTGGTCTGTCATCATCTCTCTGAAAGGACCGGAGAACCTAGTCCTGGTTAAGCCGCTGCAGCTAATTTAGCGAGAAGCTTGAACTTGAGGCTCCGCGACTTCAACCTTTCGTGCCTGCTTTACACCTGGACATAAGATCTTTTTGAACCAAGTCATACCCACTTGACTCTTGTGTTCGGTGTTTTAGACCAATATTGCCTCTCCAATCGTCGAACTCCCAGTGATCATACTTCACCGTCCTATCACAGGCTCCATTCTCATCGCTCTAGGTCAAGATGTCCGACTACGGTCTTGACGATCCTCCTCCAGATGCTCTGGGAGACGACCGTCCATCTGACAATGAAGACGCTCTAGATGATATTGCAAATGAATTTACCGGACCTCCTTCCGCACGCTCGGTCGTCGATGGCGTCAATGACGAGTCCGATGATGAATCCCTACTTTCTGAAGTCGATGAAGCGCAATTTGCCGACTTCGATGCTACTGCTGTCCAAGTCGCACCAGATCTAGAAACGCTCTCGAAACACATCAAAGCCAGCAAGCGTAAAAGAGCGGAAGGTGAAGCCCCGCCAAAGAAGAAGGAGGGCAGGAGAGAGAAGCCGAAGAGGTCGCGGAAGAAGGCAGACAGTGATGACGGGTTCTCAGGGGGAGAGGAGATCGAAGGGAAGCGGGCACGGAAATCCAAAGGGGTAGAAGGCTCGTCAAAAGAACGGAAGAGGCGAGCACCTGCTCAGGAAGAGGTCAATGAGGAACACTTGACTCCGGAGGAGAGACGTCGAAGGGCATTGGATCGAGCTATGGATGCTGCGTTGAAACGACCGAGTGCAAGAAGATTGCGCAAGGGTGATATTGTACGGAAGGTCGTCGCGTTCATCACTTCTGCTAACATCTCGTAGGACCTGGAATCCAGTGCCGAAGAAGAAATCAACGACGTCCGTGGACGAATGATCAAAGCTGCAGAGGCTGATGCCGCTGCCCACGATGCTGGACAACCAGCTTTCCACAAGATCAAGATGCTTCCTGAAGTAACCGCAATCTTGAACCGGAACACGCACATGCAGGCACTTACAGACCCTGACATCAATCTCCTCGAAGCAGTCCGCTTTTTTCTCGAACCTCTCAATGATGGTGCGCTACCAGCCTACAATATTCAGCGAGATCTGTTCGCAGCAATTGCCAAACTACCAATCAACAAAGAATCCCTTATAGCAAGCGGTATTGGCAAAGTCACTCTCTTCTACACCAAGAGTAAGAAAGTTGAAGTTCACATCAAGCGGCAAGCGGAGAAATTGATCCAAGAATGGACACGACCGATGCTACAGAAGAGCGACGATCACACCAAGAAGGTCTACCCGAAAGTTGCATATGATCCATCGAGGAAGGTGGCGGCGACCCCAGATTTGGTGCAGAGAGTGAAGAACACAGCGCCAGCAGAGAAGAAGAGCAATCGTGCGAGATTGTACAAGGGTGCTACGAGCTATACAATCGTTCCGGAGAGTCGAGTTCATGTCTCACAAAGATGATATTTATTTGTGGCGATGAGTGCGGTGGAGAGCGGATAGCATGGCGCTGGTGGAACTACTTGGTTGCGAATGACACATAGTCCAACTGAAAAGGACGCTTTCTGCAATTTTGCTCGTCCACGTCAGTCATAGTTGGTCGAACGAGATATGGCGAGGTTGACAGTTTGAAGAGTTGCACTGTCTATCTGTCATTGCTTTCTCATCAAGCTTCGTCCATGTCGCACGAGCTGCTACTCGGTTGCTGATTCATCTGCCAGGAGCATCACCGGCACCTCCTGTTATCTACGGATCCGCCTCTAGCAGTTCGACTTTAGGCCACGTACGATGTAGGTTCCTTGCCATTCTCGTACGAATCTCACATGTTGACAGCTGCAACTTGCACGATCTGGCATGCTCTTAGGGTAGGATTCGTCCGCAGAGGGGCCAGGAAAGGCCGAGTTGTAGATGAGGCGCTGACCTGTGCAACCATCCGATTCTTCTGTCGACCCTTCAACAACTTCACCCCCCCTGCCCCCTCCCCTCTTCTCCCAAATAGGCCGGAGTGTCAACAGCAGAGCATCGAATTACCGCAGTCAAAACCCACCCAAAGGGCAAGGCTATTCTACTTCAGAAAGACCTTCTCTATCCCTAGACATACTATCGTTAGCCACGTATTAGCATAATTTGCGGATCATTCTGTCTCACTCTCCATCTTTGAATCTACATTGCCAAAAAGACAATGGGGACGAAAGAGCTCTCAACACGGAATCCTACAAACCATTCCCAATTGGTCCCACCGTAATCAATACTCATCCAACGGTTTTGGCTTGCGTTGTACGAATGGCGTCTCTGGATTTGATCTGATCTGATATTTCCTCAATCTCTAGTGTCGTGCGCATTTTCGGATCACTCCATTTTCGGTAGTTGGGACTCAAATTCCTCAAGCTGTGGTCTTTTCCTTTGTGACCTTTATTTTTTACTTTTGCGCACACCCGGTACAGATGGTGCAAACTGGTAGCCACTAAATCTGTCACCCGGGCCGCGGTCATCTTACCATACTTTTTCACCTCTTTTCAATCATCCTACTTCCTGCTCTGGGTACGTCAAACACGTTCCCCTTTCTGGATGGTTGTTTACAGATCCTAGCTAAGACTGAATTTTGATTTGCCTAGCTGGGCTAGAGTACTCTAAAAAATGGACCAGACAAACTACGTTGATCCCTTCGACTACTGGTTACACAGTGTCCATAAGAACGCTGAAGCCCAACAACTAGCTGTTAGAAGTAGTAGCAAACAGCGTACGGA